TTTTCTATTATAAAAAAATATAATAGAAAACACAGAATTTTATACCTGAACACACCGAATTTTATACCTGAAAACACAGAATTTTTATAACTGAAAAATTCCTATGTTTCGAATGTACAGAATTATATAATAGAAAACACAGAATTTTTTACCAGAAAACACAGAATTTTATAACTGAAAATTTCCATGTTTCGAACACATAATTTTATACTTGAAACCACATAATTTTATACTTGAAACCACATAATCTTTTTAAAAGGATAAAAATCCCCTGTTTCGAATATACAGAATTTTATACCTGAAAACACAAAATTTTATAACTTAATACAAAACGACGTCGTTTTGGGGGCGCACATAGTGCACGGTATAACGATTGCACTACTTGCACACCTGTTATGGCTTGCGATTGCAAGTCTGCAACTGTTCGCCTATTATTGTTATATTAGATTTAATACTTTTAACAAATATGTAGGCCTTATAAAGCGTATAACGTGTATATCTCAAATAGACTCAAAGCCTACAAATCTACAATGGTCTACACATTAAATAGACATTCAAAAAGGTCAAACATATTGTAGGCTCTGGCTCGAGTCTTAAAAAAAAAAAGGTTACTAATTTTTCAAAGCTCGACCCGACCTAGCATATTTTCATCTCTAATAACACCATGGGCGGATCTAGGAGGAGGGGGGGGGGGGGTGGATTCCGCACTTCGCAGGGCTGAGAGTAAAGAGAGACCAATATTGAGATTACTGAATTGTTTATTTATTTAACATGAATTTGACGGAATAACAAACGGATGACTAAATTGAACAAAAACACAAAAATTTGTGACTACATTAGGTCACTAAAGTCGTTTATAAAGAAATGTAGAAGTTGAGGACTATTTTGGGTATTAACTCTTTTTTAATTCATTTGAACTTTACCTTCAATAAGACCCTTATCTCCCATCAAGAAAAGCCTTATAATCTGCATCATTGGCATAATTTTGCAGGGAATATATGGAGTGAATTTGGGAACTTATCATCACTACAAAAATTATCACTTCGTTTAAACAACTTTACTGGTACTATTCCTGCTTCAATTGCCAATCTATCAAACTTGGTGATGTTTGACATTGGGCATAACAGTATCAATGGAGACATTCCTTCTGAACTTGGGCACCTCTCAACTCTGAAAGAAATTTATCTTAATTTCAATACTTTTGAGGGTGAATTTCCCAGACCACTATTGAACATATCAGGCTTGCAGGAGATTGCCCTTGTAGGCAACACCTTTTCTGGCAATCTTCCATCAAACCTGGCTTTCAAGCTTCCCAATATTGAAGGCCTTTATTTAGCTAGCAATAGCTTCAGTGGAAGCATCCCTCCCTCTATCTCAAATGCCTCCAAACTTGCATATTTGGATCTTGGAAGAAATTTCTTGAGTGGATATATCCCTGCAACTTTGGGAAATTTAGATCAGCTTTTGTTCCTCAGCCTGCAGTTTAATCGATTGGGAAACGATCCATCGAGCCCTGAGCTTGACTTCCTTTCTTCCCTGATGAAATTGAAGAAACTCCAGACTCTACAGATAGGAGAGAATCCATTGAATGGAACTTTGCCAAGATCCTTCCCTGATGGTAATCTATCCATGTCTCTTATGACATTTCTTGCAGGTGGGAGTGGCATTAGAGGCCAAATTCCTATTGAAATTGGGAACCTGACTAAGCTAATCTGGATTGGCTTAAATGATAATTATTTGACTGGAATGGTTCCAAGAACATTGGGAAATCTACAACAAATGCAAAGGATAAACCTGGGAGGCAACAGGTTAGATGGGACAATCCCAGATAACATCTGCAATTTGAAGGATTTATATTTCTTGGCATTGGACAATAACAAGCTTTCAGGGAGGATACCAAGCTGCCTGGGAAATCTTTCTTCACTCACACAATTATATCTTGGTTCGAATCAATTCGTTGCCAGTTTACCACCATCTTTATGGTTGAATTACAAAATCCAAATTCTAGATTTGTCTTCAAATCATCTCAGTGGCTCTATATCTCCAAATATCGGTTCGTTGAGCAGCATTACAGAGTTATATCTATCATCAAATCAGTTCACTGGTGAGATTCCAAGCACTTTAGGGCAGCTACAACATTTAGCAAATCTTTCGTTGTCAATAAACATGTTACATGGTCATATACCTGAATCATTTGGCAGCTTAGTAGGCCTGGAATACTTGGATCTTTCACAGAATAATCTTTCTGGTCTCATTCCCATGTCCCTGGAGAAACTCCAGTATCTTGTCTATTTAAATGTTTCTTTCAATCATCTTACTGGGAAAATACCCGACGGAGGACCTTTCAGAAACTTCTCTGCTCAATCTTTTCTGGGTAATGATGCTTTATGTGGGCTGCAGCTTGGAGCTTGTGAAAGTCCTGAACATGGGGAATCAAGAAAAGTGAGGAGTTTGTTAAAGTATGTTCTTCCAATACTTGCATTCATAATACTTGTAGCCTTTTTTGTGATTGTGGTGTTAAGATCGCGAAGCAGAAACACAAAGTTCCAAGATGGAACTAGTCTAGAGCCTCGTCATTTCATGCGGAAGAGGATCTCGTACTATGATATGCTCCGGGCAACAGACAACTTCGACGAAAGTAACTTGATTGGGAGTGGAAGCTATGGTTCAGTATACAAGGCGAAATTCGGTGATGGGGAGATTGCTGCTGTGAAGGTGTTTAATCTGGATTCGCGGGCTTCGTTCAAGAGCTTTGATGTGGAGTGCCAAGCAATGCGTGATATTCGCCACAGGAATCTTGTTAAGGTCATTGGCATTTGCTCTAACTTAGATGTTAAAGCCTTGGTTCTTGAATACATGCCAAATGGAAACCTGGAAAGGTGGCTTTACAGCTTCAACTATTGCCTGGATTTTGTTAAAAGGCTGGAAATCATGTTAGATGTGGGATCTGCTCTAGAGTATCTGCATCATAATTATCTGCACCCTGTGGTGCACTGTGATTTGAAGCCCAGTAATGTCCTTTTAGATGAAGATATGGTTGCACATTTAGGTGACTTTGGGATAGCCAAAATCTTGACTCTACAGAACCAGGCAGCACAAACAGATACATTAGGCACCATTGGGTACATGGCACCAGGTAAAAGTTACAATCTTTTCTTGAAAACTTTCATGTTTGGTCACTTTTTTGCTTGATTTATGCAAAAATTTCAGAGTATGGAGCGGCCGGAATAGTTTCTGCGATGGGGGATGTTTACAGCTATGGGATTCTTTTGGCAGAAACTTTTACAAGAAAGAAGCCCACAGATGAAATGTTCTCTGGAGAGCTAACAATGGAAAGATGGATTTCTGAATCATTTCCTGGGAACTTTATGCAGAGAGTGGATGGCAATTTGGTGGTGGAGGGTGAAGAGAATTTTGCAGTGAAGCAAATTTGCCTGAAATCAATCATGGAGTTAGTTCTTCAATGCACACAGGACTTGCCTGAGAATAGAATGAACATGAAACAAGTAGTTGATGCACTTAAGAAGATCGTTTCCAAATTCCACCAAAATTGAGCACCCTGTAATGGCCTATGTATATATACACTCGGGCTAACTTTGTTTTCTAGCTTTAGCCAATATTAGTGAGGAATCTGGGCGAGTACAAATTGTATGTTTCCAAATGTTTGTGCCACCTCCTATGTCATTGCACCAACATTCTTGTTGTGCTAGAGTGAATAGTATTTCTTTTTTGAAATTAACGGTAGAAACGGAAAACAGAATTTTTTTTAAAAAAAAGACCAAACGACATCGTTTTGGTCAGGGCGCACGATATAATTTGCCACTACTTGTCCACTAGGTTGAGACCATTCCCCATAACTCCAATTTGTCATACCAAATTCATTTGGAAAAAAAAAAAAAGAAAGAAAAAATAAGTAATATGTGTTGTATGTATGAAATTAATTTGTAATGCAACTACAACGGATCCAAATTAGTTTCATATATCAAATACCGTTTTGGAAATTAATGCACATTATATTTTGGATAATCAATTCACAGAACCTTTTATGTGCAAAACCTACCCAAACCACTCACCTACATTCATGCAGATGGAATGAAAATTGCATACACAGCTGCCACAATAATTTATCATAATCTCATCCCTCAAAAACCTCGTAACTAAATAGTCACAAGTTTAATCCTTACTTCAAGAAAAAAGTTACCCAATCAGAATACATTAAGATATTAACTAATCAATGTTTAATCTTGTTTTTAGCAAATAGTTTGAGAATTTGAACCCCATTAAGAATCTAGGAGTAATTGAGAACTTGAATTTTCTAAAAAAAAAAGAAGTTATTCTATCAATTCCCTCTACCATCATGTTCACCGTGGCCATTTGTAATGAAGCTTTTATGAGTATTGTTTCATTAAACTTTTATATTTTTTTTTTTGTATGCTATGCTAATATATACATCTCAAAAAAGGAAATTAATATAGTTGAATCTTGATCAACCTCATTCAAAGAATGTTGTTCTGAACTATAGAAATTTCCAATCAATTATAAGTTTATTGTAGAGGGGTTGGATCATATTGCCTAAATTAACAAACATGCAATGTGATCTTTCAATGAAAAAGTAATTCAAGGCTAAAAGTAAAAGTCACCTTTTGTTAAAATTGAATGCCACGGTTTTTAACTGTCACAGTTAAATGCATGTCTATGAACTTAATTTATCTCCCCATGATTTCATTGTTTATTTCAATTAAAGAACAAAAAAAAAAAAAAAAAAAAAAAACATTACGGTGAACATTTAATTACCATAATACAATAATGTTTCTTTCATAACTTTAAGGATTATGAGGAGAAAAATCTATCACTACTATTCAAAAATGTGCACTATAACTCATAAACTATAGGCTCGATTAATTGAGTACTGACAAAAATCAAACTCGTGATTTTGCTAAACCTGCAAATGATAATATTTTATTTACACACTTCTTTTCTTACTACATGACCTTCCTTTCTTCCATCACCTTCCATAAAAGACAGTATATCAACCCCACCTTTCTCTCTCTCTCTCTCTCATTCTCTCTCTCTCTCATCATGGGTGGTTCTTTCCTGGCGGGAGCGGTGGTTCTGCTGTGTGTACTGAACCACGTGCAGGGGAAACGGCCGGTGCACAAGGCGGAGCAGGCGGCGGCGATCATCAACGGCTGTGATCTCTTCCAAGGAAGCTGGGTTCGTGATGAATCTTATCCTCTCTACAATTCATTGCAATGCCCCTTCATAGAGAAACAGTTTGACTGTGAGAGGAATGGAAGAACCGACACAGACTTCCTCAAGTATACATGGCAGCCCAGTCTTTGTAGTCTTCCCAGGTTCTCAAATTCTTTATTATTATCTACTTTTTTTTTTTCACTTTTTCTTTTATTTTTCTCACACATTTTACTTTATTTATTTAGTTTTAAAAGATATAAATCTTTGGAACGAGTTTAATTGGCGTGAGTGCATATCTGTTCTTAACTACTTAAGCATCGAATCTATGACTTCTCATTTAAGAAAATCACTGCGTGCAACTAGACCACAAGGTCATTGAATTGAATTGAATTGAATTAATCACAATTTATTGAATTGGACATTTAAAATAAGATAGAAAAAAAAAAAAAAAAAAAAAAGAAAGGAAACATCATATATGACAGATTTCAATGAATGTTTTGGTGGATGAAATTCTTTGTTTGCTTTTGTGTTTGTTTGTTTGTTTCACGGGTATTGGTTTACAAGACAGAGAATTGTTGAAATTTATGAACTGTTTTTACCCTTTTTGTATCATCACTACATTTGTTTACGACCACAAGGTAGTAATTTATATGTATTTTAAGCTTTCAAATTAAATAATTTATCTATGTATCATTTTACCCGTTTTATTTATTATTTATTAGTCAAATCAATTTTTTACTTATTTTTAATTTTTTTTTTTATGTTTAATACATTTTGATGTACTTTCTAAATATATAAATTTTATATATTAATATTAAATTTAATGTTATGAACAAATAAATTGTAAATAATTTTAGTGAAACCTCGTTAATTGAATCAGACAAATAAAATGAAACAAAAGGAGTAATATTTTTACTATTCCATCCATGTTAGTCAAGGCAACGGGTGGGACAAGACATGAATTATACTTCCCATCCTTGTACCCGCAACCCTGGTCCTCTCTCTATTCTCGTTGGGGATAGAAATTCGTTTTTCATAACTTGTAATTAAACAACGATATTAATAATGTGAGATTTTGATATTGATCCCACATCGACTTCACAAGATACTCCACATGGAAAAGGGTTACTTTTTTCGACGCCCACATTCAATACTGACCCTGAATTTAAAGTTAGAAATTTGACTTGAGTAATGTATCAGATTTCTTTGACCGTGAACCTCAAGTTAGGAATTTGACTTGAGCAGCGTGTCAGATTTCTAAACACATATACTCTAACCACTATAGGTGAAATAACCCCATCATCATTATAAGATAGACTTGTAAGCAACTAAAATGGGACAAAATTGTAGAAACCCAGAAACATAAACTTACATGTCTTTGCTTAATCCCAACGCCCAAAGGGGCAAACATAAAACAATCAATTTCCTTGTAAAGACAAAAGTCTTGTGGTCCCTTTCTATCCCTTTTATATTTTTGATCTTGCAATTGTGTAGACTTTGTTGACATGTTTTACCACCCTCTACCACATAAAATAAGCATCATACACCACATGATTTCCATTTTCCAGTGAAAAGTAGCTTTAGTTGTATTTAATTGACTATTAATCAAGATTCCAATTTGCTGTCCAATAATGTATGTATAGCAATGACAGATTGCTATGATCATGGTTTGAGGAATCTCTGTTTTTGAATTGATATTAAGTATATGTATTTATTATTATTTTATAATGACGAAATGATATTTTTATCCCAAAGTTATATCTGAGGTATACAATCAGGTTTAGGGCAAATTATGGTCCACACAGTGTTATGTGTACCATAACAAAAAAGTACATTTTTAATATACTAAATGTACATTATTTTTGTACTGAATGTGCATTATACAATATAATGTACACTCAGTACAAAAATAATGTACATCCCCTGAATACAAACTTAATTGATTAATAACAATATATAACCATCCATCTAGGTAAATCAACGGGTGAGGGTTGCTGAAAATAATAAAAAATAGAAACGGATCAGTTTTATAAATATTAAGTTTGTAATAATTATAAAATTGACTGGTGTTTTTTTACTAAAACCCTCCATGCACCATTGATGAACCTTGATGGGCGGCTAAGATCAGCCTCAGTTTTTTACAATCTAAACAAGCATTTTAATTGGGTTGCAGGTTTGATGCCAGAGAGTTTATGTTAAAGATGAAGGGCAAGAAAGTGATGTTTATAGGAGATTCACTGAGTCTGAATCAATGGCAGTCCCTCACATGCATGCTTCATGTGGGAGAACCAGATGCTAAGTTCAGCTTACACAGATCTGGACCAGTTTCTAATTTCACATTCCCTGTAAGATTAAGTGGAATCAATGTTATTGGTTTCATCTTCCCCAGAAACTGATGAGCTTTCAATTTGTGTGGAAATGGCAGAAGTATGATCTTTCCCTCTTTCTCTTCCGCGCTGCCTTTCTGGTTGATCTTGTTACAGAGAACGAAGTGCGGGTGTTGAAGCTCAACTCCATCAGCAATGGCACCCAGTGGAAGGAAATGGATGTGCTCATCTTTGATTCTTGGCATTGGTGGCTGCACACTGGCAGGAAACAGAAGTTAGTCAAGTTTTCTGCAGATTTTCTCTGCTGTTCTTGCTTATTAGCAGATGTAGTCTCACATTCTGCATTTTTTCTGCAGCTGGGACATTGTTGAAGATGGAAATTTCATATACCCAGATGGGGATAGAATGGTTATGTATGAGAAAGCACTCATCACCTGGGCAAAATGGGTTGAAACAGAAGTAGACACCAGAAAGACTGCAGTGTTCTTCCAAGGAGTTTCCCCTGATCATGACCTGTAAGTCCATCCATAAGGTTCTATGTTCAAACTCTCAATGGAAGACCAGTAACGGCCTATTGGTCTTTTTAATTTGAGCCGGTTAACTATGGACAACCAAAGCTGATTTACCTCCTTTGTGGTCTCTGTCGGTTAGGGTTACAAGGCCCAGTGCACTCCATAAGGTTCCAAGTTTGGCTCTCAGTGGGAGTAGCCTATTGGTCTTCTTGGTTTGAGCTGGCCAGCTATAGGCAACCTAGGCTGATTTACCTCGTGGTCTCTTGCCGGTTAGGGTTACAAGGCCAGTGCACTCCATTAGGTATCAAGTTTAGCTCTCAGTGGAAGTAGCCCATTGGCCTTCTTGATTTGAGCGGATCAGCTATAGGCAACCTAGGCTGATTTACCTCCTTGTGGTCCCTTGCCGGTTAGGATTACAAGGCCAGTGCACTCCATTAAGTTCCAAGTTTGGCTCTCAATGGGAGTAGCCCATTGGCCTTCTTGGTTTGAGCCGATCAGCTATAGACAACCTAGGTTGATTTACCTCCTTGTGGTCCCTTGCCGGTTAGGGTTACAAGGCCAGTGCACTCCATTAGGTTCCAAGTTTGGGTCTCAGTGGGAGTGACCTATTGGTCTTCTTAATTTGAGCCGGTCAGCTATGGGCAACTTAGGCTGGTTCACCTTCTTGTGGTCCTTTGACAAGTAGGGTTACAAGGCCAATGCACTCCATAAGGTTTCAAGTTCAACTCTCAATGGGAGCAATATATTGACCTTCTTGATTTAAGCCGGTCAACTATGGACAACCTATACTAGTTTACCTCCTTGCGTTCCTTTGCTGGCTAGGGTTACAAGGCCAGTGCAAAACCTCGAGCAGTGGCTGCGAGTTTATCTCGTCACCCAAAAAAAAGTCTGTCACAATGGTTTGTTTATATGATTCAGATTTCATTTTATTGATCAATGACAATGCAGTGTGGAAAGCTCCAAGTCAGAGACTTGCACAGGGCTAACAGAGCCAACCACAGCAACAGGAGAAGCTCATCCAGGAGAACTGGTACTGGAGAGAGTTCTGAGAACTATGTCCAAACCAGTATACTTGCTCAACATAACTTCCATGTCACAGTTCAGGCAAGATGGCCACCCTTCGGTTTTTGGGGCGGGCGGCCACCGTGTTCTTGACTGCACTCACTGGTGTCTGCCCGGAGTCCCTGATACCTGGAATCAACTCCTATCCACAGCCCTGCTTACTCAATCATAAACCATAACAAGAATACATGCCAATACACTGTAGATTTAAGACTTATTCAAGATTACAGTTGAATAGTCATTCCCAGACTGGATAGTGGATAGAGATCCAAATGTATAAGGTTTTGGCTCCCAAAATCTTATCTGATTTGGACCATTACATCATTTTTATGAACAAAGTCATAGCTCATAACATTTTCATCACTGATATTGATGGCCATAATGTTCAATAATACTTACACAGACAAACACTAGATACTGCATAATCATAGTAGAAACATCATGTGTATAAACACTCATAAGTATACAAACATCATGTGTATAAACACTCGTAAGTAAAACTCGGGCATCTGCACCTAGAACTGTGCTGCCTGGATTACGAAAGCTTTGGAACGATAACCCTCAAGAGCCCATCACTGCACCATAAACACTCAAGAATTTCACCTTGCTGTTTTCGAAACGAAAAAGAAGAAAAGAAAGCAAATAGAGCTTTGACTTACAAAAACTCAGCTGAGACACTGTCCTTGTTCACATTAGAGGGAAGAGGCCATGCTAACTGGTATGGTCCCTGTAAAATGTCCCGTTTGTGATATGCAGATACCGAGTCACATAAATAAGTTGCCACTTTCCACGGGGCTGGGCGGTTTCCAGATATCATCAGGCTGTATATCACACACCATATGTTATTAAACCAAAAACATGACATTCAAATCTTCTCTAGTAGAAAAAGTGAATATAAATTAGCCAATGATGAATTCTTTATTACTTTTGGTCACTGACTTCCACTTTAATATCACTAACATTGACACCGGGAAGTTCCACCATGATCATATAGTTCAATCTCGACTCTGCAACATCCATCTTTGGAGACCACCCTATATATAACATAACAGTATATTTATCAAGAATCGTTTTTTATGCTAACCATTTTGGCAATCAGCATCATATAGGACTAATTGGTTTACCTTTAGTTTCAGAAGCATAATTTCTTGGTCTGGACTGAACTCGGGATTCTTGAGCTGTTGTTCCACGAGGCCTCGCAAATCTAGGAGCTTCAGGAGAACACTTAGAGGGTTCCACACTGGAAGGTCTAGAGAACATTGGTGCCTCAGAAGCATTAGAGGCGGTGTTTGCATAACCGATAGATTTAGGAGGAATTGCAGATGGATTTCCCTGTCACAGAAGTAAAATGCTTCAAATGGTTATGCTATCTTATAACATTTAAGGACAACATTAAGGAGTGGCATACAATTGATTGTGTTACCTGCTCATATGAACTCGGCCTCATGAAACAACCTTGGGAACTCGAACCCTGTCTTGCAAAGTACATTCTGTTGTCACACCTCCGGATTACCGAGTTCAGATTACTGCTGCAAATCTGAAACACCAGGCAAATGAAGAGGCAAAACATAAGCTACGAGAAATAGCAGGAAAGATGAAATTGGAACAAAAACAAGAAAAAATAGAGCTCTTATAAAGCGAAATAACATAGTAAATCATTAAACATAACTCCTTTATCAACTAGGGTAACAAGGCGGTGTTTACTAGGTAGTGGTTGCAGTTTTCCTCGTAGTTCAAAAAGTAAACACAGACATTAACTAAGAAGTCTAAGAGTTTGGGTTTATAGGTGAGTGCAATAGAACTTTCCCCTGCCAAGAGTTTGGGTTTGACTCTCATTTCCACACCATTTTCTTTTTAAGAGGAGAGATTAATCCAACAAAATGAAGAAAGCTTGAAAATCAGTTAATACGGGCATATAACTTTAAGCAGAATGACAATACAAATAAAAATGCAATCTTTATTCCTTATCTTCTGTCCCCTTCCCACTTTAGCAAGGTACTAGATGAAGAATATCTATAATAACCATAACCACTCTTCTCAAGTTTTCAACAAACACAAAGCAGTACTGTAACAGCTAACAGGAACTCGATTACCCCAATGAAAACACAAGTTCATCAAGGAAAAGGGCAAGGGGTCAGATCAAACATTAGAAAATGATGTAACAGAGCAAGATTGAATCTTTTGCCTTGTTTTTGTTTAACGGACACAAATTGAGCAAAACCCATGTTTCAAGAATCAATAACAGGATCACTAACAGTAGTATTTATGAAGAACTAAAGAGGGAAGGAGGCAAAAGCAAAATTACCACAGGAAAGACATGAGTGGGGGCGGTGGAAATGTCTTCATGGGCAGCTAAGTGGGCAGCGATCATGTTCACCCTTCGGCTAACAATCTGACTCTCCATTATCTCCAACTGAAGGTTGCTCCTTTCTGCAAAGCTGTGTGGGAATTATAGTGGGGATTTTGTTGGAACAACTGGGCTTAAAAGAAGGATTGTAATGAGAGGATGATGATGGAGATGGTGATGGTGTGTAGATATTTAAGTTTACTTTCTGGGAGTGAAAAGAAAAGAAAAGAAAAAAATCTGGATCCAAAATATCAGCAGTGGCCACTGGGATTTTGATCATATGGAGTGATGTCATTTTCCTGGCTAGTTTGTCTTCATGATGAACGGTGGTGGGGCTGCTTTGCCGGGCTGCTGACGAGGAACGGCTCCACGCCCAAATCATTGGGATAACTTTCACAAATTAAGGAAGAAAAATGCTACATGCATTCATACGTTTTACTTTCTTTTTACTTGCTACTGACAAGACAGAGATATTTGAGATATTTTTTTTTTTTAAATTTCAGAATTAATACCGAATTTAGTTCTTGAGTGAATTTTATACCTAATTGATTTCTTGGTTAAAATAGCTTAGTAATTTTTTCTTTATTAATGTTTAATTTTGTCCTGAACTATAATAGTTTTATTGAGATTATAGTGATTTTATTCAATGTAGTCCTCGATTATTGATTTTTTTATATTTAGTCCTTGATTCTAATAATCAAGGACTGAATTAGATAAAAACCAACCATCCAAGTCCATAACCTAATTATGCATAAAAAGACAGACATTTAGAACTAAATCGAAAAAAATTACTATAGTCATGACTAAATTGAGTATTAACTTCGATATTTGAAAAATAGCTTATCAATGCCTCGAATAAAGTGATCGAGTGATGAAGTATAATTCTCAAGTTAGTTATACACTCTTAAATAGTAATTGTGAGTCTCCCTATCCAAAATAATAACAATAATAATAATAATAAAATTAGTACATGTATGAAGAATCATTAGCATTTGTCATTTGCATTATGAAGAATATATAAGGTGAGTATCTAGATGGTTGAAGCAAGAAGAGGACATTTAAAAAAAAAAAAAAAAAAAAAAAAACAAAACAAAACCGTAGACAATGCAAGAAGCCCAAGCGCTGGTAAGCCCAAAAGGATGAGTAGATAGGCCTGTCCCAAAGCTGTGGAAGCCCAACATAAGATCAGAGGCAAATTATGCTATGCGCATGTGCGCACCTTGCAAGGTGCGCACGGCGCTAAAACGGCGTCGTTTTCCGTGAAAACGACGCTGTTTTAACTTAAAAAAAAAATTTGTTCGAAACGCCGTTAACGGCATATTTAGAGCTGTCAAAGCGGGCTGGCGGGCCAAAGCCCGCCAAAGCCTGCCTTTTGGCGGGGCGGGCTAAAAAGCCCGCCAATAATACGGGCCTAGGTAGGGGCAGCCCGCCCCGCCCCGCCTTAGGCCCGCCCCGCCAAAGCCCGCCTCTTTTTTATTTTTTATTTTTTTTTATTTTTTTTATTTTTTTTTAATCATGTGTGATGTGTCTCTAAAATCTAAACTCTAATGTGATTATGTTAATAACTTAATTGCCAAGCACCTTGTGCTCAGATGGCATGTAGTGACCTCTCCCATGTGGGAAGTCATGAGATCGAGCCTCAGTGGAGGCGTTGTTGACTCTTTGTGCTTCATTAGGTTGAGAAAGTATATTTGAACAGATACTACAATGTAATAGAGTTAGTAGCATTCAAAAAAAATGTTAATAACTTAATTGCTATCTACTTAAAACACTTATTCATAAGAAAATAACATAAATTTGTTCATCACAACATGACACCAATAGGGGTAACCGGGTAAGTATAATTATTCCTATTATTTTTAATATATATATATATATATATATATATATATATATATATATATATATATATATATATATATATATATATATATTAGTTAGTTATATATATATACACACAGATTTACAGTGTTACTGTAAATCTGTGTATATATATATATATAACTAATATATATATTATAAATATATATATTAGTTATATATATATATATATACACAGATTTACAGTAACACTGTAAATCTGTGTGTGTATATGACACCAATAGGGGTAACCGGGTAAGTATAATTATTCCTATTATTTATATTATTATATTATACATATTATTTTTAATATATATATATATATATATATATATATATATATATATATATACACACACACAGATTTACAGTGTTACTGTAAATCTGTGTGTATATATATATATATATATATATATATATATATATATATATATATAACTAATATATATATTTATAATATATATATTAGTTATATATATATATATACACAGATTTACAGTAACACTGTAAATCTGTGTGTATATATATATAACTAACTAATATATATATATATATATATATATATATATATATATATATATAAACTAAAAAAAAAAAAAAAAAAAGGTGGGCTGGCGGGCTACCCGCCAAGCCCGCCCCGCCAAGCCTACGGGCTAGGCGGGGCGGGCAAAAAAGCCCGTTTTTAATACGGGCTTCAAAACTATGAGCCCGCTCCGCCCTTTTGGCGGGCGGGGCGGGAAAGCCCGGCGGGCTAAGCCCATTTTGACGGCTCTAGGCATATTCGTTATGAAATTATAAATATACAGTTATGACATTATGAATGTACAGTTATAGAATTATGAATGTATAGTTATGGAATTATGAACTTACAATTATGAACATAGAGAGCTTCGAAAATTATGAATGTTCGGTATGGAATTATGAATATACAGTATGGAATTATGAATGTACAGTTATGGAATTATGAATGTACAGTTATGAAATTATGAACATAGAACTCTGACATTATGAACTTACAATTATGAACATAGAGCTTCGAAAATTATGAATTTACAGTTATTGAATTATGAATGTACAGTTACGGAATTATGAATGTACAGTTATAGAATTATGAATGTACAGTTATAAAATTATGAATGTACAGTTATGAAATTATGAACACAAAGCTGTGAATATATGCTCCTATAACGAAGCGATCTGAAATTAAATTAAAAAAAAAAAAAAAAAAAAAAAAAAAAAAAGAAGATAACGGTGCCTGACGGCACCGTTATCCGTGCCCATGAAGCACGCTGGGCACGAGCCCACAGCATAACTATCCAAGATCAGATGGACAGTTATGCCATGGACCCGGGTCTACTTTGCAAGGTGATCCGGATCAAAATACACAATTTATATATTGAATGTTTACAATTTACGTATTAAATGCTCACAATTTTTATATATTAAATGTTCATAATTTACATATTAAATATTCACAATTTAGATATTGAAATCACAAAGATTGACGAGAAAATTGATGCAACTATTTACCTATTAGATTGAGGAGGTGTTAAATGAAAAAAAAAATATATATCAAATATTATACATCCCAAAGATATTGCATTTTTATATTATTCATACTTCAACTTTCACTCATAAATCATAATCTAATATTTTATTCATATTTTTTCATTCATTATCCACTTATATATTGGTCAATATGTTTCATAGTTCAAATTCCACTAGTGAAAGAGTTCAAATCAATATACTCAATATAGTATTGATAATTTGTGCAACTTATCTCAATCCAATTTCATATATGTGAAAGTATCTAACCGCTGAAGAAAAATGAGCCTAGCTAGCTAGCCACTTAAAATATTTAGTATTGACTCTAATATTTAAAACAATTGATAAGTGAACTGTTAATTCAATTGTAAGGTTAAATGTTACCCTCTTATAAATGTGTGTCATGTTAAAGGATTCTATTAAATTTTACACATAATTTGAATCAAATTTAAATTAATTTTATCCTAAGGGCATCCCCGTCTATGGTTTTGGTGTGATTTTTTAGGATAACATGCTTATGTGGAAGAGAAAATGAGTGGAGAGAAAAAAAAAAAACCCTACTGTAAGGAGCTGGTTTTTACTCAAAAAAGTGGGTCCCACCATGGTAAATATAGCTTGCATTTGGTCGCGTGCGGAGCAATCATAGCATCCAGCCGAGCGCGTGCACTGCCTTAATCTGATTTTTTTTTTCTTTTTTTCCTCCCTTCCCATCTTCTCTTTCTTAAGCACACATGTAAAAACTTTTCAAAAACTCCAACTATTGGTGATGCGTTAACGAGATAAGTAACTGAGTGTGAAAAGATATATTTTAGTATGGAAAATTTATACACATGCACTACTTAGACCAAAAAGGGATAGGATATTTTGCATTTGGATGAAAAGTTGACAGAGAAGTGGAAGGGTATGCACACGTTATAATAACAATCTTGAAATCTGCAGTAGTCTATGATGATGAGATCACAGTCCACTCATCAATGATTGCAGACTTCTAATGGAGCAGCTATGAACACCAAATATACAAACATTATTCAAACATTTCTGCTTGCCAACAAATTAAAGCAATATTTGACACAATATAATGTATATAGTGAACTTTTGATGGAACTTAGCTTAATTAGTATTTTTTTAAGAATGAATTATGTGTGCATAATTTACAAATAAATACTTGACAGCTTAACTCGACACTTCAAAGTTATCGATCTAATTTAGAATTACTTTTGATTGATATATACGAAACATAATTAATAAGTTAAAAACGATTTATACAGTGATAGTATAATATTTTGGTAACAGTTGGCGACCCAAAGTGATTAGGCTTGACTTATGAGATGTTGATTCGTTTTAGGCCGGCCAACATGAGGTTGACCAGGGAGTACTAGGTCGGCCACACTAGGTTAGTCCAAGTTCAACCAAAAGATCCGACATAACAAGACTTAATCCCACAACTGTTATAAAACTTTTAATATTCTTTAAAAAAAAAAATCAAAAGTAATTGGCCACTAAGAGATTCACATTGTTCATTGACACTTAGTCAAATAGATTTCTTATAGTATGTATTATTAGGACAATCATCTTGTATATTCAACCAACACACATTGTACTAAACTCATATATAACTACACCTTTCATTATAGAGAATAAAATTCGTTAATTATACTTTAAAAAATCTTTGTTTCTTGTTAGTGTAAACTCACACTTAGCTTCAAAAAAACAAAATTTCTCAATCTGAGGCCCCACATTCTGATTTCCAATTCTACAAGAATTACAAAAAGAGTTAACTGTCTAGATTCAAATTATCACCCGAAAATCAATTGAGCTGTCTGGTAAACTAACACTACATTGGAGGATATCAAGAATCTTTAAATTAATGATAAATTGATGTACCATGTTTTACCAAGTAGGAGGAATAAGGGTTTGAGGATTATTACTACTTCCAGTCAAAATGGCATCCTGGGAACCAAGTCATAATCATGCAGTGCGTGGAGAATTCAACCTCCAATTGCTCCCCTCTTCAAACTTGGAACGCTGTCAGCAATACAAAAGAGGGTCAAAAGACAAATGAAGAAGGAGGACCGTTGAAAATTCCACATCAAACGATCATCGCCATTGCCCTGTTCATAGTCAAGTCTTCACTCTCTCTCTCTCTCTCTCTTTCCTTTTTCTCCCGGTCAAGGTGAATCATGGGGAGGATCCATCATCCCCTCCCAGTCTTCCTTTTTATATATATACTCCCGCTGTCTTGCGGTAACTCCAAGAATTCTAGTTTTGGTTTTCTTGAATTTTCCATCAAACTCCCAGGCTGTGTTCTGGGTCTTTTTGATCATCATTCTTGTGAGTTTTTGCTAATAATTTGAATTTCACAATCTGGGTATTGCTGGAAATCCCTTTTCTTGGGGTTTATTGTGGGAAAGTTTCAAATTTTGGAAATTTTCAGCAAATTTGAACTCTGGGATTTGGAAATTTCTTGATGCTTTTCTGGGATTTGGATGAAAACATAGTAGGGTTTTGATTGAGAGATACAAAAACACACAAATCAAACACACACACACACACACATATTGATGATGGATGGAACACAGGGTGGTTCTAATGCACCTGCCCCATTTCTGACCAAGACATATGAACTAGTGGATGATCCATCCACCAATCATATTGTTTCTTGGCATCAAAATGGGCACAGCTTTGTGGTCTGGAATCCTCCTGAGTTTGCCTGTGAATTGCTCCCCAAATACTTCAAGCACAACAACTTTTCCAGCTTTATCAGACAACTTAACACCTATGTAAGCCCACTGTCCCTTTTTCATTTAATTTTTTGCTCATTCATTTCCTCTCTGCATATATATCTGCATGTTTAGTTGTAATCTGAAAGTGTAAGTAAAAAGATTAGCCACAGGTATCAGTCTAACATTTGGGCATTGTTCATTTGTTATAAACCAAGAACCCCTAATGAAAAAGATGTCAAATTGGATTTGTATGGAAAACTAGATTGAATCGTGTTTGACAATTCTTAACATTTATTGCAGGGGTTCAGAAAGATTGATCCTGAACAATGGGAGTTTGCAAATGAGGAATTCATAAGAGGACAGACACATCTCTTGAAGAATATCCATCGGCGTAGGCCAATCCATAGCCACTCTGGTCCAGGGAATTCCGTGGCTCCCTTGAATGATTCGGAGAGGCAGGGGTTTGAAGAGGAAATCGAGAGGCTGAAACACGAGAATAGTTTTCTTCAGTCAGAAGTAGAAAGGCGCGAGCAAGAGAATCAAGAATACAAACTCGAGTTTCAGTCGTTGGAGCATCGGTTGCTCAAGGTTGATCAAAGGCAGAGGCGACTCGTGGCTCTTTTGGGTCAATTATCTCAAAAGCCGACATTTGCCTCTGCCCTCATGAACCAGTTGGATACTCATAACAAGAAGAGAAGGCTATCGATTTCCAATAGCCTGTACGATGAAGACAAGATTGGAGATAACCAATTCCTTAGTTTCCAAAAGGGTCTTGGCTCCATCACACAAATTCCACAGTTAAGCTACGAGCTAGTTGCAAAGTTGGATTCTTCCATAAATTTCTGCGAGAATGTTCTCCATGGGATTCCTAAGACTCCAGTGGAAGATGTTTACGAGTTTGCTGCCCTTCCTCGGCCTTCAACTGAGATGCAGGCAAGATCTGGAGATTCTGAAGTCAATGTCCGGCCTTGCTCTTTCCATTCTCAACCGTCATCACCTTCAAGGGATATGTGCTCGTCTCCCGAGTTGGCTGGGTCTTCAAGTCACACGGGTACCCCTGAGATATCGTCCATCTTTCCCAACTTAGAATCCCGACATAAGCCTTCAGGAATTGATGTAAACACTAGTCCTGCTAGTACTCTCGAGCCTACTATCTTGAAAGATAAGGTGGAGGGTAACTCTTCTACGTTTATGCCTAATGGAGGTAATGATGTATTCTGGCAGCAGTTCCTCACGGAGACTCCCGGGTGCTCTGACCGCCAGGAGGTCGAGTCTGAAAGAAGGGAAACTGTTGGGAGAAAGTATGATAGCCAATTAGCCGAAAGCCATAGACCTTGGTGGAACACGATTAACATAGAACACTTAACGGAAGGCATGGGGCATCTCAGTCCCATGACTGGAACCTGATGCTGCTTCACCGTTTTCTTGTAGATTTCTTGCCTGCTTGTTGTAAGCGTCTTTTTTAGCATGGATCGCTCGGTTAGAGCTGGATCCATGCTTTCTTGGTTTTGATTTTGCTTGTAGTCACTAGCTAGATATCTTTTTTATCAGAATAGAAGTTTTCTAAGTTATCTGCGTTCTAGAGTTTAATCCCTATTCCCTATCCCCTATTCCCATTCTTATTCACTGTTCTCCTTTGATGGGTTACAAGATGAATTATTCTTGAGTTTTTAGCTGAAGTGAGCTCTGGGGGGTCCAGCATATTCTGTGAAACATCTGTGAATGCCCAAAAGGGAACATCAGCTTGGCCTTCTTATATATGTCTCCTTTTCAAAGTCTAATTCTGTCTGCTGGAATGGTTTTTATGCCCTTTCATTAATTCATATAAAATGTTGAAAATTTGACCACTTTTTTGGATTTCTCTTGGGATTGTGGTCAACAAAACCATGCTTGGGTTTGAAGTATACTTGGCAACCAAGAACACTAAATAAATGTTTCTAAAGTTAACCAATTTTTTATGTTTTATTTTGTGAGTGACGAGGAAAACCTGCAATCGCTACTCACTACTTAAGAAATTAATCTCTTGCTGAGCGTCAAACTTGTAACATTGTGATTGCCAAGTCAACAATCTGACTGACTTGGCTAAGTTTGCTCCAAAATTATGTAGGACAAGGAACCTGCTGTCAATTATCTAATCCATTTTCTGCCTGCTTTGAAGCCCAGAAGAACAAAATCAATGGTGCACTGAATTTCATTTCATTGGAAGTAAATATATATTGAACATGTCAGTTTAGAGTAATTTTAAACACTATGACTAATGGAACAAGAAAGAAACAGATTCCAACACTGCAACTGCTTACTAGTTTTACACATGACAGCACTGCTAAAACAGCATAAAGTGTAAATGGAATAAGTAATGGCTAACAGGAATTCATAATATGATGAAGAAAACACCTTATCAAGCTTGCAGACAAAGATAGATGCTGCTAGCCTGATGCTTCATCGACGGTATCTATAGCGTTTGAAATTGAAGTACAGATGTAGGATCCCTCTGTCAAATATGCATTTGAACCCTTTCTTGTGTGAATATTCCCATTCTCTGTTAACAATTCGGAATGCTATGTCCTCGTAAGGGGGGCCTGCATGAAACTTGATGATGCAGGTATCAACACTGTCTCCATCCTTCTCTATTACATAAGTTGGAGCTTTTGATTTGTCAACAAGATCTGGATAAAAGATGTTGAACTTGTATCCCTGTACAATTTTCGGGGGTGGATTGTCATGGTCATAATGAGTCTGATTGTACTTGTTCCATTCGTATCCAGTATGAACACGATTGAAGTACTTTGGCTTCCTTGGGCGGTACTTGTCGTGCCACCAGTAAACCTGTGAATCGAGATTAACTTCATCATTAGAGCCAAACACTGCATCTCCTTCCTCCATAGCTCCCATGGCTTTCAAGGCCTTCTTCTCAAAGTTGTCTTCAGGCAGTTTTGGTTTTGGAATCATATCCTGTAGGCGACGCTCTTCCAGAACTGCCATTCGGTTCTTTTCAAGCATAGCTCTGTCTTCTTCAGGATCAATTGCCTCTTCCTTTTCGTCATCCTGTACTAACACAGGCGAATATGATCCATCATTGTCATCTTCATCATCATCATCATCATCATCATCATCTTCATCTTCTTGTTCTTCTTCCACCTCCTCCTCCTTAGTATCTTCATTCAGCACAGGCTCTGCAGATACAGCTCGATCATCCTTCTGAATATAATCCAGATCTTCTTCATCATGCCTAAATTCCAAATCTTTTTCATCATCTTTCCTCTCAGATGGTGTCTCAAGCCGTTCTAGATATTTGCGCAGCATTTTTGCATGAATTTCTTTAAGACAAGCCTTAGCCTTGAAAATCTGAAGCCGCTTAAGAACAGCTTCCCAATATTCAACCACTTTGGCTGTTCCAGATTGCATCTGGGACTCAATTTGTGATTGTAAGGCTTCCAATTCACCGTAACTCTTACCCTGCAAGAGAAGCTTCACATCTGTTTCAATGCTGGAATGTAAACCCCTTTCTTCAGCCTGCAACTCCGGTGGTAAGTGCTCTCCCCGCACTCTGGCTCGGTCCATAGCGTCCCTTTTCCGGGCCTCTGCTAATTCCCAATTGCAAACCACCAAAAGCGCTTCCCAATATTGTACATGCGTCTCTGTAGCTCTATCCAAATCAAGGTGCAATTTGATATCCTCCTGAAGTTCTTCTATTTCCTTCATTGTCAAACCCTTGAACACCATGTATGGCTCGTTGATTTCGATATCGAAATCATCAGAAGGATCTAGTTGCTTGATAAGAACATCAATTGGCTTGATTCGACCTTGTTGAATCCGGATCTTCGTCCTGGTTTTGCTTTGGTCAAAGTGGAATTCCTCCTCTTTTTTCTCCCAATCCTGAAACTCAGCCCTAGCTCGCTCTCTGGCAAGCAGTGCCATTTCTTCCTCACGCTGCGCCTTTTCAATTGCTCGCTCTTCTCTCCGTTTCTTCACCTTCTCGATTTCTGCTATTCGCTCTTTCTGTCGTTCCTTCTCGGCTTTTAACGAGAAGGACTCGAGCGGAACACCCCGAGATATATCGCGGTGGATTTTCTTCTCCCAGATAAATTTCTCGTTTAAATTCGAATCACCAAACGGGTTTGAATCGTTGGAATAGCTAGAAAGCTTCTGTTTAGCGTTCAATTTCTTCGCAGCCTTCTTCAACCTCCTCTCAGCTTTCTTCGCCATGTACTCGGCAATCTGCTCGTCAGTAATTTTCCTCTTCTTCTTACTCTTCCTCCGTTCATCCTCCTCCGAGTCAGAATCATCAGACTTCCGCCGCCGGCTCCGACTGCGGCGGCGGCGATTGGAACTGCGGCTAGGCGGAGACGATTCGCGACTGGGAGAGTCCGAGTCCGTGGCAGCGGCGTGAGAACCGGAATCTGACTGGGACAAATCGGAATCCGAAGCTCGACGACGGCGGCGGCGGTCACGGCTGGATCTCGACGACTCCCTTTCCTTCTTGCTTCTGCCGCTGCTGCTGCCATGCGTCTCCATCTCAATGCTTCTGACTACTCAACTACGAACTAAGAGTTGATAACACAGCTGCAATTTAAATCAATCAAGCAAAACCCTAAACCTAATTGAATTCAGACAAAAACAACCATGAGATTGAAGACACCATGCATCTGGGATTCTGGGAATTGAAGAATAATAAAATACCAGAATAAATACTCCATATAATTTTGGGAGAATGTATTGGATTGGGCCGTATCAAATTAAATTATGGGCCTAAAGCAGAAGGCCCATCTTCTAGCCAGCCAGTGTACCAAAAAAGAAATATATATATATATATATATATATATATATATATATATATATATATAAGAATGGAGTTTATTTATTACATACTTCTTACTATATAAAATAGCCACACCCCTAGGGAATTGCGTTAGAGCAAAAAATCCCGCCTAAAATGTAGTATACAAACGCTGCGTTTTGGACAGTCATTGTTAACCTCAAATGTATTCAATGAGCCGTTTAAGAGCTGCTTTTTCGATTTTGCAAATATTTCTCGGATATCAAAACTCAAAAATACCTGTTAACTAGCCGCTTGAGGTTTCCGAGAAAACGTATCGGATTCCAATTCTAAGTCTCCAACTAATGGTTGCCTTAACAGTTGTATAAATTGAGCTTTACCATCAATCAACACACCATCCGTTGCTGAAGTAGAAATCGCTGGCAAGAATTTCTCTTCGACAGAATGTATCCAATGTATATTCTTGGGAGTGAGATCTCACAAGTCAATGTTAGCAGTGCGATGAAGGTTCGCGTTGAAGGAAGCGATGCAATCAGAAGCAATTTTGAGGTAATGTTCAAAATAGATGCCGTATTATAATATCCATCTCATAATATATATATATATATATATATATATATGCAGGGAACATTGGTTGTATCATTGAGTCAAAGGATGGGCTAAACTACTGCAGTAAGTGTGAAAGGAGACGGGGAAAGGATTTTTGAGGTACCAGTTGAAGATTTGGGTGGCAGATTAAAAGGAAATACACCCTTTCTCCGTTGGGACAGAGAGTGCAATCAGTTGCTGGGAGTTTCTGCTACAGATTTGAAAGCAAGGCATCTAGAGGTATATTTACTTAATAACAGTTAATTGTATAATTGTAGAAATCATATTATAAACCCCTTCTAATAATGTATGCTTTTTGGCGACCCAGGTTATTCCATAAGAAATAGAGACATTGGTTTCACAGTGCATGATGTTTAGGGTGGGTGTTATAAAAGAGCAATTCCAGAATCTCTACAATGCATTGTCTGTCATGTGGATAGACACCGACCAAAGAATGATTCAGTTGAATGCACCAGAGCTTCTGGGAGTTCATGACAAGGACTTGAGTTCAAAACTTGAACATCAAATGCTTGAGGATGATGATGATTTTGAAGAGGTATACACAGTGTGTTTGACTTTTAAGTAATATTATATTACTTGCAAATACTTTAATATTTTTGTTTTTTATTTAAGGGAATTTGTTGAGAGTGATGAAGGGGAAAGTCCTATTGGGATTGTGGCTGCTGGCAATGGTGATGCTGTGGGTGATAGTTCTGTGTTGAAGAGACCTTTCTAGATGAGTTCTTATCAACTCAAACATCAAAGAACATGTCCCTCAGTGTTAAGCTTGAAGGTAAATGATTGATTATAAATTGTGTGGCATGAAATGTTTATGGACAATTGTGGCTGTGTCATTTTTATTTATTTAGGATAGTGATTTAGTGTGTTGCAAATACAATTGCATTGCTTTTCTTTGTGTTTTGAGTTTTTGGCACAGCAAAAAAGTGCAACATTTTGGCCGACTTTGAAATTCTCATGAGTTGTGCTGTATTAAAAAGGGATTCAAACACATGCTATTACTAGCAGCTGGTTGCATTGGAACATAATTGGTATCATGGTGCAGTACTTATTTTGCATGGACTTCAAGTTTGGCAGTACATATAAAGCAGGCTTTGTTATGAGGTTAGTATAGGATTGTGATATACTGAAAGTTATTATTTTCAGAATCTAATATTCTCTTATTTGTCAAATAATATTTATTTGTTTGTTATTTATTTACTTATAATTATCTGTTTAAGCAAAAGATCCTTAGTGGAAGCAACAAAACAAGCACAATTACTTTGTTGTTTACCTAAAAAATTAAGATCATTATTTGCTGTAATAGTTTAATTACAATTATTGTATACGCAACACATGAAGGATTCAAACATGCAAAAAAATAGAAAACAAAAATAAGCTAAACAGGAGTAATTAAATACAACAACACAAGTTCAAAATACTTCAAAATGTTATTAACTAAGTACGACATATACAGCCACTAACCAAATTGTTCACGCAGCTGCAATATTATATCATATTTGGAGAGCCAGGAACGGAGCGGTATGGGATGCGTGTCTACCGCGACCACGAAAAGTGTTAGCCTTGGCCGAAGCAACCGCACTTGCATGGCAAAGAGTCCACCACACCCACCCACAAACGGACCAAGGGGCTGCCGCACAAAGCAGTGCTACTGCCACTGCCGTGACACGGCAGCAGCAGCACTACAACACGGCAAATGCCGTGATTGCTATGGGGATCGCCCAAGAGGGCGCACGGAACGAGCCTGCCGAGCCGAGACGGAGATGCTATGTCGATGCTGGATTCATGCCAGCTACAGGAAGGGCTACGGTTGGCGCGGTTTTGTTCGACGAGGAAGGGGGATATGTATTGGCATTCAGTGCACCCTTGTCAGATTGTTTGTCCCCGCTTATGGCTGAAGCAATAGCTTGTAAGGAAGCCTTGTCTTGGTTATGGAATCGTGGAGAGCGCTCAGTACGCATACTCACGGATTGTTTGACCCTGCAACAGTATTTGACAAATCAAGCTATCACTGTTCGGACTTACGTTGGCTATGCCATTGATGCTTGTAGAGCATGCATTATTTCTTTTGATTATTGTTCAGTTAATTTTATTCCTAGATTAGAGAACTATTTAGCACATAGTCTAGCGGTTACTGCATTTAATTCTTCTACGATTATGTATTCGGACGATGTCCCTCCAGACTCTATTTCTAAGTACCTTTAATATATGCCTTATTGGCCACCTTTCAAAAAAAAGTACGACATATACTGGTATTTAACAATTAAGTACCAGATCGATAACAGATAAGTACGAGTAACACAATTACCAGATTCCAGATAAGTACCAGTAACAATTAACAGATTCCAGATAAGTACGAGTAACAATTAAAAAAAAACAATTTTTGATGCAAATAGTTAATAAAAAAAATATTAGAATGGTATTTGTTTTACTGAAACTACGAAAACAACGCATGCAATAGCTAGATTTTACTACTAATCAGCATATTCAAACGAAATCTTAATCAGAGACGCAGATTTTTCAGGAAATATCAATCGAACTAGGATAAAAATAAGAAATAAATCTTCCACATGTTCTAGCATCTCTGATTCAGCGGTATACGTCATCTTCTCCTATCACCGGTAAATATTTCCGGGCAAACTCTTATCCTGCGAAGAGAACAGAGTTAGGGCATCTAATTATTTCCCAGCAAACTCTTATGAACAGGATAGGCAACAATCGTAGATTTAGCGCATGCACTGAAGTTGAAGATCACAGAACTCCAAGCTCTGAATTAGCGAAGTACAATGAACAACCTGAACAACCCCCATGCTGTCGAGTAAAATTTGTGGGCCATACTACTCAAATTGCAGCCCGAGAGCAATAAATCTGTATAAATTGGGAATGCAATCAAAAGAAACTGAGAAAGAGAAATGGAGGTTAAATACATGTTGTCGCCCAGAATTAGGAAAGTCGTGTCTCCCCCGACGCTTTTCATCGAAACCAGAAGGAAGAAGCTTCTAGCATATCTGAGCACACCCACCCAATTCTATATTAATATAATTATATATTTATATATATATGTAATAACCTATATATGTTTACAGTGAAGCAAGATATGTTCGAATTATATGTATATATATATATATAAGGAAAATCTATTGGAAGAGATCATTAGTGTCCAGTTTTTATTTTTTATTTTTGAAAAAAGTATCCAATCTAATTGTTTGTATGGTGTTTTTCAAAGAAATTTGTCATTACAAGATTATTTGAGCATGTTATTGATGCTAAAATAATGACGGGTGACAATACCGAGAGTTCGATGTTGATAATGTCTATGACTCAATCGGATACAAGAGCCTTTTAAATTTTTAAGGAGACAGTCCCATTAATATTGTCATATGCTATCACAATAAATAAGTCAAGACCAAATTAACAATTTGTTTATCCTAAAAATAAAAAAAAATTAACAATTTACAATTTCATCATTTTTTCTGTGCCAATTTCTGTGCCATGATTGTGGAATATGTTATGCAATATACTTTTAAATCTGTTTAAGATGTAATATCTGTATTTTATTACAATTTATTACAATAACAACATGTAAAATTAAAATATAATTTATTGACCGTGCATCGCACGGGTACAATGCTAGTTTTGATAATAATTATAAGTTTTTCCTGTTACCGAAAAAATGTTTATATTTTTTATTTTACTTTTATTATAAATCTCCTGCAACCAATAATAATTATACTGCATTTTAATTAGGATGAAGTTAAATTAATCTGTTATGAAATTCTGTTATTCTAGTTTAAATTGAAATTTTATTGGACTTCAACTTTTTTCATGAATAGTTTATTAATTATTGACATGTATCAATTATTATTTTGACTTTTAATTGTGATCCCTTGACTATTGGGATTCATCAATTTTCATCAACTTTTAATTTGATCATAAAATGGTTCATTGACTATTGGTTGTGTTCCTAATTTGATCATCAAGTTAAATATGTAAGATTAAATTTAAGGGTAATAATGTAAACAAATTGGTTATTCACATTTTCACTAATGATGAACTCAATGTATTAAGTTTATGAATTCAATTTGCACTTCTCATCAACAAATCAATTTATACATTATTCCACTTAAATTTAATGTTTACTAAATGAATATTTATTTAAATGACCAAATTTAGAATAAAATCAATATTACATGGATCATTTATGGTCAATTTGAAAGTTGAGAATGAAAATTTATAAATGTCATTTGTCAGTGGATCGTTTATAATCAAATTAAAAGTCTAATTCTATTATCACAAAGTATGCAATAAATCAACTTCATTCTTGTATAATACATAGTAACTCATAAACTACACATGATATAAAAAATATATTTTTCAAAACTGAAAAATTCTTACAAAATAAGATATTCCCACGACTTTAGAAACAAGACGCGCAAACTTTTCAAAATTGAATTGAGGATATTACCGCCACACTTAAGCAACCAATAAACCTAAGTACTAAGCCAACATACATCCAACAACTGATATCCATAAAGATTTACAAGTCTTGGATTGCCACTATTCTATCTAGTCTGTTCATAGTGATTAACATTGCCCTAAACTGGAATGAATTCTCACATTAAATCTTGCCTGTCCAAAGCATATTATTTATATATTTATTTGTATATACATAGAGAAGGGTAGATTCAGACTGCAGTAAACTTCCCATAGTACAGAACATATAGAAATTTGGTTCAAGCCTAAGCTACATATTGGTGGATTCTGAGAACTGGGAATTGAAGAAGCATACTAAATTAAAGGTTGTGCATAATTAGAGGAGCACCATACTGAGGTTGAATGGTCAGCTTTGAATATGGAGCGTGTGCATAAGAAGGAGAAAGCTCAAACGAGAAGCGTTGCAGAATCATAGCCATAGCCATTTTAGCCTCTACCAAAGCGAAGTTCTGACCAATGCAGATTCGAGGTCCCCCGCTAAATGGGAAGAATGCTGGTTTGCCATTTGTTGCCTTCATTATGCCTTCCCGGAACCTCTCTGGCTTGAACTCTTTAGCATCTTCACCCCATATCTCGGTGTCAAGATGGATCAAGAGTGTTGGTAACGACAGCAGTACTCCTGGTGGCAGAACCATTTCTCCTAGTTTCGTTTCCTCCACGGTCTTCCTAATTAGGCCAGCTACTGGCGAGTATAGCCTTAAAGACTCGTATAAAATCATTGTAACCTGTAAAGAGGATATGACAATACGAGCACTATGTAAGATCTGCAGTATATATATAGCATATAAAATCTATGATACTCACGACTTTAAGGTCATTCAACCCTTCGAAATCTGGTTTCTTATCCCCGAAAACATGCAAAACCTCTTCTCTAGCCCGAGCTTGCCAATCTGGAAATCTGCTGAGTAGAACCATAGTCCACACCAGCATCACAGAAGTAGTCTCCTGCCCTGCAAAATAGAACAGGATGCACTCATCGATGATCTGTTCAATGCTCATTCCAAATTCCTTGTTCCCCTGCTGTCTGATTTCTTGTAAGTTGGAATCCAATAGTATGCCCAATAAATCATCGTTGTTCTTCGTCTCCCCAGCCTGCATTGCCTTCATTCTCTTCTCTATAATAACACGGATAGATGATTTCACTTCCTTGTCAATGGAATTCATTCTTCGGTTCCTCTTAGTTGGCACAAATCTGCAGTAAACTAATTACAAGTTAATGATTCATTTCTACGCCTATCGTCTCGATCACTCACGTACAGTCCTGGTTATTTTACCTCAATCCAGGTATATAAACTTGACGCGTAGTTTCCACCAAGTGCATGGCCTGTTCTTTCAGAAGCTCAAAGATCCTCTTTCCTTCTTCATAGCTGCTCCCAAACGCTGTTCGAGAAATCACATCACAGGTTAGGCCTTGAAGGTGAGGCCACACATCCACCTCACAAGAACAAGATGATGATCCTTTTCCATACACAATTCCCTCCCACTTGCTCAGCATTTCAGAGCAGCTTAGCAAGAAAGCCGGTTGCATAAGCTGTTGCAATTCAAGAGTTCTAGCAGTTAAAATATTATCTAATTCAGTGGTGAAGGTCAGTATTAATGATGCAAGTTTATGGCATATAACCCAAGTTTTCCGGTTTGCCAGACTGTACACTTTTGTGCACAAGTAGCCAACCCAAACTCAAACCCGCAACGTTTGGAGCTGGAATCAGGAATCAAACCCCCACCCATTGCGGTAAACAAGTCTTAAGTCTTAAGTTGTCTTCTCATCCACAGTATTTGATCCCCGGTGCTAGGCTAGTATTGTGGTAGGAATAAAGAATCAAGAATCGAATCCCACCATGCTGTGGGAACAAGTTTTAAGTGGAGCTTCTCATCAAAAGTATATAATTTAGGCTATTTGATCCCCGATTTTAGGATAGGCTAGTATTGTGGTAGGAATCAGGAATTAAGAATTGAACCCCATCATGCTATGGGGAATTGAAGCTGATAGTTGGATTGCACAATGGCTATATGCTCAACACACCCCTCACGTGTGCGGTGGGTTCCAAGCAATACGTGGACCGCGTGGACCGTAGTCCGCTATACCAAATTGAAGCATGTGCTCCATCTCAACTAAAAGCCTAAGCTGATAGTTGGATTGCACATTAATGGCTATATGCTCAACATGGGGAACAGTCTTAAGTGAAGCTTCTCATCAACAGTATATAATTTAGGCTATTTGATCCCCGGTCCTAGGCTAGTATTGTGGCAGGAATCAGGAATCAAGAATTGAACCCCATCATGCTATGGGGAACAAGTCTTAAGTGAAGCTTCTCATCAACGGTATATAATTTAGGCTATTTGATCCCCGGTCCTAGGCTAGTATTGTGGTAGGAATCAAGAATCAAGAATTGAACCCCATCTTGCTATAGGGAACAAGTCTTAAAGTGAAGTTTCTCATCAACAGTATATATATAATTTAGGCTATTTGATCCCCGGTCCTAGGGGAGTATGCCACTCCACTTTTAACACCATCCATTTGTCAACTATGACCAAAGATATGCTCAATTCTATTACAGCTAGATGTATGAATCATGTTTATTGTCGGAAAGAACAAAACTTGAGAAACATTAAACACACCTTTAGCTTCTCCGAATAGAAGGCAGGATTGAGTAGTCTTCTGTGTTTTGCCCACTGCTCTTTCTCATAACTGACAAGTCCTCGTACCAACTTTCTGCCCAGTGGATTGTTCCTAGGCTTCTGAAACAGTTCATATTTATTCAAAACCTCCTTTACTAGCTCAGGATCCCTGATGAACACCATTGGCATTGGACCCATCCATACATAACAGTTTTTACCTGCAAAACATCATTGAATAGAATAGAATTCTGGGATGGATGGATGGATGAAATTCACAGCAGAATGGGAAGCATGAAAGACATATATACCGTATTTGTCGGCTAGGTGAGCATAATACGGGATAACTCTCGGGGCTACGTTATCCGACAGAGTCATGGGCTTGGAAATGGCGTCACTCGCCATCTTCACGAGCTCTTTCATGTCGCCGGAGAGGATTCTGTAGGGGTTCCCTTTGAGGCCTAGCTGTTTTAGGCACTTCTCCAGCTTCTTCGGCTTAAACCACACCCAACCCAACACTCTCCATGCGAACGCCAACAAACCCACCGAAACGCACACTCCCAGTAGGGTGTATATCACCTCCATCTATATCCGTCGAGGTCACCGGAACTGTGGGAGTTCTTGATTTCACGGCGGGTAACCGGGGTTCATATATCAACTTATGAAGAGTGTTGGGCGGAAACGTCAGGGATGACGACGCTTGAAAAAGAGTACCAAAATGTTGATTTCAAACATACGTCGTTGTCTGTATTTACGTGAGAAACAAGAACTATAACGAACCACATACAACAGATGCATACAAATCCCATGAACCTAACCCATACCCATGAGACACATGTGCAAACAATTTTTATCTTATCACTAGATGGTGAGGACTGAGGAGGTTGTCAACCAATGAAATCCCTAAATAGTACACGATCAACTCCAACTTCTTACTCACAACTTCTCTTTCTTTCCAGAATTTTTTTATATAGTTATTTTCATGAGACCATAACATTATAAAAATATCATATTTTTGTTTGTTAGAGCAAAAGTGAGGAAGCAGAATTTGGCATCACATGTAGCAACCTTTATGGTCAATTTGAAAGTCAAGAATGAAAATCCGTAAATGTCATTCATTAAAGGATCATTTATAATTAAATTAAAAATTGATGATAAAGATTTGTAAACGTCAATACTCAATGGAATTAACTCAAAGTAATAATATGTATACTTGTCATTTTTTTTTAATTTGAAAAATAAGAGAATTATATATATTATAGTGCAAACTCATTTTTTTTTTAGTCTTACAACTGATGGTCCAAAAGTGATCATAACACGTACTCAGCTCTTGAGATTTGACTTATACTAATATAAAGAAACTAAAATAAAGGATGGACCCAAGCCCTAACAGGGCCTGGAGGCGCGCGATTTCTAGGAGAATAGCTGTACCGAGCGCGGCTTCACGCCCACGTCTCGTCAAACTAAATCTAGGCTGACCAAGCCTATTCAATTTTTTTATTTCTTCTAATTTTACAAGTATACTTTAATAATCAATTTTTTATTTGGCCATTATTCATTTTAAACGTACAATGTATCAATTTTTTTTTTTTTAACTGAACATCAATTTTTTTATTTCTTCTAATTTTACAAGTATACTTTAATAATCAATTTTTTATTTGGCCATTATTCATTTTAAAAGTATAATGTATCAATTTTTAATTTTTTAATTGAACATTAATCACGCACAAGGAGCCCCCCTCACTTTGAGAAGTTGCTCCCACACTGCCGCTGGTGAGACTTGATCTCTGGTCATTATTCCAAAGTTTCACCTTTATGACCAGTTGAGCTACCCATGCAGGACGTATACTTTAATAATTAATTTCTTATTTGCCCATTATTCATTTTAAACGTGCAATATATCACTTTAGTCTTAATTAGACCAACCACAATAGTAGATTTTTAGGATTTGATGATGAGTTTTGTGAGGTGGAAGATAGAAAGTATAAGAGAGAAAATGTGAGGGTATTGACGGCAATAGTAGGTTTTTTGTGGAGTCGTAGGAGAGGAAAAAAGATGAAATTTCGTTCCGGGTGTGCGCATTGTAAACATACTTTTTTTTTCCTCCTTTATCCTTCATCTCTTTCCTCATTGGGTATGAAAAAAAACTTAGCAAAAATTCTAACTTTTGTGTTTGGTCTTAGCAGAGTTTAAATTTACTTTGACCCGACACAAATTATGAGTGGACCTCACATATATTTGTACCACAAAATGACTTCTCAATATGTCAATTTGTTATTGTTCTGTTACATGTGATGACAAATTCTATTCCATCACTTTTACTTTATGATATGACAAACAAAAATATAATATTCTTATCATGTGAATTTTATAAAAAGTGTGTATATAACAAAATTTATATTGTAAAATGAAGAAGGAGTTGTAAGTAAGAAGTTGGAGTTCATGTACGGCAGTATTTTTCAACATATTGTGAGCGATTTCATTGGTTGACAACCTCACCATTTAGTCATAAGATAAAGTTCTTTGCACATGTGTCTCATGGGTATGGGTTAGATTTATGGGAGTTTGGGTTATAAAAAAATTAAAATTAATTTGTTTGCATCTGTTGTACGTGAAGTGTGCATTTATTATTCTCAAACTTTACTCTTATGACGTGGAGCGTGGAGTGTGCATTCATTATTCCAAAAGGCTGACAGAGCATTTGGGTGAAACCCCCCTCACTTTGAGAGGTTGCTCCCACACTGCCGCTGGTGAGACTCAATCTCTGGTCATTATTTCAAAGTTTCACCTCTATGACCAGTTGAGCTACCCATGCAGGCGTGGAGTGTGCATTCATTATTGAACATGTTGTTGTCTACAATTGTACTATAGTTCTTCTTTCTCACGTAAATACAGACAACGACGTATGTTTGAAATCAACATTTTGGGATACACTTTTCAATCTTTTTCAAGCATGGAGTATGAAATATCATTAACTAGTGACGAAAAATTAAAATGCTTCAAAAGAGATGATATAAAATATTAATAACAGAATATAAAACATAATTACTTAGATAAAATGGTTTAAATTAAAACATATTATAAATCACGCATCTTCTTTATTGATATGATATTTAAAAATATTTTTTACTTTAGTTAAATCAACTTTAAATTTTTTACATTAATTAAAATACGATGATGCATAGTAGAAATTTTTATATTATATTGACTACATGATTTATAAAAACACGGACATTTAAAAAAATATTTTTCAAAATTGAACTACAAAATATATTTGCTATCAATTACTTAAATTAATCAAGTTAAATAATATTTACCACACATAACACATTATAATTTATAAGAATGTATTTAAAAATCCGTAAAATAATTTCTGAAAATCATTTTCCGTGCTTCGCGAAACTTAGCTAGACCAGGACTGTTGACTGCTTTGCGCCTCTGCTGGAGCTTGGAACCACCGTCTGCGCCTTTGCTGCTGGGGATAATATTGGGTTGGGATTTGGATTGTGAGCTTTTAATAATAATAATAATAACAACAACAACAATAATAACAATAACAATAATAATAATAATAATAATAATAATAATAATAATAATAATAATAACACCCACAACAACAATAACAATAATAATAATAATGTCATTTAAAGACGTTATTTTGAAGCTATGTTAATGTAAGATTTTAACAAGAGTTAAAACAAATATAGATATAATTAGATGCACTACTAAATTATACATTGTGCTTTCTTTTTTATACACTTATAATTTTTCATTTTTAATTTCCCTTTCTCCTAATAAGTTGTTCATATTGTTAAATATAATAACATGTATATTGTAGTTACTTTATTGTACATTTACAAATTCTTATTAATTATACATTTCTATTTATACATAGTATTTTAATTATTTATATTATTTTTCATAATATTAAGTAATTAGATAAAAAAAATAGTTTTTAATAAGAAATATTTGATGACACCATTATTACGGAGTACTTTTTATGAAAAAGATTTTGAATAAGAAAAGATTTTGAATTTGAATTACATTTCAATCACATATATGAATATCTTATAGTGCATGTAGTGAAAAGTTCTACTTCATATACTTTCTATTTTTACTTTCTTATTTTTTACTCTCTAATATGAAAATTGATGATTAGTTATTTTTATCATTGTGAGTCTTTTAATGAAGATGTCAACATCAAAATTTTGTGGTGAGAAAATAAAAGTTAGAAGTAAATTTGGGAGTAAGAGTAATATTTTTCAAGTAAGTATATCACGTTCAATTTTCCAAGATAGAAGGAAAAAAAAAAAAGTTCTATCACATGTACTTCCAATTCGACTCCTTCACTTTTACTTCATGACGTGATAAATAATATTATGATATTTTCATCATGTGAATCCTAAAAAAAATGTCTACATCAAAGAATTTGTGAGAAGCGATGAGAGGTAAAAGTTCAAAGTAAGAAATGAGAGTCTATGTAATATTTAAAAAAATAAATAAATAAATAAATATATATATATATATATATATATATATATATATATATATATATATATATATATATATATATATATATATATATATATATATATATATATATATATATATATATATATATATATATATATATATATATATATATCGAGGGGGCCACATTTTTTGACTTTTGAGTTATTAGTTATTATCGCCGTCGTCATCCCTGACGTTTCCGCCCAACAGTCTTCATAAGAAGAAATTTATATATGAAAGCCGGTTACCCGCCGTGAAATCAAGAACTCCCACAGTTCCGATGGCCTGGACGGAGATGGAGGTGATATACACCCTACTGGGAGTGTGCGTTTCGGTGGGTTTGTTGGTAATGAGAAAATGACAAAGGAAGAAGGAAGAAGCAAAAAAATATTATTTGAGAATATTTCTGATGATCAACGAAGAATGAACAAAGCCGAAATAAATAGAGCAGGCTACAACTAACTCCACGCTAGTTTGATGCTAGACTAGGTACAAAATCAAAACAATAATTTAAATGAATTCAAAATAACAAGAAATAGTCAAAAAACAAGAAATAGTCCATTCACATGCTGCTTCAATATCCCCGCAAGCTGGATCATAGATAGAATGTATGCCCAGCTTGGACGAACATGTTAAAAACAGCTGGAGCGTGAGGCTTGGTAAAGAAATTCGCAAGTTGATTGGAACTTGAAACATGCAAAACCTTTAAAGTCCCATTTTGAATACGCTCACGGACGAAGTGACAATCAACACCGATATGTTTGGTCCGCTCATGAAACGCAGGATTTTCAGCAATTGCGAGAGCAGACTGACTATCAGAAAACAAAACTGATGAGGATGATGGCACAATACCAAGATCACCAAGCAAGAAGAGCAACCATTGTATCTCACAGCTTGTAGTAGCAAGTGCTCTATACTCCGACTCGGATGATGAACGAGAGACAGTTTGCTGCTTCTTCGACTTCCAGGAAACTAAAGAATCCCCAAGAAAAACACAATAACCAGTAACAAATTTCCTTGTTTTAGGACAGGTAGCCCAATCTGAATCTGAAAAGGCCTTCAACTGAGAATTTGGATTCGGGAAAAACAAAATACCTTGGCCTGGGGATTTTTTAATATATCGAAACACTCTATGAACCGCCTTAAGATGTACCTCCGTAGGTGCACCGACGAACTAAGAGAGTTGTTGCACGGCATAAGTGATATCTGGGCGTGTGATCATTAAATACAACAACTTCCCTATAATTCTTCTAAACATGGTTGCATCACTAAGAAGAGGACTATCATCATGGAGGAGTTTAGAAAAAACAACCATGGGACTATGAACTGGTTTACAACCCAGAAAATCCATTTCTTCAAGCAACTCTAAAGCGTACTTGCGTTGACAAAGATTGATCCCATGAGAGCTACGTGCTACTTCGAGACCCAAAAAAAAACTTTAAAGGCCCCAAGTCCTTAATACGGAATACTGAATCCAAATGAGACTTGATTGCCCGAATCTGTTCAACATCACTGCTAGCAACCACGATGGCATCGACATACACCAAGAATGCAATAAAAGTCATACCTGATCCTTCAGTAAACAAAGTATGATCCGAAGAAGCTTGTGAAAAACCTTGGGCAAGCAATTTTGCGGTCAATTTTGCATTCCATTGCTTACTGACTTGCTTTAATCCATATAAAGACTTAAGTAGCTTGCAAACTTTTCCTGACTTCTTAGTTTCTACTCCGGGTTTCAGAGTCATATAAACCTCTTCATCCAAATCCCCATGTAAAAAAGCATTATTCACATCAAGTTGATGATTAGTTATTTTCATCATTGTGAGTCCTAATGAAGATGTCTAACATCAAAATTTTGTGTGAGAGAATAAAAGTTGGAAGTAAATTTGGGAGTAAGAGTAATATTTTCCAAGTAATTATATCACGTCCAATTTTTCAAGATAGAAGGAAAAAAAAAAGGTTCTATCACATGTATTCTCAAATTCTACTCTTTCACTTTTATTCGATGGCAAATAATAATAGGATATTTTCATCATGTGGATCTCAAAAAATGTATCTATTTGTGAGAGAGGTAAAAGTTGGGAGTAAGAGCTATGTAATATTTTTCAAAAAAAAACATAGGGGGCCACATTTTTTGACTTTTGAGTTATTAGTTATTATCGCCGTCGTCATCCCTGATGATTCCGCCCAACAGTCTTCATAAGAAGAAATTTATATATGAAAGCCGGTTACCCGCCGTGAAATCAAGAACTCCCACAGTTCCGATGGCCTGGACGGAGATGGAGGTGATATACACCCTACTGGGAGTGTGCGTTTCAGTGGGTTTGTTGGCGTTCGCATGGAGAGTGTTGGGTTGGGTGTGGTTTAAGCCGAAGAAGCTGGAGAAGTGCCTAAAACAGCAAGGCCTCAAAGGGAACCCCTACAGAATCCTCTCCGGCGACATGAAAGAGCTCGCGAAGATGACGACTGACGCTCTTTCCAAGCCCATGACTCTGTCGGATAACATAGCCCCCAGAGTCATTCCCTATTATGTTCACCTCGCCGACAAATACGGTATATATGTCTTTCATGCTTCCCATTCTGCGTGCTGTGAATTCAATTCAATGATGTTTTGCAGGTAAAAACTGTTATGTATGGATGGGTCCAATGCCAATGGTGTTCATCAGGGATCCTGAGCTAGTAAAGGAGGTTTTGAATAAATATGAACTGTTTCAGAAGCCTAGGAACAATCCACTGGGCAGGAAGTTGGCACGAGGACTTGTGAGCTATGAGAAAGAGCAGTGGGCAAAACACAGAAGACTACTCAATCCTGCCTTCTATTCCGAGAAGCTAAAGGTGTGTGCAATGTTTCTCAAGTTTTGTTCTGTTCTCTAAGACAATAAACATGATTCTGGACTAGATAATATTTTAACTGCTAGAAGTCTTGAATTGCAACAGCTTATGCAACCGGCTTTCTTGCTAAGCTGCTCTGAAATGCTGAGCAAGTGGGAAGGGATTGTGTATGGAAAAGGATCATCATCATCATCATCTTGTGAGGTGGATGTGTGGCCTCACCTTCAAGGCCTAACCTGTGATGTGATTTCTCGAACAGCGTTTGGGAGCAGCTATGAAGAAGGAAAGAGGATCTTTGAGCTTCTGAAAGAACAGGCCATGCACTTCATGGAAGCTGTGCGTCAAGTTTATATACCTGGATTGAGGTAAAATAACAAGGACTGTGAGTGAAATGAAAGTTTGTGGTTTAGTTTTCATTAACTTGTAATTAGTTTACTGCAGATTTGTGCCAACTAAGAGGAACCGAAGAATGAATGCCATTGACAAGGAAGTGAATTCATCTATCCGTGTTATTATAGAGAAGAGAATGAAGGCAATGCAGGCTGGGGAGACGAACAATGATGATTTATTGGGCATACTATTGGAATCCAACTTAAAAGAAATCAAACAGCAGGGGAACAAGGAATTTGGAATGAGCATTGAACATATCATCGACGAGTGCATCCTGTTCTATTTTGCAGGGCAGGAAACTACTTCTGTGATGCTGGTGTGGACTATGGTTCTACTCAGCAGATTTCAAGATTGGCAAGCTCGAGCTAGAGAAGAGGTTTTACAGGTTTTCGGGGATAAGAAACCAGATTTCGAAGGGTTGAATGACCTTAAAGTTGTAAGTATCATAAATTTTATATTTTATATATACTGCAGATCTTACATAGTGCTCGTTTTGTCATATCCTCCTTACAGGTGACGATGATTTTATACGAGTCTTTAAGGCTATACTCGCCATTACCTGGCATAGGTAGGAGGACCATGGAGGAAATGAAACTAGGAGAAATGGTTCTGCCACTGGGAGTACTGGTGTCGTTACCAACACAATTGATGCATGTTGACACTGAGATATGGGGTGAAGACGCTAAAGAGTTCAAGCCAGAGAGGTTCCGGGAAGGCATAATAAAGGCAACAAATGGCAAACCAGCATTCTTCCCATTTAGCGGGGGACCTCGAATCTGCATTGGTCAGAACTTCGCTTTGGTAGAGGCTAAAATGGCTATGGCTATGGTTCTGCAACGCTTCTCCTTTGAGCTTTCCCCTTCTTATGCACATGCTCCATTTACAAGGGTCACCACTCAACCTCAGCATGGTGCTCCTCTAATTTTGCACAGGCTTTAATATGCTATATATATATTATATGTTTCTTCCCAGTTCCCACTATTCCTCTCTGTACTACTGTACTATATAAACAGATAAATAATATGGTTTGGACAGGCAAGATTTAATGTAAGAACCCATTTCAGTTTAGAGCAATGTATGTTAATCACTATATAAACAAATAAATAATACATATCCTTGTGATCCTTTGTCAGCTAGGATCACAAGGTAAGAGTTTACCCGTGCACATCCTCGTTTAGTGACTGTAGTGACTGTGCGTTTTCCTGGTCGTTATACATGGTTGACAGTAGTACGTGTCCATCCTGAATCTCGGGTTTCTCTGGTCACCGAAAAAATGCATGTCATACATGGTTGAAAGTAGTGCACATCCTAATTGAACGAACCTCTTGTCATGTAACATATCCTCCTTATAGTGACAATGATTTTATACAAGTCTTTAAGGTTATACTCGCCGATAAATAAATACAATTCCAAGTTTTAATGTTTCAGATTAGAGCAATGTTAATCACTAAATCATTTAATTTGTATATTAGTAGTCATTCCATATTTTAGATGCATACTTGTTCTTGTTTAGTAGCCGATAATGTGTGTTCTAGGTGAATTTTGTCTTATGATCCCAATCAGTAAAGCTAAACTTAGAATTTTATAATTATCAAATTAATTGTCTGATCAATTTGACTGAAATCACCTTTGTACTTTTATAGCAATAATTGAAAAGAAGCAATAAATGGTCCGCCGTATATGTATTAGAAAGCTCACTCTAAGGATAAGGTTTTATTTGATTTGGGTTTTATCTGGATGATCACCATATTTATACAATGGTTGAAATCTTGCGGAAAAAATCTCACCAATGAGATTGCGAGTTGTTATATCATGGACTAGAGTTCATCTTACAAGGTGGATTATGGTTTTAAATGACGCATAAATTGTGTATTTTTAATATTGAAATTGTAAATTATTAGAATATAAATTGTGTTTTTAAGTCAAAATACATAACAGTTGTAGAAGAGAATTAGCGAATATAATACAAAGTCATCAAATATTAATTTGTTAATATTGTGTGACTGCAGTATTTAAAAGAAACTTGTGAATATAAAACAAGATAATCAATTACAACTACAGTATATGAAAGGAACTTGTAAATATAAAACAGGGTAATTAATTACATATATGTTAACATTGTGTGTTCGTAGTATAGAAATTGAAGCGTTATGTTGTGCATCCATATGCACCATGCATGGTGCATCCAGATGCAAAAACGACGTCGTTTTGACGTTTAACTTGAAAAAAAAATAATCAGAATTGCATAACTACACATCCATAATTTCATAACTATACATCCAGAATTACATAACTACACATCCATATTTTCATAACTATAAATCCAGAATTGCATAACTACACATCCATAACTTCATAACTATACATCCAGAATTGCATAACTACACATCCATAACTTCATAAATATAAATCCAGAATTGCATAGCTACACATCCAGAATTGCATAACTATACCTCCAGAATTTCATAACTAAAAATCCAGAATGAATAAACTAAAAAAATAAATAACATAATGTTGTTGCTGGGAATCGAAACTGTTTTTTTTTTTAAAGTAAAAAACGCATTTTAATGCAAAACGACATCGTTTTTGCATCATCCGTACAGTGCATACGGATGCACAACATAATTTGCCATAGAAATTATAAATTTTAAAAAGATAAATTCTTAACATTTATGATATAAATTGTGAATATTTGGATAGAGTCGCAAGATACAGACCAGGTCCACATAATAATTTGCTTGAGAATAGCCAAAGTAATTTTCTGTATATCACATCAGAAAGTAACACTTTCCAAGGTAAAGGGACAAAATAAAATAAAAGGGGGCCCACAGTTGGACGGATACATTTTGAGTAATCGTCATCCCTGACGCGTCCGCACAACAGTCTTGCAAATATAACTCCCACCGTGAAATCAAGAACGCCCACAGTTCCGGTGATATCGACGGAGATGGAGGTGATATACACCCTACTGGGAGTGTGTTTTTCAGTGGGTTTGTTGGCGTACGCATGGAGACTGTTGGATTGGGTGTGGTTTAAGCCGAGGAAGCTGGAGAAGTGCCTAAAACAGCAAGGCCTCAAAGGGAACCCTTACAGAATCCTCTCCGGCGACATGAAAGAGCTCGCAAAGATGGCGAGTGACGCCATTTCCAAACCCATGGCTCTGTCGGATAACGTAGCCCCGAGAGTCATCCCGTATTTTGTTCACCTCGCCGACAAATATGGTATATATGTCTTTCATGCTTCCCATTCTGCCGTGAATTCCATCCATGATCCATCCCAGAATTCTATTCAATTCAATGATGTTTTGCAGGTAAAAACTGTTATGTATGGATGGGTCCCATGCCTATGGTGTTCCTCAGGGATCCTGAGCTAGTAAAGGAGGTTTTGAACAAATATGATCTGTTTCAGAAGCCTAGGAACAATCCACTGGGCAGTAAGTTGGTACGAGGACTTGTCACCTATGAGAAAGATAAGTGGGCAAAACACAGAAGAATAATCAATCCTGCCTTCTATTCAGAGAAGCTAAAGGTGTGTGTAATGTTTTTATGGAGATTCAGACCCATATGTTCTAGACTGCACATTTATGTTTATATATTATATGCTCAACAGATTCAATTGTAGTTCGTTGTATTGTTGAATTGATGTAGAATTCTAGGACAAATAGTCTAAATGCGCTTTGATAAGGCGGGAATTGTTGCCTTACGAACCACAAAATGACCATATCATTGACCTATTAAACTTGAATCACTATAATGGAAAATGTGACATGCACCACTGGACTATAGATAATATTTTAACTGCTAGAGCTCTTGAATTGCAACAGCTTATGCAACCGGCTTTCTTGCTAAGCTGCTCTGAAATGCTGAGCAAGTGGGAGGGGATTTTCGATGGAAAAGGATCATCATCTTGTGAGGTGGATGTGTGGCCTGACCTTCAAGGCCTAACCAGTGATGTCATTTCTCGAACAGCGTTTGGGAGCAGCTATGAAGAAGGAAAGAGGATCTTTGAGCTTCTGAAAGAACAGGCCATGCACTTCATGGAAACTGTGCGTCAAGTTTATATACCTGGATGGAGGTAAAATAACAAGGACTGTGAGTGAGAAATGAAAGTTTGTGGTTTAGTTTTCATTAAATTGTAATTAGTTTACTGCAGATTTGTGCCAACTAAGAGGAACAGAAGAATGAGCGCCATTGAGAACGAAGTGAGATCATCTATCCAGGTTATTATAGAGAAGAGAATTAAGGCGATGCAGGCTGGGGAGGCAAACAAGCATGATTTATTGGGCATATTACTGGAATCCAACTTCCAAGAAATCAGACAGCAGGGGAACAAGGAATGTGGAATGAGCATTGAACAGATTATCGACGAGTGCATGCTGTTCTATTTCGCAGGGCAGGAGACTACTTCTGCGATGCTGGTGTGGACTATGATTCTACTCGGCAGATTTCAAGATTGGCAAGCCCGAGCTAGGGAAGAGGTTTTGCAGGTTTTCGGGGATAAGAAACCAGACTTTGAAGGCTTGAATAACCTTAAAGTTGTAAGTAATACTCCGTATTCATTTCATATGTGGTTGATAGTAGCTAGTGCTCATACTAAACCTCGTTCGATTTTGTCCTATCCTCCTTTACAGGTGACAATGATTTTATACGAGTCTTTAAGGCTATACCCGCCAGCCGGTGGACTAGCTAGGAGGACCATAGAGGAAACGAAACTAGGAGAAATGGTTCTGCCACCGGGAGTAATGCTGTCATTATCGATATTCTTGATGCATCTTGACACCGACATATGGGGCGAAGATGCTAAAGAGTTCAAGCCCGAGAGGTTCAGCGAAGGGATAATGAAGGCAACAAATGGCAAACAAGCGTTCTTCCCATTTGGCGGGGGACCTCGAATATGCGTTGGTCAAAACTTTGCTTTGGTAGAAGGTAAAATGGCATTGGCTATGATTCTTCAACGCTTCTCGTTCGAGCTTTCTCCTTCTTATGCACACGCTCCATATTCGAGGGTGACCACTCAACCTCAGTATGGTGCTCCTCTAATTATGCACAAGCTTTAATATAATATGCTTCTTCCCAGTTCTCACAAATCCACCAATATGTAGGCTTGAACCAAATTTCTATATGTTCTGTACTATGGAAACTTAGTTTACTGCAGACTGAATCTACCCTTTTATATGTATACACAAATAAATATATAATATGCTTTGGACAGGCATGATTTAATGTGAGAATTCATTCCAGTTTAGAGCAATGTTAAGCACTATGAACAGACTAGATAGAATGAAGGAAAATCATTTGTGTATATATAGTCATTCTATATTTCAGATCAGATGCAATGGAGTCTCACAAATGGGAAGCTTGTTCTAAATGCTCTGTTTCAAATGGAACATCTAAAACTTAGGTCTCAAATAGTGATGACCCAACTAACTTCTAAGAAGATTGAAGAAGGCTTACATGCATTTGTATCAATTGGCAGTGTATGAGCTACTACTTGAGAATATAAATCCTATTTCATAGAAAATATAATAGACAACGAATAAAATGACGTCGTATTTATAAAACTAATCATGTCGTTTCCTCACTTTTTTTTCAACAACCCTCAACTAGACCGTCTAGAGTCTAGACTCACTTAGCTTGAATCTTTCAATATACATAGACACACAGATAATAAGAAAAATGCATCTGAACGATTGAACCTCTCCTATAATTCCCCTCTCATATTCTCCTCATGATGTGACTTTCATTCATTGGGTGTCTGTGAATTAGCTGACCTACCACTAACTAATTGAAAAGAGAATTTGATAACCAATTCAATAATGATGCAGACACTACATTAGAGATAGATTGGATAAGAAAAATAAGAAAGACATTATTTTCAAATGTTGATCTCTGTTTTGTTAAGCATTCTGCTAATGTAGTGGGCTAGTGGCTTACTTATTAGCTAGGGATGCTAATTTGATGTTAGAGAGTTGGTTTTGGTTTGATACAGGTTCGTCTTTTATTTTTCGCGCGCGTTGTGTAATGACTTGAGAAATATATAATTTTTTTTTAAAAATTACTCTAATAATAATACAAATGTCTTGACATCCAAATAAGCAAGAAAAACATGAAGTGTCAGCATATATAGTAACTACTTGATAGTTATACTTGTAATAAGTGGTGAAATAAGTTGAATTGCACTTTCCTCAAACTTAATTACATATTTTGAACAAGTTAAAAGACTTGTTTGAGCCTTATCCCTTTTTATAAATATCAAATTATTTAAGATCATTTCTAAAAAGTGAAAATGCATGCCCGGATTTCAAGTTTTAACTACACAAAAGGAAAGTTTTTGCAACATGAAAGTGATGAAAGGACCGAATGGAAGGGAGCCCAAACTTGGACGAATCCGTTTCGAGTCATTATTATATTATCGCCGTCGCCATCACAGCACTCTTAGCCGCTTGCTATATAACACCCGCCGTGAAATCAAGAACGCCCACAGTTCCGATTGGCTCGCCGGAGATGGAGGTGATATACACCATAGTGGGAGTGTGCATTTCAGTGGGTTTGTTGGCGTACGCATGGGGAGTGTTGGATTTGGTGTGGTTTAAGCCGAAGAAGCTGGAGAAGTGGCTTAAACAGCAAGGCCTCAAAGGGAACCCCTACAGAATCCTCTCCGGCGACACGAAAGAGTTCGCAAAGATGACGAGTGACGCCATTTCCAAGCCCATGGCTCTGTCGGATAACGTAGCGCCGAGAGTCAACCCGTATTTTGTTCACCTCGCCGGCAAATATGGTATGTTTTTCATGCATGCTTCCCATTCTGCTGTGAATTCGATCAATTAAATTCAATGATGTTTTGCAGGTAAAAACTGTTATGCATGGATGGGTCCTATACCTATGGTGTTCCTCAGGGATCCTGAGCTAATCAAGGAGGTTTTGAACAAATCTGATTTGTTTCAGAAACCTAAGAACAGTCCACTGGGGAGGAAGTTGGTACGGGGACTTGTGAGCTATGAGAAAGAGCAGTGGGCAAAACACAGAAGACTAATCAATCCTGCCTTCTATTCAGAGAAGCTAAAGGTGTGTTTAATGTTTCTCAACTATTCAATTAAAAGTCTAAGTGTAAGTTGATAGTTAGACTGCACATTTATGTTTATATATTATCACGGTTGCTGTAGGGGCTAGGCGCTAGTCGGGCGGTCGGGCAGCGTCTAGCGCCTAGGCGGAATCTAGGCAGGCGGACACCAAAAAAATTTAAAAAAATAGTGACAGATTTGTAGTTTGACAATTTTAATGAGCATGTTTTCAACATTCAATCAAATAATTAAAACCTCCAAATAAATGAAATAATGATAATTCATCATAATAATATTAAAATCAATAATTAATGAAAGACGAAATCGGACAAAATCAGACGAAATCGGTCAAAATCGAAAGAAATCGGCTGACTCAGTTGAGTTGGCCGATTTTGGTCAAGTATAGGCCAAAACGGCAAGAATGGGTGCCGCCTAGCACCTAGGCGGCCGAGTTTTGCAACTATGTATATTATATATGCTCAACAGATTCCATTGTAGTTTGTTGTCTAGTTGAATTGATGTAGAACTATAGTAGAGAGATTGTCTCTTACTCTATTCGAACATATTGATGGTGTAAAAGTGGTGGAGTGGCCTACTAGCCTAGGGTGGGAATTGTTGCGTTATGAACCACAAAATGACCATCATTGACCTATTAAACTTGAATCACTATAATGGAAAAGGTGATATGCACCATGGACAAATTTTGACTTATTTGACCATTATTAATTGTTTGAGTGTTTGACTTGGTTTAAAAAAAAAAAAAAAAAAAAACTACTCAACGCGACTTTTTCAATTAGCTTACAGTTATAGCCTATCAGCTAAACAGCTAATTTACCAAACATCTTTCTACAATCAGCTAATGTTATCAACTAGTTATACCCTCTAATTAATCCAATTAGCTAACAACCATTTACCAACCAATATTTTAACTGCTAGAGTTTTTGATTTGCAACCAACAGCTTATGCAACCTGCGTTCTTGCTAAGCTGCTCTGAAATGCTGAGCAAGTGGGAAGGGATTGTGTATGGAAAAGGAACATCATCTTGTGAGGTGGATGTGTGGCCTGACCTTCAAGGCCTAACCTGTGATGTGATTTCTCGAACAGCGTTTGGGAGCAGCTATGAAGAAGGAAAGAGGATCTTTGAGCTTCTGAAAGAACAGGCCATGCACTTCATGGAAGCTGTGAGTCAAGTTTATATACCTGGATGGAGGTAAAACAACAAGGACTGTGATATGATAGAAATGAAAGTTTGTGGTTTAGTTTTCATTAACTTGTAATTAGTTTAATTACTGCAGATTTGTGCCAACTAAGAGGAACAGAAGAATGAGCGGCATTGAGAACGAAGTGACATCAACTATCCAGGTTATTATAGACAAGAGAATTAACGCGACGCAGGCTGGGGAGGCAAACACCAGACATGATTTATTGGGCATATTACTGGAATCCAACTTCCAAGAAATCAGACAGCAAGGGAACAAGGAATGTGGAATGAGTATTGAACAGATTATGGACGAGTGCGTGTTGTTCTATTTTGCAGGGCAGGAGACTACTTCTGCGATGCTGGTGTGGACTATGATTCTACTCAGCAGATTTCAAGATTGGCAAGCTCGAGCTAGGGAAGAGGTGTTGCAGGTTTTCGGGGATAAGAAACCAGACTTTGAAGGCTTGAATAACCTTAAAGTTGTAAGTAATATTCATTTCATACATGGTTGATAGTAGCTAGTGCTCATACTAAACCTCGTTCGATTTTGTCCTATCCTCCTTACAGGTGACAATGATTTTATACGAGTCTTTAAGGCTATACCCGCCAGTATCTGGACTAGCTAGGAAGACCATAGAGGAAACGAAACTAGGAGAAATAGTTCTACCACAAGGGACAATGCTGATGTTGCCTACACTCTTGATGCATGTTGACACCGAGATATGGGGCGATGATGCTAAAGAGTTCAAGCCAGAGAGGTTCCAGGAAGGCATAATGAAGGCAACAAATGGCAAACAAGTATTTTTCCCATTTGGCGGGGGACCTCGAATATGCGTTGCTCAAAACTTTGCTTTGGTAGAAGGTAAAATGGCATTGGCTATGATTCTTCAACGCTTCTCGTTCGAGCTTTCTCCTTCTTACGCACACGCTCCATATTCAAGGGTGACCACTCAACCTCAGTATGGTGCTCCTCTAATTATGCACAAGCTTTAATATAATATGCTTCTTCCCAGTTCTCAGAATCCACCAATATGTAGGCTTGAACCAAATTTCTATATGTTCTGTACTATGGAAACTTAGTTTACTGCAGACTGAATCTACCCTTTTATATGTATACACAAATAAATATATAATATGCTTTGGACAGGCATGATTTAATGTGAGAATTCATTCCAGTTTAGAGCAGTGTTAATCACTATGAACAGACTAGATAGAATGAAGGAAAATCATTTGTGTATATATAGTCATTCTATATTTCAGATCAGATGCAATGGAGTCTCACAAATGGCAAGCTTGTTCTAAATGATATACCTTAGGCATAAAAAAATGAGCCTCTAAACCAAATAAAATCAAAAACTAACTCTAAAATTTAAATAATAAGTACAATACCGGTTAACCTTTCCTAAATTTCTCCCATCATCATATTCTTCAATTCTCATAATGTGACTTTCATTCATTGAGTGCCTATGAATTAGTTGATCTATCACTATTAAAAAGAGAATTTAATAACCAATTAAATAATATCGCGCTACATCATAAGAGATGGATTGAATAAGAGAAATAAGAGACATCTAACATTACTCAATAATAATAGAAATGTCTTGATATTCAAATAAGCAAGAAAAATATGAAGTGTCATCCAACATATACAGTGATTATTGTAAGATTTTTCTTAATAATATATATATATATATATATATATATATATATATATATATATATATATATATTTATTCATTTATTTATTTATTTATTTTAAGTAGTTTGGTTATATATATAACCAAACTGTTTGGTTATATATATAACCAAACTTCTTATATATATTAAGTAGTTTGGTCATATATATAACCAAACTACTTATATATAAAAGTAGTTTGGTTATATATATATGACCAAACTACTTATATATATTAAGTAGTACTACTTAGTATATATAAGTATAGTTTGGTTATATATATATATATATATATATATATATATATATATATATATATATATTAGGGCCTTGTGTAAGTTTACTATGCTTATTAAGTAAATTGGTTAGACTAAATAACTAGGAGTTGTTAGTCAATCAAACTCTGTGCTTAATATAAACATGGATTATATTGATGGGATAAAGGATATTCATTATATAACACATTCAGTTACGGTATTCATGCTGCTCAGTAGACGCCTATACACCATATGTGGTTCTAGTCTAGTATGAGTTAAAATATGGTTAACAGTCTATCGGTCTTTAAGAGGTAACACAATAAGAACATCAACGGTAACACAACAAGAACATCAACTGTAATTGGAGATCAACACAACTATCACGACTATTGCTTCCACTTATACAAAGTTAGGTTTTTCGTATACTGTTTTATTCAGTATAGTTAGATTATTTATATCTATAATGAATTACTTGATACTTATATATACTTGTAATAAGTGGTGAAATAAGTTGAATTGCACTTTCCTCAAACTTAATTACATATTTTGAACAAGTTAAAAGACTTGTTTGAGTAATTGAGTCTTATCCCTTTTTATAAATATCAAATTATTTAAGATCATTTCTAAAAAGAAAATGCATGCCATCAGTGAGCCGAAACTTGGGCGAATAGGAGGGAGCCCAAACTTGGACGAATCAGTTTCGAGTCATTATTATCAACCGTCGTCATCCCTGACGCGTCCGCACAGCACTCTTAGCATACCACCCGCCGTGAAATCAAGAACTCCCACAGTTCCGATGGCCTGGACGGAGATGGAGGTGATATACATCCTACTGGGAGTGTGCGTTTCGGTGGGTTTGTTGGCGTACGCATGGGGAGTGTTGGATTGGGTGTGGTTTAAGCCGAAGAAGCTGGAGAAGTGGCTAAAACAGCAAGGCCTCAAAGGGAACCCCTACAGAATCCTCTCCGGCGACATGAAAGAGCTCGCGAAGATGACGACTGACGCCCTTTCCAAGCCCATGACTCTGTCGGATAACATAGCCCCCAGAGTCATTCCCTATTATGTTCAACATGTCAACAAATATGGTATGTTTTCCATGCTTATATATCCTTCTGCTGTGAATTCCATCCCAGAATTCAATGAAGCTATGATCTTCTGCAGGTAAAAGCTGTTATGTATGGATGGGTCCAAGGCCTATGGTGTTAATCAGGGATCCTGAACTAATAAAGGAGGTTTTTAACAAACATTATCAGTATCAGAAGCCTGTGACCAACCCACTAGGCAGGAAGGTGGCAAGAGGAGTGGCCACCTATGAGAAAGATAAGTGGGCAAAACACAGAAGAATAATCAATCCTGCCTTCTATTTAGAGAAGCTAAAGGTGTGTGTAATGTTTTTCAACATGATAATATTTTAGGATAATCCGCCAAATTGGTTACAAGTTCGACTCCTAACAAGAGGAGCCTATTGGGCTTCTCGATTTGAGTCTGTCATGAACAATTTAGACTAGTTTAATCTTTGTTGGCTAGGTCTCAAGACTGTATTTATCCCGTTACCCTTGGATAGTGGCGGCTAAGTCACAAGACTGGATTTACCCAGTCATACTGGGATAATGACTGCGAGTTTTTCTCGTCACTCAAAAAAGAAAAAAAAACTTAGATAACATTTTAACTGTTACAACTCTTGCAAGTTGCAATAACAGCTTATGCAACCGGCATTCTTGCTAAGCTGCTGTGAAATGCTGGGAAAATGGGAAGGGATTGTCTCAGGAAAAGGATCTTGTGAACTGGATGTGTGGCCTGACCTGCAAGGCCTGAGCTGTGATGTGATTTCTCGAACCGCGTTTGGGAGCAGCTATGAAGAAGGAAAGAGGTTCTTTGAACTCCAGAGAGAACAGGCCATGCACTTCATAGAATCTTTGCGTCAAGTTTATGTACCTGGATGGAGGTAACATAACATAGGCATAGATATTAGATAGTATATGAGTTGTCATTAACTAGAAAAGTTAGTGCAGATTTGTGCCAACTAAGAGGAACAGAAGAATGAATGCCATTGAGAATGAAGTAAATTCATCAATCCGGGGTATTATAGACAAGAGAATGAAGGCGATGCAGGGTGGGGAGACAAACAATGATGATTTATTGGGCATATTACTGGAATCCAACTTACAAGAAATCAGACAGAAGGGGGGAAAGGAATTCGGGATGAGCATCGAAGATGTGATCGAGGAGTGCAAGCTGTTCTACTTTGCAGGGCAGGAAACTACTTCGGTGATGCTGGTGTGGACTATGATTCTCCTCAGCAGATTCCAAGATTGGCAAGCCCGAGCTAGAGAAGAGGTGTTGCAGGTTTTCGGGGATCAGGAACCAGATTTCGAAGGATTGAATAGCCTTAAAGTTGTAAGTATTCTAGACACTTACATAGTTGACAGTAATGCTCATCCAGATAACCTCATATGATATCCTCTTTACAGTTGACAATGATTCTATACGAGTCTTTAAGGCTATACCCGCCATTAATTGGCGTGGATAGGTGGACCGTGGAGGAAACTAAACTCGGAGAAACAGTTCTGCCACAAGGGGCAATGGTGATGTTGCCTATACTCTTGATGCATGTTGACAGTGAGATATGGGGTGAAGATGCCAAAGAGTTCAAACCAGATAGGTTCAGGGAAGGTATAATGAAGGCAACAAAAGGTAAACAAGTATTTTTCCCATTTGGCGGGGGACCTCGAATATGCATTGGTCAAAACTTTGCTTTGGTAGAAGCTAAAATGGCTATGGCTATGATTCTGCAACACTTCTCGTTTGAGCTTTCTCCTTCTTACGCACACGCTCCATATTCAATGGTGACCACTCAACCTCAGTATGGTGCTCCTCTAATTATGCACAAGCTTTAATTTAATATGCTTCTTCCCAGTTCTCAGAAATCCACCAATATGTAGCTTAGGCTTGAACCAAATTTCTATATGTTGTGTACTATGGAAAGTTTACTGCAGACTGAATCTACCTTCTCTATGTATAAACAAATAAATATATAAATAATATGCTTTGGACAGGCATGGTTTAATGTGAGAATTCATTCCAGTTCATCACTATGAACAGACTAGATAGAATAAAGGAAAGTCATTTGTGTGTATATATATGCTCAGTGGCAGAGCCACAATAGGTAAGTACATGAATAAGTAATTAAATTGTTTAGTAGATGAGTGGGTTCAACCTTGAGTATGACATGGAGTGTCACAGTTTCAAATCCCACCTGTTGCATTTTATTATGTTTTAGCTTTTTATCTTTATTTTAGCTCTTCTCACCCTTTAATAAATTAAATTTATTTTTTAATTCTATTTTTTTTGCATGTATATTTTAGCTTCTATCGATTATGCTTTATATTTTGTCACAAATATTTTTATAATATTTCAAAGTGTTTTAAAATTTCACCCTATCCAAGTATAGTTTTGGTTCCGCCCTTAACTATCTTGTAGTCTATCATAAATATTGTATTATAATTTATAATGTATTTGAACCATATTATAGATGTTTGATATTTTGTCATTGACAATTCTAAAGTTCTTGGCGAATTTTTCAGACAAAATTGTGAAAGATGTAATTTTTTTTTAGAAGTGATATCTCGAGTTAACTTGTTCTAATTTTCTAAATCCGTCATTGTATGCGCTAAGGATCCTATGAGAACAATACTAGAGAAATAAAAATCAATATAAGTCTTAAAATTCGACAAATCTAATCAATTTTTTTAAACCCGGTGGTATTTTTGTAATTATTATCAACTTTAATATGTAAACTTGAACACTTAAATACAGAGTATTTATCAACTAAATATGCAAACGTAGTGCCAATGGCCTAGAGCCCGGAATTCCGCCGTTTGGGAGGGCAGCGTACCACTTCCGCAGAGGGTTTTGGAGGTCATTTCTGCATGCATGGAGGCAGGTCCATCTCCCACGCACACTAGCCGCTCTAGCCAACACCATAACTGCTCAGCTGCATTCGGACTTGCCTATGTGCTTCTTCGACGCCAGCTTTTAGCGCTCTTTGGGGAGAGCGGCGTTTGGGGCAGTTCTGTTCTCGCCCACCTCAGGTTTCATAGCAGCATGCGGCGGCCCCCTTCCGGCGTGCTCCTCACCTCTCATGGCAGAGTCAATGGCGTGTAAGGAGGGAATGCCGTGGCTTAAAGATCGTGGTATACTAGTTGTGGATCTCCACACGAACTGCTCGGAGCTTTGGAGTTGTTTATCTACACAAGCGCATATTCTCTCTTATGTTGGTTTGATAATTGATGAGTGCAGGACTGCTATTTCCACTTTTAATAATTGCATTATTAGTATCGTTCCTAGATCAGCTAATGTTATAGCTCATTCTTTAGTTGTTGCAGCCGTTTCACAGGCTAGCACTTTGTACTAGGACTCGATCCCTTCATACTCTATTTCTGCTTTATTACCTTAATGCAAGTTGTGTTTTACTTTCAAAAAATATGTAAACCTAATGGCAATAATATTGTGGTCTAGTGACATGAAGTGACTCTCCTAAATGGGAGGATATGAATTGGAGTCCTCATCAATAAATGTGGCTTTCATGAGGTGTCGCTACATATATTCTAATAATACGACAAATGTCTTGACATCCAAATAAGCAAGAACAAATTTAGAACAAGTTAAAACACTTGTTTGAGCCTTATCCCTTTTTATAAATATCAAATTATTTAAGATCATTTCTAAAAAGAAAATGAATGCCAGGATTTTAACTAAACAAAGGAAACTTTTTGCAACATGGAAGGAAGCCCAAACTTGGACGAATCAGTTTCGAGTCATTATTATCGCCGTCGTCATCCCTGACGCGTCCGCACAGCACTCTTAGCCGCTTGCTATGTAACACCCGCCGTGAAATCAAGAACACCCACAGTTCCGGCTGCCCTCGACGGAGATGGAGGCGCGTGATATACACCGTACTGGCCTGGGAGCTTGCGTTTCAGTACGCATGGGGAGTGCTAGCTGGGTTGGGTCATGGCCTCATGGGTGTGGTTTAAGCCGAAGAAGCTGGAGAAGTGCCTTAATTAGTGTCACTTCGTAAAAAAAATGTCATAATTGTGATGACAAAAAAATAGTGATGACATATTTGTGCTACAAATTTTCCCTTTGCAAAATTGATTTCTTCTCCTTTAAATATTGTTTTTGATTTAAAGAGTTTCTTTGCATACAATTAAAATAAATCACTTTTAACCAGTTTGGTTGGTATGAATGGTCAGGCACTCTTATTCCTTAAAAAATAGTGGAGAGTTCGAACCGTTCTTGTATGAAATGGTCAGCATTTTGTCCCTTAAGTGGAACGACCCGGTGCGAACAGAGGACACCTCGTAGTCTAACTCAGAAAAGGAGAAAATTTTAATTTTGGTCTACGAACTATTAGAGTTGTGTTAATTGCAACACTTGGCTTTTAAAAATGTTAATTTAGTACTTTGACTATGCAATTTCTATCCATTTTGGTCACGCCGGCCAAATCTCACCTGAAAAATCTAACATGTCAAATAATGAGGGTATTTTAGTCATTTTACTCTCTTTTCTTTCTTCTCCGATGAGCTTCTTTCAATTTTCGGCGACGATTTCTTCTATGATGACCTTCTCCGACGCGAGAAAAGATGGATATTCGCCAGTTTGTTGCAACTCCTCCGCATCGAGTCGGCATAGTTGTTATTCTGAGTCCTGGGAAGCCCGATTATTGAAGCTCTGCGACTGCGCGAACCTCTGCGAACTCGAATTCGAACTTGAGTTCAAATTCGGGTTCGGGTTGAGACCTTTGCCGGACTCCTTACGCTCCAAAAAAGCGTTGCGATCGAACCAATCAAACTCGGCATCTTTCGATATCAAGAAGGATTCCGGCAGAAGATCTGGAGCCACTCTCTTTTCGTAGTCGTCGATGGAATCATCACTTTCGACTCGGCCGTCTGCGAAGGTTTCACATGCAATTTTCCGGTCAGTTCCGCCGCCTGCACAGGCGGAGACTAGTGTTTCAAGATCAACTTGAGGCATTGTTGAGGGAGAAGGTTATCGGAGAAGAAATCGTCACCGGAAATTGAGAGAGACTCATCGGAGAGGAAAGAAATGAGAGTAAAATGACTAAAATACCCTTATTTTTGACCTATTAAATTTTTTCGGTGAGATTTGACCAGCGTGATCAAAATTGATAAAAATTGCATAGTCAAGGTACTAAATTAGCATTTTTGAAAGTCAAGTGTTTGCAATTAACACAACTCCAATAGTCAGTGGACCAAAATTAAAATTTTCTCAAAAAAAAAATCTAACAATTCAAAAATAGAAAATGACAATAAACATAATTAAAGAATAAAAAAAGTTTTTGAAAAGAGTGAAAAATGACAATAAATATAATTAAAGAATAAAAAAGTTTTTGAAAAGAGTGAAAAGTGACCATAAATATAATTAAAGAATAAAAAAAAGTTTTTGAAAAGAGTGAAAAAGTGAAAATAAATATAATTAAAGAATAAAAAAAAAGTTTTTGAAAGAGTGATAAATTTTGATTCTTATATAAAAATTAGCATTTTGTATGTTCGATGCGTGAAAATTCATGTTCAATATTAAAATATTAATAAATATAAATAATTAAAAATTATAATTTGAATTATATATACATAAATAATATATGTATTTTGTACACACATATATAATTTATCATTCATAGAAATTTAATTAAAATATAATTAAGAATTAAATTAATATATAATGATTTTAATAAAATGATAATTAAAAAATAGACAAAAATATTATGGATATACGTGTATGGTAATAATGATGTGTTATTAATGTTAGAATTAAAAACTAACGGTATTATTGATAAGTGCTTATTTGTCTATATTTTTCTTCCTTTCACTAAGTCATTTTGCTTATAGATCATTCCAAATTTCATGAGATTATGATTAAATTGTGTTATTTTGCTAGGAGTTTTGTTTGGAAACAAAGATGAGTATTTTTAGGCATTTTGGTGGACATTGGAGTCAAATGGAGCATTTTGGATGCATTAGGAGTCCATGGGAGCCAATGAGAAGTTAAGAGGATGGACAATATACTTCCAAGGGAGCCTAAGAGTGGTGTATTCAATGGTCTTAGTCATTTGGGCAAACCAAAACAAAAGATGAGCAAAAGATCAAGACATTGTAATTTTCGCTCATTTCGGACACTGTTCGGTTTTTTGACCATATCTCGGCCTAGAAATGTCCAAATGGAGTGATTCTTGCACCATTGGAAAGCCAACTTAAAGGGCTACAACTTTGTTGAAGACCATAAGTGCCAGTAAAATGGTTTTAAATGAGAAAAATAGCCTAGAAGTCAAAACAAGTGCACAGAATTCTGTTTCCAGCAGCCTCGTACGCCCTGCCGTACGCCCATACGCATGCCAGTACGCATCTCTTCTCCCTGATCCAGTTTTCACTGGAAATGTACCAAAAATCGTACCCCCTAGAGTACGCCCATCCCTGAGGGCGTCCCAATCTGCTCTGCTCTATTTAGGCGCGTTTTTGTGTCATTTCAACTTGGTTTTGACTCTTGTTAGAATCCTAGACACTCTCTTTCATTCTCCTTCATATTTTTAGGTTAGATTAGACTTAGATTTATGTTTCTTAACACATTTCAAACTTGTATTGAAGGATCTACACTTGGATTTCAAGATTCTACCATCATTTCAATAGATAATCTTCTTTTCCCTTTTATCTCTTTATATTGCAATGTTTATGCTTTACACTTATGTTTTTGTGTTCTTTATGCTATTTAATCATGAGTAGTTAGTTTATGGACTTGAGTTAGGGTTGTATTATCTATCTTGATGCTTGATTTGTGATTATTGCAAAAGGGGGAAGAACACTACTTAGGGTTCATGTGTTTATGAAGGTGTTGTGTTTATATCTTGTTAATGTTTTATGTACACATTCATTAGCTTATTTTTGGAGGATTCCTTGCCTCAACGAGAGTTGGATGATGAATCCAAGCCACCCCTTGCATAGACCCGATTTTTTCCTACGAAAATAGGGGAAATTGGGGGCTTTAGATGCTCTGTGTGCTTGATGGACTTGGAATTGATTCACCACGAAAGTGGGGCAATTCCTTGTTCTAATCCTTGTTTATTAATCACAAGAATGGTTCGTAGACTAGGATACCTACGCGCATTCCCTCTTAATTCCTTGGTTGTGTGATTTTCCCCAATCCTTAGGTTGTGCTATGCATCTAGAAGATAATGCTCCCTAGCTTGAGTCCTATTTATTTATTTTGTGTTTATCTTTGTGCATATGTGTTAGTCTTATGATTTCCTTAAACTTGTAATTTGCTTAGCTTCTTGTTGATTTCCTTATGCTAGTGCCTATTTTCTTGTGATTGCATATTGCGTGCCATATCCCCCAATCACCTGAGGACGATATAACACACCCGAGCTCACATCTTATTTTTGCTACATCAATTATAGCGGTGCAATGATAATTTTGTCTAATAGCATTGAAATGTACAACATTTAAAGTAGAATGTACACATTTATTTACATACAAAAAGATGAACATAAATCAAGGATATAATCTTAATTTAAATTAAACTTATTATGTTTTTAGAAATTACGACTTATAAATTTAGTTCTTGCACACCTTCTTAGTCAAGTTTATTGTACATAAGCAAGAGTTTAACCCTTTTGTATAAAATTTCAAAAAAAAAAAAAAAAAAAAAAAAAAAAAAAAAAAAAAAAAAAAAACTCTTTTGTATAATTTAACGGGGCTTTTAAAAATGTAAACATTTATTCAATTGAGTGAGTCATGTGATCGCCGTCGTCATCCCTTACGTGTCAGTACACCAGTGTTGTTTGTGTTGATATATATAACACCCGCCGTGAAATCAAGAACGCCCACATTCCCGATTGCCTCGCCGGAGATGGAGGTGATATACACCCTACTGGGAGTGTGCATTTCAGTGGGTTTGTTGGCGTACGCATGGGGAGTGTTGGATTGGGTGTGGTTTAAGCCGAAGAAGCTGGAGAAGTGGCTTAAACAGCAAGGCCTCAAAGGGAACCCCTACAGAATCCTCTCCGGCGACATGAAAGAGCTCGCGAAGATGACCACTGACGCCCTTTCCAAGCCCATGACTCTGTCGGATAACATAGCCCCCAGAGTCATTCCGTTTTATGTTCAACATGTCAACAAATATGGTATGTTTTCCATGCTTATATATATGCTTCTGCTGTGAATTCCATCCCAGAAGTCAATGAAGCTATGATATGATCTTGTGCAGGTAAAAGCTGTTATGTATGGATGGGTCCAAGGCCTAAGGTGTTAATCAGGGATCCTGAACTAATAAAGGAGGTTTTAAACAAAAATTATCAGTATCAGAAGGCTAGGACCAACCCACTAGGCAGGAAGGTGGCAAGAGGAGTGGCCAACTATGAGAAAGATAAGTGGGCAAAACACAGAAGAATAATCAATCCTGCCTTCTATTCAGAGAAGCTAAAGGTGTGTGTAATATTTCTCAACTTGATAATATTTTGAATCAAGTTGGTTAGTTGACTTGGTAACTATATGGTTACAAGTTCGATTCCTAACAGGAGAAGCTTATGTCAAGCACCTTGTGTTCAGCAGCTCTGTGGGGTGCTTCCCTTGAGGGAAAGTCACAGGGTCGAACTTCGGTGGTACGGTATTGACTCTTTAAGCTGCAGTAGTTAGAGAAAGTATAGAACAGATACTAATATATAATAGAGTCAGGAGAAGCTTATTGGCCTTCTCAATTTGAGTTAGGCTAGTTTACCTCATTGTGATCCAGTCGTTCTATCGTGGACCGCGGTGCATGTGCACCGCAGTCAAAACAACGCTGTTTCTTTAAGTAAAGAAATGGCGTGCCGTTAGTTTTAACGGAGCGCGTATTTTGTATATGTTAATTACCAACTGACACTATAGTATATCTAAACCGACATTGCCTCACGTATTATTTTTATATTATCAAATGAAACTGCAATTATATCAAAATGATACTGTAGTTGTGGTGAAATGAAACTGCAGTGTATATAAAATCAACCTGAATAACATTTCACATATTTGAGTGTATATTGTACAACAATGAAGCTGTAATTATATCAAAATGATCATGTAGTTGTGTTTTAATAAAACTATAGTTAAATAAAATTAAATAACATTTTCACATATTTGAGTCTATAAATATCGAATGAAATTGTAGTTATATCTAAAAGAAAATGTAGTTGTGTTGCACCGAAATTGCAGTGTATACAAAATGAAAATGAATAACAGAGTTACTTTTTGCGGAATGGAGGGAAATAGATGCCGTTCTTTTCATTAAACAAAACAACGTCGTTTTGATGCGTGGTGCATAATCAATTATGCACCACGGTGCACGATATAATTTGCCTATATCCTTTGTTGGCTAGGTCAAAAGACTGTATTTACCCAGTTACCCTTGGATAGTGGCGGCTAAGTTACAAGACTGGGTTTCCTTAGTCTGAGTTTTCCTCGTCACTCAAAGAGGGAAAAAAATAAAAAAACTTGATAACATTTTAACTGTTACAACTCTTGCAACAGCTTATGCAACCGGCATTCTTGCTAAGCTGCTGTGAAATGCTGAGCAAGTGGGAAGGGATAGTCTCAGGAAAAGGATCTTGTGAACGGGATGTGTGGCCTGACCTGCAAGGCCTAACCTGTGATGTGATTTCTCGAACGGCGTTTGGGAGCAGCTATGAAGAAGGAAAGAGGATCTTTGAACTCCAGAAAGAACAGGGCATGCACTTCATAGAAGTTTCGCGTCAAGTTTATGTACCTGGATGGAGGTAACATAACAAACAGATGACAAACAGTGTCACATAATAGGCATATATATTAGATAGTATATGAGTTGTCATTAACTAGTAAGGTTAGTGCAGATTTGTGCCAACTAAGAGGAACAGAAGAATGAATGCCATTGAGAAGGAAGTGAAATCATCAATCCGGGGTATTATAGACAAGAGAATGAAGGCGATGCAGGGTGGGGAGACGAACAATGATGATTTATTGGGCATATTACTGGAATCCAACTTACAAGAAATCAGACAGCAGGGGGGGAAGGAATTCGGAATGAGCATCGAAGATGTGATCGAGGAGTGTAAGGTGTTCTACTTTGCAGGGCAGGAGACTACTTCGGTGATGCTGGTGTGGACTATGATTCTCCTCAGCAGATTCCAAGATTGGCAAGCCCGAGCTAGAGAAGAGGTGTTGCAGGTTTTCGGGGATCAGGAACCAGATTTCGAAGGATTGAATAGCCTTAAAGTTGTAAGTATTCTAGACACTTACATAGTTGACAGTAATGCTCATCCAGATAATTAACCTCATGTGATATCCTCTTTACAGTTGACAATGATTCTATACGAGTCTTTAAGGCTCTACCCTCCAATAACTGGCATGGATAGGCGGACCGTGGAGGAAACTAAACTAGGAGAAATAGTTCTGCCACGAGGGGCACTGCTGATGTTGCCTACACTCTTGATGCACGTTGACAGTGAGATATGGGGTGAAGATGCCAAAGAGTTCAAACCAGACAGGTTCAGGGAAGGTATAATGAAGGCAACAAAGGGTAAACAAGTATTTTTCCCATTTGGCGGGGGACCTCGAATATGCGTTGGTCAAAACTTTGCTTTGGTAGAAGCTAAAATGGCTATGGCTATGATTCTGCAACGCTTCTCGTTTGAGCTTTCTCCTTCTTACGCACACGCTCCATATTCAATGGTGACCACTCAACCTCAGCATGGTGCTCCTTTAATTATACACAAGCTTTAATATGTTTCTTCCCAGTTCCCAGAAATTCCACTAATATGTAGTCTTGAATCAAATTTCTATATATTTTGTACTATGGAAAGTCTACTGCAGACTGAATCTACCCTTCTCTATATATAAACAAATAAACAATATGCTTTGGACAGGCAAGATTTACTGTAAGAAATCATTTCAATTTAGAACAATGTTGAACAGACTAGACAGAAGGAAAATCATTTGTGTATAAATAGTCATTCCATATTTCAGATGCAATAGAGTCTCGCAACTGAGAAACCTGTTCTAAATGCTCGGTTTCAAATGGAATGTTTAAAACCTGTGTCTCAATATGCATCTGTTGCTGTTCGGTTTCCAAAGGTGGCATTGGATCTTCCTGTGGCAATCCAGCTTCTTGATTGTACATTTTAAAGATCCAGTCTTTGGGATTCTCCTCGCAGATGAAGTTGTGTATGGCGCATGCTGCTACAACGAGCTTCACCTGTGTTTGCAGAGGGTAAGAAGGAGCGGCCATCAGAATGGGAAAACGCATCTTCAGTGCTTCAAAAGTGCGGGCAGTAACACTTCGTAGCAAAGAGTGTCGATGATTAAAGAGCTTTTTGGCATCTTGAGGAAGGAAACCACCGTCGAATTCAAGAAAGGCATAAGAAGAATCGGGATATGGAGCGATGAAACCTGGGATGTTTGCATATTTAGCATCCACTAGGTAGTATTTACCTGAAACCCATTAATAAATCTCTTATCACCAATGTTGAAAAAATCGTTAGGCGCGGCGCCTAGGACGCCTAGGAGGCCGCCCGCCTAGCGCCTAGGCGCGATTTTTGCAACAGTGCTTATCACTAAAAAGGCATACCTTCAGGCACTTGAAGCTTATTCCGTCTTGTCAGAGCAGAATTTAGAACTCGCATATCTGGTGCCGAACCTTCCCAACCAGCTAATACATAATGGAATTTCATATCAAAAGAGCACGCTGCAATAACATGTTGTGAGAGAACGCCATTCTTATCCCGAAAAGGCCCTTGTTCATCGACACCTACTGTCACAGGGAAATGTATGCCATCAACTGCCCCAACACAATCCTGATAAACGGTTGTAACATGTAAGGATCATTGTAGTTGATCATAGTAGAAGATACAATCAAAATGAATCTATTTACCTTAAAATACGGATAGAATTGAGGATCGTCTTGAATTTCTGGTGGAATGTCAGACCCTGGAGGCTTAAAGAGATCCAGTGAAATGGTCATGATTGCATTCAAAACATTGTTAAAATGGCGACTGATGGTTTCGCTTGAATATTTGAAAAGCTCTTGAACTGCACGGGTTCTCAGATTGCGACCAAGAATGAACATAAATATAGCTACTTGCTCCTCGATCTTGATTCTATTCGTGTGGCGTAAGAGGCCCCTTGTTTTTACCATATCACACAACTTGTAGAAAACATGTTTATCCATACGAAAGTTCTCCAAGCAGACTTCGTTTTCACCCTTGAGAACAGCATCTACAAATTTAGTACCATGAGATGCTAAAGAATGGCTCGGTTCCCTTGATATAGAGGTCTCTAAAGTGTCATCCTTTGCATCACCTGAGCTCTCCATGGCAAAGCAACCTTATGCATCCACAAAAATTCCAAATAAGCATAATTTCACTGTAAAGAAACATAAAGACCAATCCAGTGAAGAACATTAAAAAGCTTTTCAAAGTCTATTAAAAAAAAAAACGAATTTTACATCCCTTGGGAAGAATTCTGGTCTTGCCCACAAAAGGAAAAATTCCCTCGCCCCCAAGGCCCCTACACCCTAGCCCGACAGGATAATGAAAGGGTAAATTATGGTGACTCAGCCGCCCATTAGGTGGAATGACCAGTGTCGGGTGCCCATCAACGGCTGCTAAGGCTCGATTATGTTTCTTTGCCCACAATCTACCACCTAGAACCAACTAAGCTATCCGCGTGGATTGACATAAACTAGTGTGGACAATGTGGCTTTTTGGATTGAAGTTTGGCCTTGAAAGATCCCAAAAGAAGCATCCATGTATGGAGGCTTCTTTGCAAAAACAGAATCTAGGTTACACTAAACCAGCAATTTTGTGTTCACTTCAAACTCCATTACACAACAAAGTGATCCATACCCAGAAGGCCAGAAACTATCTGCAGATTGGTACCAACAATAATGATAGAAGAGGGGCACTGCTAAACCTAAACAATTTGTTATAGTTTTGTTTTCACACTACTAAATAATAATTCCTACACAGCTATAATCATACTGGAAATACAGAACTGAAGAGACACACATGGCACAAAGATGTAGACAAGTTCTCCAATAAAACATGAATCATCTGGCGTTCAAAAAGGTGTCTTTAGAACCCTAATTACACCATTGTCTTCAATTAGTTGACTTCTAAGCACATGACAGAAAACTGAAACTCCAAGAATTAGAAAAAGATCAAATTTTTTTGAAGCCCAAATTTAAGCTGCGTACCTAGAGTGCTGTCTTTCTGCTTTTTCACATTCCAAAACGTTGAAGCTGCGGTGGATGATTTGATGGCTTTTTTTTTTTATTCTTAAGAAAAAGTATTATGAACTTCTGGGGTTCGCACTCGAATGTATACCCGACCCGACAATACGTCTAGAATTTAACCCCATTCCAATTTGGAATAAGGGTCAAATTGCAATTTCGTGTATTCCTTCCAATTTAGTCCTTTATGTTTTCACCTTTAACACATGTATAACACTTTTTTCTTTTAAATTCTTTTTCTTCACATCAAGAACGCAGCTTTTTGCTTCCTCGAGTTAAGATGTCATGCGTGGCGGCGAGGCGTCTAGTTCAGCAGAGCTGTCCGGTTTTCAGAATAGACCATTATGCTTGCATAGAACTCCTTGAAGCCTCTACAGAGTCGAAGGCGCTTGCGCAAGGCAAAGCAATTCATCAAGCCATCGTTAAAAACAATCATTGTTTCACCAATAACTCAATCCTTCTCGACAAGCTTACCCGTTTCTATATCTCATGCAGAAGACTTGAGCTCGCTCGGCGCGTTTTTAATTCAATTCCGAGCCCGGATAGGAGGAACAAATCTATCTTGTGGAACCAAATGATCAGAGCCTATGCTTGGGATGGACCACTTGAGGGAGCCGTTGAGCTGTACTATGAAATGATGAAGTGTGGAGTCAGACCCACCAAATACACGTACCCTTTTGTGTTAAAGGCTTGTTCGGGGCTGCAAGATTTGGAGAATGGGGTGAGAATTCATGAAGATGCGGAAAGGCAGGGTCTTGGTAATGATGTATTTGTTTGCACTGCTTTGGTTGATTTTTACGTGAAGTGCGGGTGTTTGGTTGAGGCACGGGAGGTGTTTGATGGAATGCGTGAGAGAGATACTGTGGCGTGGAATGCATTGATTGCTGGATGTTCTTTGCATGGTTTGTATGGGGATATGAGGAGCTTGGTCCTGGAAATGCAGAAAACCAGGTTGGATACCAATTCTTCAACTATGGTAGCCATGCTGCCAGCAATTGGGGAGGCAAACAAGTTGAGAGAAGGGAAGGGTGTGCATGGGCATTGTTTGAGAAGGGGTTTTGTTGGAGATGTAGTTCTTGATACTGGGATTCTGGATGTGTATGGAAAATGTAAGCAGTTGGATTATGCATGGAGGGTTTTTAGTGCAATGAGTTTCAAGAATGAAATCACGTGGAGTGCAATGATTGGGGCGTGCATAACGTGTGATTCTGCACTAATGGGGTTGGAGCTGTTTGAGAAGATGAGGCTGGAACATAATTCCAGTCTTTCCTCTGTTATGCTTGCGACAGTCATTCGAGCTTGTGCTAAGCTAATTGATCTGAGGAGAGGGAAATGGATACATGGTCAAACTGTTAAGATGGGATCTCTTTTGGATCTAATGGTTAGCAACACACTTCTTTCTATGTATGCAAAGTGTGGGAGGATAGATGACACACTGAGGTTATTTGAGGATATGCATTTGGTAGATTCTGTCTCATATAGTGCTATAATTTCAGGGTGCGTGCAGAATGGTAATGCAGAAGAAGCTTTAAGGTTTTTTCAGAAGATGCAATGTTCTCGTGTTGAGCCAGATCTCTCGACCGTGATGGGATTCCTCCCAGCTTGTTCGCAGTTAGCTGCTCTACAGTATGGAGTTTGTGGCCATGGTTACTCCATAGTCCATGGATTCACGACAGATGTTTCAATTTGTAATGCTCTAATTGACATGTACTCAAAGTGTGGTAAGGTCGAACTGGCTAGGCTTGTTTTTGAGAGGATGTATACAAGAGATGTTGTCTCTTGGAATGCAATGATTTCTGGTTATGGAATTCATGGCCGTGGAAGAGAAGCAATTTTGATGTTCAATGATATGTTGACTGTAGGCCAAAAACCAGATGAGATTACTTTCATCGGTCTCTTATTTGCTTGCAGCCACTCAGGTCTCGTTGCCGAAGGGAAGCATTGGTTCCATACCATGTGTGAAGAATTCAAGATTGTTCCGAGGATGGATCATTATTTATCCATGGTGGATCTTTTGGGCCGTGGTGATCTTCTGGACGAGGCCTACAGTTTAGTCGAAGCAATGCCATTCGAGCCTGATGTCCGCATATGGAGTGCTTTGCTTGCAGCTTGTAGAATCTATAGAAATATTGAACTTGCAGAAGAAGTTTCGAATAAAATTCATAGCCTAGGGCCAGAAAGTCCAGGTAATTTTGTTCTTTTATCGAACTTATATAGTACTGCAGGGAGATGGGATGATGCTGCTCATATTAGAATTGTGCAGAAAGATTCAGGCTTTAAGAAGAGCCCAGGGTGCAGTTGGGTTGAAGTGAATGGTAATGTCCATGGATTCGTTGGCGGGGATCAGTCTCACCCACAGTCACCCAAAATCAACGAAAAACTAAACGAACTGTCTTTCGAGATGAAAAAATTAGGGTATAGGTCAGAATTTGATTTTGTGTACCAAGATGTCGAAGAGGAGGAGAAAGAGCAAATTCTTCTTTATCACAGCGAGAAGCTTGCTGTTGCGTTTGCCTTGCTTAATCTTAAACCCAGCAAGCCCATTCTTGTCACCAAGAATTTGCGGGTCTGTGTTGACTGCCATACTGCACTGAAATTCATCACCACCATCACGAAACGAGAAATAACAGTGAGGGATGCAAGCCGGTTTCATCATTTCAGAGATGGGGTTTGCAGCTGTAAGGATTTCTGGTGAAAGAGAGAATACCCCGACTCCTTAGCGTTTTAGATCCAGAAGTCATTTGCCATGTTGAGCATATAACCATTAATGTGCAATCCACCTATCAGCTTAGGCTTTTAGTTGAGATGGAGCACATGTTTCAATTTGGTATCAGAACCAGACCAAAGGTCATGGCCACGTGGAGCATATAACCATTAATGTGCAATCCAACTATCAGTTTAGGCTTGTAGTTGAGATGGAGCACATGTTTCAATTTGCCACAGCTGTAAGTTTATCAGTCTTACTTTATATGCCTTGACACTGTTGTGTTTTCCTTTCAACCGTTTATCCTGTATAGCGTAGAGCCGTAGAGATACAGAATTACCTGCAGTTTTTATCTTCAAGAAGCAACGCTTTGGTTTGTCGGGATGGGGAAATATGCTTCTTGATCTGCCTATTGTGTGGTCAGGATTGAATCGAGAATTTAGTCATATGAAGCTAGGCAAAATATGTGAATTTCACCGTATTGGAATCTTCATCTATTATTAATAAGCTAAGAAATTCTTGATGCTTTTACACACTGCAGTGACAATAATAGTTTTGGAATTGGATTCTTTGCTTGATATCTACTTTGATGGTCTCTTGTTCCAGAAGATGGCCACCACAAAAGGACAGTCTTTTCATTCAAAAAGGAATATCTTTTCAGCTAGAACCTAATAAACAATGGTTTGAGACTTTGAGTTGTGCCTAAGAGGCTAAGAGCCCCAACCAAATTCTTGATCGGTTTTCGTCGAGAAGTTGCTGCTTGAACCGAAGGATCTTAGGGAACATGAGCGGCAGTAGTGGCGGTGGGAGTGGCCATTATTATGACTATATGCCAGATCAGGTTCAGAGATATGTGCAGAGAGATGAGTTTGAGAGTGTCCATGGTATTCCTAGTCGGTACAACTGGAACAGATCGCAGCCTGGATTTCCTCCGGTTGAAGAGCCTGGTAATCAGTACAACTGGAACAGACCGCAACCTGGATTTCATCACTCTCGGCTAGAAGAGCCTGGTAATCAGTACAACCGGAACAGAATTCAAACCAGATTACCTCACTGGGAAGAGGCTCCAGTAAGCCCATCCTTCACCTCTATGTATGTTTTTGCCCACTTCTTCCTCTAACCTCGTTTCTTGTTGCACATTTGCACGCAGTCCTTCCCGAGCCAGGACCCAGGCTATCCTCGAAGGTTTCCAAATCCAAGGAGACCCATCGGAGCGCCTCTCAGATTCAACAGGTACTCTATTAGTTAGTTCCATATGCAATTCCCTGCAGAACATTTGATTGCTAGTCGTTGGTTTCAATGATAGTTTAAGCACTTTTGCTCATCACAAAAACGAGTTTTTCGCATTTTTGGTCCCACGACTATAGTGGCATTATCAGGATTTATCCACGACTTTCAAACCTTGCAATCTCAGTCCACGACTATTGTTTTTTTGTAAAAATGGTCCTTTCAGCCCATTTTCTGTCAATTTTCCGGCCCCTTTTTTGACATAAATGGTTCTTACTCCGGTGAGAAATTGTAGCGACACTATAGTCGTGGACCGAGATTGCAAGGTTTGAAAGTCGTGGATCAATCCTGGTAGTGCCACTATAGTCGTGGGACCAAAAGTGCGAAAAACTCTCACAAAAACACTTCTTCATGGCTAGCACCATTTGAACCAACTGTGATCTCGTGAGTTCAATCGTAATGTGATATGGTAATCAAATTGCAGCATTCAATCAGGAAATAGGCCACCAGCCCCGCCACGCCCCCCAATCCGAGTTGTTGTTCTTGAAGACAGCGTGTCAGCAAACGCTTGGCAAACTCAATTGGCTCGACTGGATCACTCTCCTCCTTCTCGTTCTCCTCCTCCTCCTCCTTTCCGCCTGTTCATGCAGCAGCGCGAAGACGATAATCCTCAGTCCTCGACCAACGAATCCAAGCTAACCACAGACGAGCAGCACAAGGTGTTAGCTAAGCTCAGGAAAGAAATTTACAACCCCGCAACACCTCTCCCGAACCTCTACTTCAGGGACAGGAACCGCAACACCACACAGACACAGGAGGCGTCAAAGGACAAAGACGAGAACTGGAAGAGGTGCGCGGTTTGCCTGGAAGATTTCGAGGCCCGGGAAGTCGTCACTCTCACTCCCTGCAACCACATGTTTCACGAGGACTGCATTGTCCCCTGGGTGAAGAACCACGGGCTGTGCCCTGTCTGCCGCTTCGCCATTTGTGAGAGGCTCAAGGAGAATGCTGCCCCGCCTGCGCCTCCAAGACGCACCGGGGTTCCTCCACCTCGCCGTCTCCTTCCTCCCCCGCCTCCGGCTCGTGATAACGACATGCTTGCCATAATGAGAGCACTTGTGTTGGAGGATGACTATGAGTTGCAGAACATGATACCTGCTCTGTTGGGAAGATAAGCAGAGAAGATGTAAACAAATAAATCAATATCTTGAATTTACTTCCAAAATTTGAACAAGTATGCAATACTAAATCCCCAAGAATAAAATAAGAATACTATTTAAGTTCATCTTTATTTTTTCATATTGTTGAGCATATAACCATTAATGTGCAATCTAACTATCAGCTTAGACTTTTAGCTGAGATGGAGCACATGTTTCAATTCATATCCACTCTAAAAATACTTCTTTATATTTAAATTTTCCATTCGGATGACAAACCATATCAAAATTTGCATCAATCTTTGATTTACGAGAAAACTCGCGATCAAGGTACACTATGAGTGAAGCTCGCCTTGCCTAGATTGTCCACGGGTTCAGACCAAGAAAATTAATAGATAGTTCTAACGGAGAGTCAAACTTGAAATTTGTAATTACCGAATTAACTGTCCCATTTTGCATCAAACTTGTCCTTCAACCGTATACGCAATTGAAAGAACGCCATAGTGTGAATGTTCCTTAATGATACAAAAACATACAAATCAAAATGTCAATTTGAACACCAAACTTTCACGACAGGTTCAGAACCAAGCCACCAAGGCAAAGGCAAAAAACATGAAGACGATATTGACCCAAGTAGCCAACAACATATGAATGGAGAGGAAAAATTATTTTATATACAATAGAAAAATAAAAAATTATATTAAATATCTTAAATATAGTTTAAACTTTTGAACCAATTAAACTGAACTCAAATCCTATTAAACTCAATCGAATCGAACCTAAATTTGGACCAGTCTATTTTAAATTTGACGTGACTCAACTTATTTTCACTCTTAATCAAATGACAAGTTTTCTTTAAAGGACTAAAAATTTTACAACATTTCAATTATTATCCGGCTATACACTAAAATTAAGGGTTACTAATTCTTTGATGAAATATGCCAAATTTCGTCGCAGGAAAAAAATCTAAGAATTGTGGAAGTGTTTGTAGGAATTGTAGACCCGTAGAATCCACCGAGAAGAAGCCACGTATGCCATTCCCAAACCACATCCATTCCCTCTAAATTACCTTCCACCTCCTATTTCCTTTCCAAACCCTTTCTTCATCTCACTCTCTCTCTCCTCAGCTCTCTCCGGATTTTCAGGTAAAGTCTGCAGCTTTTTAATCTCTTTTCAGTAGTTATGGTTCCAATAATTACTTCTTGTTGGTAGGAATAGCGTTCGGTATACTTGTAGTAATGCACAGATAGCAAAATCAAGATTCATGGGTAGTTTATGTTTCTTTAATATTGTGTGTTTTTATGGACTTTGTATTCACCTTAGTAGATGACTTTGCGCAGTGGAGCTGTTGGGTTCTTGAAATCAGAGAAATTAGAAGCTTTATTAAGTGTAATTAGCTGTTTTTTCCCCAGATTTGTCACCAATATATGTAAAGATTGCTACCTTAGCACAGTAGATTACTTTGTGTTATTTCTTTATTAAGTATGGTCATGGTGAAAGGATGCAGAGTTCATTTCAAGAGTTAAATTAAAGTTGAAGCATAAAAGATAGACAAGACAAGATGTGAATTGAAATTTGGAACAAAATTGAATCTTGAAATAAATCTTTGATTCATCTTTATTCTGGTATCTATATCGCCATTCTTGATATCAAATTGGAATTTGATTTCCCTCTAGATTATGTCGTGTTGTATGTATTTTCTTCTATTTCATTTGTTGAAAAGTGGTATGCAATGTGTGCAGATTACTGGGAATTTGCCAAGATGGCAACTTCATCAGTGTGCATAGCGGGAAATGGTTTATCGAAAGAAATTTATGGAAGGCACCTTTTATTTGCTTCACGCTTGCCATCACGTAGCAAGACATCAAAAGTTGTCGTTGCAAAGGCGTCCCTGGACCAGAATTCGCGTGAGGGTAGAAGAGGCTTTTTGAAATTATTACTCGGGAATGCTGGTCTTGCTGTACCTGCATTGTTAGGTAGTGGGAAAGCTTATGCGGAGGAACAAGGGGTCTCAAACTCCAGGATGTCTTATTCTCGATTTTTGGAGTACTTGGATAAGGATAGGGTGCAAAAGGTAGATTTGTTCGAAAATGGAACCATAGCTATTGTTGAGGCAATATCTCCAGAGTTGGGCAATCGGGTTCAGAGAGTTCGGGTGCAGTTACCCGGGCTCAACCAGGAACTCCTTCAAAAGTTCAGGGAAAAGAATATCGATTTCGCTGCACACAATGCTCAAGAGGAGTCTGGCTCTCTGTTGTTTAACTTGATTGGAAACTTGGCATTCCCGCTTATCTTGATTGGGGGTTTGTTCCTATTATCGAGGCGGTCTTCTGGAGGAATGGGCGGCCCTGGCGGCCCCGGTTTCCCGTTGGCCTTTGGCCAATCAAAAGCTAAGTTCCAAATGGAACCGAACACCGGTGTGACATTTGATGATGTTGCGGGTGTGGATGAAGCGAAGCAAGATTTTATGGAGGTGGTGGAGTTCTTGAAGAAGCCCGAGAGGTTTACTGCAGTTGGAGCACGCATCCCTAAAGGAGTTCTTCTCGTCGGTCCTCCGGGTACCGGGAAGACCCTACTAGCCAAAGCCATAGCGGGTGAAGCCGGTGTTCCTTTCTTCTCAATTTCGGGTTCGGAGTTTGTTGAGATGTTTGTTGGCGTTGGTGCATCTCGTGTCCGTGACCTTTTCAAGAAAGCCAAGGAAAACGCTCCCTGCATTGTATTTGTCGATGAAATTGACGCTGTTGGGCGGCAAAGAGGAACCGGGATTGGCGGAGGGAATGACGAGAGAGAGCAAACTCTTAACCAACTCCTGACGGAAATGGACGGTTTCGAAGGAAACACCGGAATTATAGTTATTGCCGCCACTAATCGTGCTGATATTCTCGACTCAGCCTTGTTGAGGCCTGGTCGGTTTGATAGACAGGTATACTATATACTATACCACCGCATATTTGCTTTCCTCCTGAATTATCATGTAACGAAATGCTGAATTTGAAATTGTGCTGCAGGTGACTGTTGATGTTCCCGATATTAAGGGAAGAACAGAGATCTTAAAGGTTCACGCCAGCAATAAGAAGTTCGATTCTGATGTATCTCTTGAAGTAATATCAATGCGGACACCTGGTTTCAGCGGGGCCGATCTAGCTAACCTCTTGAACGAGGCAGCCATACTGGCGGGTAGACGGGGTAAAACAGCTATCTCATCTAAAGAGATTGATGATTCGATTGATAGGATTGTTGCGGGAATGGAAGGGACAACTATGACCGACGGCAAGAGCAAAAGTCTAGTGGCATACCATGAAGTTGGCCACGCCATTTGCGGGTGAGTCCAAAATGACTTCTATTTACATCTCGTAAAGAACCAAGTTATTTTTTTTTTGTCAGACCACGAGGTGTCCTGAGCAGGCCCTAACTGTAGGAGGCACCTTTAATTCTGCCATTTTCATTCACTCTTCTTTTAGTTATTATCTACGAATTTGCTCCAAATAGCTGGTTTTATGGTGATCTTAAGTTGAACCCGAAGCAAATGTACACGTAAATAACGTCTCTTGCATTCCATGTCATCATGCAGTACTCTCACTCCTGGACACGATGCTGTTCAAAAAGTCACACTAGTCCCACGTGGTCAGGCGAGGGGTCTGACCTGGTTTATTCCATCAGACGACCCAACCTTGATCTCTAAACAACAGCTCTTTGCGAGAATTGTTGGAGGGCTCGGTGGAAGGGCTGCAGAGGAAGTTATCTTTGGAGAGCCCGAGGTGACCACTGGTGCAGCTGGTGATTTGCAACAGATCACCGGTATGGCGAAACAGGTATATAAAACAACATTTTGGCGAGAGTGAAAATGAGATGCGAAAAGATCCCCCTCCCTTTTCTTTTTTTGTTTTCTCGAGAACTTTGCTGAGGGTCCTTGTGTATCTTTTCACAGATGGTTGTTACTTTTGGGATGTCTGAGATTGGGCCTTGGTCACTCATGGACTCGGGGGCTCAAAGCGCGGATGTTATCATGAGAATGATGGCCCGCAACTCCATGTCAGAAAGGCTTGCAGAAGACATAGACGCGGCTGTGAAGAAGATCTCGGACAGTGCATACGAGATTGCATTGACCCACATCCGGAACAACCGGGAAGCCATTGATAAGATAGTGGAAGTCCTTCTCGAGAAGGAGACAATGAGTGGAGATGAATTCCGCGCAATTCTATCAGAGTTTGTCGAAATCCCTGCTGAAAACCGCGTTCCTCCAGCAGTACCAGCCCCAGCAACTGTATGATAGCATCATATGTATACTTGGATTTGTGATTTCAGGTGACTTTTATATGTCCCTAATCGCCCCTTTTTTTTGTATAAAAATCGCTACTTTTCTTGTAATCCATGTAACTAAGATCATCAATTAGAAATAGAATGTAAGAATGCCAGAAAACTATATACATTTTCTTCACCCATGTGTTTGTGGCATCCCCTTCCTCCCTCCCTCCCCTGCTTTTTGTGCTTGCTTTTCCCCCCAAACCCATTTTGTTACTTCTCCAGTTCTCCTTCCCCATGTCTCAACATACAAACTAGAGTTAACCAGCTTGGTTGGCGTGAGTGGCCGAACGCTCTCATCCCTTAAGAGAGGTTTGGTGAACCCCCCTCGTATGAAAAAAATAATTTGACCAGTATTTGGCCCCTTAACTGGGTCAGCCCGGTGTGAATGCGGATTAGTCTGAGTATAGTACGGGCTTAAAGGTGTTTCCTACAGTGGGCTTGCTCAAGACACCTCATGGTCTGACCAAAAAACAGACAAACTAGAGCTAATGTGGCATTGTATATGGTGCATCTCACATCGGCTACTGATAGATATCGAGTCGGGTGCACAAAACTAGCTCAATCCTATTCCCATAACACTGCCCATTCTCGTGTGACAATCTAAAACTTTTCATCAATAACTGATGTGGGACTCATCAACCTGCTGTGAGACATGAAGAGTGAAAGAGATCCAAATTGTCTGCTATGCAAAGTAAAAGGGGTTCAAATGAAATTGCATTAATAAAATGGTTATTTATCTAAGTGTTCAATGTACAAGGTGAAGGTATTTCCTCTTCTATGGATAGCTGCAGGTGCTCTCCCCTACCCCAAATTACAGATAATAAACTTCCTACTCACAAGAAAACTTCTTCAAACTTTGGAAATCTCAAGGCATTGAACCAAGCCCTCATGGAATAAGGATGTTAGAAAGCTGCAGCAAAATATGAACCTCTGTGCATAATTCTGGCATATGATTTCTGCATCGCTACTCGCTAGCAATCTTTCGACGTTCTGTTTTATCAATCAGTAGCAGTTCTGTCCTCAACTGCCCCTTCCATTTGATGGCTTGTCGATATCTCCATAAAAGTCTCTTGAAACTCTCAATGAAAAATTCGCTTCTCCCTTCTCGGCCATGAATAGATCCAAGAGCAGAGGAAAGAATGAGTGGAAAAGACAGCTATGTTACCCTTTCTCAAGCCTGAAATCTATTTTCCTATAAGAATTAAGAAATATGTTATCCTCCAACCTGGATTATTTATTATTTAACAGGGGCTTGGATTAAGCAAGGAACGAAATTCCTAAAACATTCAAGCTGGATTATCAGCTTCTTCGTCAGAATCGGCAGGGGTATCACTCGTTTCAGCTAGAGATTCAAGCATGAGTATCACCTCAGACGGATCATCCAAATAGTATTTGGCTTTGCTCGGCTTTTGCCCAACAGTGCAGGCAAAAACCTTTGTATTTTGAGAGAGGATATTTCTAGAGAGAGCACTGCCAATTATTTCAAACATATCTTCATCGGATCTGTCATCACCAATGCAAAGCACAAAATCTGCCAGTTTCCCTCCTTCTGCCATAGATGTGAATATCTTTTCAGCAACCAAGCCTTTGTTGACTCCCTGAAAAGGAAAAACATAGAAGTACTTAGATCTCACATGGCTAGTGAATAAAAAATGTTTCTTTTAGTACCAATAAGGAAGAATTCGGTGTTGGGAAAGGAAGACTTTGAAATGTCAACACAACAAAAAGCCATGCAGGTAAGGATAATTTCACAAACATAAGAAGATCTACAATTATCACGTTCTCCACCACCATGGGGTTGGCTCAACTGGCAAAGGGATCCCGGATAAGACTTTGCAACTCCCGAGTGGGTTTGAATTCCCCTAAACCCAGTAGCTCATGTTGGTGATCTTCCTTCCTAAAGTGATCTTTGATGTTAGCAATTGGAGGCCTCTCCCCTCAGGAAGTCTCACTGCATGCAAACCCTCACTCCTCTAGACACGGGATTGGAAGATGTGGAGTGGGATCAACTAGGCATCCCAAGCATAAAATTGGCACCATGACCAGTACTCCAGTATTGCTGATGTAACCTATCATGTGCCCAAAAAAAAACATGTTTTCCCACCAACCAGTGGATGCCCAAGTGATGATAAACCCAGCATATGAGCCCACATGAAGAGTCACAGGAAGCCAGGGAAAAAAACTAACATGGTATCTAAAATCTTTATAGAAGTAAAAAATGCAAATTGAAAGATGATACATGCCTGAGGCTTGAGTTCTACAATGGACCGTCCACTTTTCACAGCAACAGGTTCATGTGATAAAACACTCTCTAGATGATCAAGCATCTCCTTGGCCTGAGAATAACCAAAACTAGGGTCTGCATCACTATACTGCCACACAATAGCACTTTCCTTCTTTTCAATGCAAGAACCATCTGTAGCATCAGTATAGGATTGCATGACAGGTTCAGCAAGCTGCATCCATCCAAAATCAGAGTTCTGACTGGTCTGTTCCCATTCATGATCTTGTGACCACCTGTGCTTTTTCAAATTCAAATTCAGCAGACTTACTCTAAAAAAAAAAAAAAAAAAAAAAAAAAAAAAAAAAAAAAAAAAAAAAAAAAAAAAAAAAATCAAAGCCTACCAACAAAATAACCCCTAAGTATACCCATTCATAAATCCATTTAATTAATGGATTTAGAACCTTCCATCTATCAATACGTACACAACTATCATAATTAGGTACCCATTTGGCCATTTATATTGAGTTTGGTTTGGGTGATAAATGGGTCCAGTTCTCAATTAACACTCTACACAAAATGTAATACATCATTAGAGAATTAGAAAAAAAATTCTGATTGATTCCACCGTGTTGATGCATCATCACACTTAGCCAACATTCCAACCAAATACTAAGATTTGTTGATTTAGTAAAGGGAATGAGGTAATCACACCTCATGAAGTAACCATGTTCTGCTGCAAGCCCCAGCTTCTGACAAGGTGAACACCAACTGCTTAAGTTGTCCCTTCCTCTTCCACTAACTATAAAGACAGTATTTTTCTTATCACTGCAGATTTTGTTTAAAACGGTCAAGACTTGTGCACTAGGCGACTTGATGATAGAACTTTGAGGAATAACAGTTCCATCATAGTCTAGTAATATTGCCCTGTTCTTAGCCTTAAAATAAGCTGACACAATCTCCTCTATTGAAAGCTTTCTGAAGTTGGGATCTAAGGCTACAACTCTGAATCCAAAGCCCAACCCAATACCATAGCATCTTTTCGTAAAGTGATCAACACATGTTTTCTCCAAATCTTGCAAGAAACTTCTTGACCAATAAGCCACATCATGAGTGCTGACATAGCGATAATGCTTCTCGTGTCGCAGCTGCTTCTCTGGTTCAGCCATTGATAGAGCCTCATTCATTGCCTCAGCAGTAGCTTCAACGTTCCATGGGTTGACACGGATTGCCCCACTCAGTGAAGGAGAACACCCAATAAATTCTGATAATACTAGCATGCTCTTCTTGGGTCCACCCAAATCTGAGTCTGCTTCAGCACTGGGTATACCCTGTCTACACACAATGTATTCATATGGTTTCAGGTTCATCCCATCCCTTACTGGTGTAGTGACAAGACATTCTGCAATACTATAATAAGCCATTTTTTCACTGCTTGATATAGGTGTATCAATAAAAATAATAGGTTCATAACCGGGTTTGCCAAATTCTTTTCTAATTCTCTTGCAGCTTTCCTGAATTTCATTCTCTATCTGTTCCAAATTAATCCCTTTTCCTCTTGCAGGAGTTGCAATCTGGACCAGCACAGCCTTTCCTTGCCAATTTGGATGTTCTTTGAGCATGTGTTCGATAGCTAGAAGCTTTAAGTTGATACCTTTGAAAATATCCATGTCATCAACTCCAAGTAACACAGTTTTTCCTTCAAATTGCTCCCTCAGCTCCTTGAATTTCATTTCTTTATCTGAGAGTCTCATCAGTGACTCAATATGTCCCATATGAATCCCAACAGGCATAATCTTTATAGTTACAGTCCTACCGTAGTACTCCAAACCTATATAACCCCTTTTTGACTGATACTCTACACCTAGCATCCGGCTGCAACAAGAGAGGAAATGTCGTGCATAATCAAAATTGTGGAAGCCGATGAGGTCCGAACAGAGCAGAGCCTTTAGTATCTCTTCTCTAACAGGAAGTGCCCTGTAAATCTCAGAAGAAGGAAATGTGCTGTGAAAGAAAAATCCCATTCTTAGTCGGTTGAACCGCCTCCTCAAGAATGTGGGCAACACCATCAAATGGTAATCATGGATCCAAACAAAATCATAATCAGGATTAAGAACCTCAACTACTTTTTGTGAAAACGTCTTATTGACAGAAACATAAGCTTCCCACAGACAACGATCAAAGCGGCTTCCATGCTCAGGTGAAAATGGCAACATGTAGTGAAAAAGTGGCCATAAATGTTTCTTGCAGAACCCCTCATAGTACTTCTCCAGAATCTTAGGTGAAAGGAAAGTAGGGATGCACTTGAACTTTTCCAGAAGATAGTGAGCAACATCATCCTGATCAATTGGCTCAACATCAACACATAAACACCCAACATATTGCACCACCATATCTTCCGGTAACCCATCCTTAAGCCGCAACAGTACCGAGTCCTCATTCCAACTAAAGATCCATCCTCTATCATCAGGACTTCTTGTTGCTTTCAAGGGCAATATATTAGCCACAATAATCATCCTATCACTACCCAGTGAAGATTGATTACCAGACCTGGCACTCTGAGGCTCTTGATCATCAAAATTAAACACATCATTCGGAACCGACATTGCCCCCAATCGTCTACCTTCCCGATGCCCCTCCCCCTCCCCCTCCCCCTTCATTACAGGGAAATTCCCTGTAGCCAAGTCTAAAAGGTTCGTGTACGATCTTATCATCATCTATACTACTCCAATATCTTCTCCAGTATTACTATTCTCTCTGCAAAAAGAGCGACACTCAATCATCTATATCAAACCAAACCTGATCAGATTTAGCACATAAAATAAACAAAATACATTTCAAACTCCCTGAGTTCAGTTTAAAAACATACGAGCCGAGATACGCAATGAAGCAAAAACCATTTATTGTAACCGGACAAGCTTTTTATCCGATTCACGTCGAGAAAACATGAGAATAAATTGTAAAAAAAAAAACACATCAAAATTCAGAGAATTCCAAATCGCAAAACACGGTTAGAAATCAGGAATTACCGCTGATATTCAATTGAATTAGCAGAAATATGCAGGCTTTTTGGCTGCAGTACTCTATATTCGATGCTGCATTGTGAATTAGGGATGCATTATGGGGTTTCCACTGAGATTCGCTTGGGATCAGTCGATCACTCGCGGGTGAATACCATAAGGCGCATCAAAAATGCATGTACGTAGAACAAATGAAACTCACCGAAAATCCTGAAATTATGTTTCCGTCCCTAGCAAGTCGGTCAAATAATGCAATTAAGAAAATGTTACCTTTATTTTTTTAACCTTAATTATAAGTTATAGATTTTTCTCTCATGAATTATTTATGTATTCACATTAACTTATTAACTATTTTAAAAGTTATATATATATATATATATATATATATATATATATATATATATATATATATATATATATTTTTTTTTTTTTCTTTTTATGTTAAATGGGTTGACCCTTAAAAATAAGGGTAAAATAAGTATTTCAAATTATTTTAAGAAAAAAAAAAGAAGCAATATTTACAAATATTAAAATTATAATTTTAACATAATACTAATAACAAAATTAAGAAGTAAATACAAAATTAACAATATTGAATTGTTTGTGTTTAAGTTTTAATTTTATTGTTAGCATTAACTTAAAATTATAATTATAATATTTGCAAATGATTTTTGTTCGTTTTCACATTTATTATGGTTCTCATATATAAATAATAATTTGTTTGATAATAAAAATAAATGAAATACTTATTTTACCCTTATTTTTAGAAATTTTAGCTGTTAAACACCCATTTAACAAGATAAGAAAAAATCGTCACTTCTAAGGAAAAAAAGTGTTATAAGCATATAATTCATGGAAAAATTGTTATTTAAAAAAAAAACACACTTTTTTAGTACTTGATTATTATTTTTATTATATTTAAATGCTTGAAGATCGCATAGGAGTCCTCAGAACTTGTACCATTCCTCATAGGTGCTTTAGAGCATTTCTATTAGTGATTTTTTTCCATAGTTTTTTCATACCAAAAACCATGCATGTAATTTTTCAACAAATGGGAGTGTTAGTTTTTCCGTGATTTTTTCTTTTGCTAGTGTAGCTTTTTGCGAGACCCAATTACTGGGCTTAAAATGCTAAACAAAGACTGCATGTGCACGTCTAGCGCACCTACTGTGCCTAGCTCGGCGCGTGAAAAGCAGCTTAACTCTTTTTTTTTCCTCCATATTTTCTCTTTCCTTGTCATGCTTGCAAAAATCCACAAAAACATCAACATCATTAGTACGAGACTTTTGATAGTTTTTGCATGTCCATATAGGAGAGAGAAACAAGGGGAAAAAAAAACAGGGGTTACGCGCCTAGTAGGCACATGTAGTGCACGCGCCATATTGGGCGCATATGGTGCGCAACATGTGCACCAGAATAAAGATTTGTTTAATTTTATTTTGTTGGTGGACCCATAAAAAATCAACTCTTGTAGGGAGAATTGATTTTTCTCTCTCATACACTGTTGCAAAAAATCGCGCCTAATCGGCGCCTAGGCGGTCCCCAGACGCCTAGCGAGTTTTTCAACATTGCCCTCATATATTATCTCTCATCCACCTCATGCTTGACCCCAAAAAAAAAATCATCTAAAAACACAAATGGTGGTGCTCTAACTAATGAGTTTGCTCTAAGAGCATCCTTATCAGTGGAATATTAGAGGGGAGAATGTAAGAGTGATTAGGAAAGAGAATGTGAGAGGCGGAGGAAAAAAAAAAGTAAAAATTGATTTTAAAATTATATATATATATATAACAATTAAAGTCAGTCATGATTGGTTGCTTATCTTACTGGGTCCCACAATGCTCCCATTCTCCTAAGAGCATCCACATTTGTGGATTATTGAGAGTTATTTCAGAATTAATTCTCCCCACCCAAGATAATAGCTAATGTGGGGAAGAGTTATTTGAGAAATAATTCTCCTGCAAGTGAAGAGAGATTTCAGAAATGGTGGGACCCACCACAAAAAGTCAAATAATGTACCACTGGTGATAGCCACGCGTGGCTGTCACCATAGCGCATAGCGGGCGCGTGCAGTGCACACGTCCGCTAGGCGCGAGGCGCGCCTGACAGTCATAGTTTTTTTTTTTTTTTTTTAAATTTAATTTTCCTTTTTTTTTCTTTTTTTCCCCTCCCCTCCCATCTTCTCTTTCCTAATCACTCTTACATTATCCCTCAATTCTCCCCAACTAATGTGGATGCTCTAACTCTTATTTATGCTTCCCAAATTTCTCTCTCCACTCCCTCTCTCATCCATGTCAACATTAAATATATTAAAAGTAATGCATTCTCCCCACTTGCTCCCCTAGTGTGGATGCTCTAAGGGCATCCTTAATATATAAGTTTTTAGCACAAGTTTTTAGGTGTCAAATAAGAGAGAGGAGAGAGAAAAATGTGTGAAAAAAAAAAGAAAAGAAAAAAATAAAAACAAAGATGAAAAAACTCGACCCACAAATTTCATTGTCTCTCTTGGTGGGACCCACATTTATGACAAAATCCCCCTTCTTGCAAGAGGCACTCACCCCTCTCTCACCCCTCTCGCGCCTGACAGTCATAGTTTTTTTTTTTTTTTTTAAATTTAATTTTCCTTTTTTTTCTTTTTTTCCCCTCCCCTCTCATATTCTCTTTCCTAATCACTCTTACATTATCCCACAATTCTCCCCAACTAATGTGGATGCTCTAAGAGCATCCACACTAGGGGAGCAAGTGGGCAGAATGCATTACTTTTAATATATTTAATGTTGACATGGATGAGAGAGGGAGTGGAGAGAGAAATTTGGGAAGCATAAATAAGAGTTAGAGCATCTACACTAGTAGTTACTTAGGAGTTATTTCTACATGAATTCTCTCCACTCAAAGTTAATAGCTGATGTGAGGAGGAGTTATTTCAAAAATATTTCTTATGCAAAGTATGGTATATTTGTGGTCCCAATAAGTAAGAGAAATAATTAAAATATAGTGAGTTAAATGGTGGGTGCATAAAAAACTGAGAAATAACTCAAAATTGATGTGGAGAAGGGTTTTTTGTAATTGAATGAGATGATAGAGGATGAGGTGGATGCTGGGACCCACAAATAACTGAGAAATAACCTCAACTGATAAGGATGCTCTTAAGGGCATCCTTAATATATAAGTTTTTAGCACAAGTTTTTAGGTGTCAAATAAGAGAGAGGAGAGAAAAATGTGTGAAAAAAAAAAAAGAAAAGAAAAAAATAAAAACAAAGATGAAAAAACTCGACCCACAAATTTCATTCTCTCTCTTGGTGGGACCCACATTTATGACAAAATCCCCCTTCTTGCAGGAGACACTCACCCCTCTCTCTCCTCTCTTCTCTCTCCTCCACATATCTATTTTTTTCTTAATTCTTGTACAAAATCACCTTGTTGAGGATGCTCTAATAATGCTTGTTTCCCCAGCCCCTCCCCCCCCCCCCCCCCCCCCCTCTCATTCAAAAAAATAAAATAAAATATACTACTATATATTAATTGTGTGATTTACATGTTGTTCAAATTTAAATAATTATACTATTTGCCAAGAATCTTGTAGTTCAATGGCACCAAATTACTCACTTATAAGAGAGGTTGTGTGATTGAGGCATACTATTTCAAATAACTAACTATTCCAAATAACTAATATAACTATCACGTTGGGGATTCCACCTAAAGTTTGTTGAAAAATTCAAAATTAGCAAAAATTGTATAAAATTTATTCTACTGGTACTTTTAAATTAAAATATACTCTGTAATATTTTTATTGATAAAAAACATTCCATTTTAACTAAAAATTTATCACATGTTTCACATGAGACACATGAAAAAAGTGCCCACCATGGCACCATTAACGTAATATATAACTAAATTCCTCCAATGGCTGATTATATATTTAGCCTTTAATTTAGTCACCTCGCTTTCTTCATTGCCCACAAAAATGGCAGCCGAACATAGCGAAAGAGTTATCAACCTCTTCGATTCTTTGTGGTTTGAACATGAAATCCTCACCTCCTTAAAATCATCAAACTCCCAAACCCAACAAGTCGTTGAAGAGCCTGCGGCGGCTAATAATCTTTGCAGAACTCCGACGTTCATGGTGAGATCGTTGAGCGAGCAGCGTTTGAGCAGCAAAGAGAGCTTAGAATCAGAGACCCACTCTCCCAAATCTGTTCTTTCTGGGTCGCCCAAAGAATACCTAGGATTCCCCGAATCAAACGTAGGAAACGAGGCCATTTCATCGGGTTTTAGCCGGAGCATGAGGAGGAGGAAGAGCAGAAGCAGTAGCCGGAGTTTATCGGAGCTGGAATTTGAGGAGGTGAAGGGGTTTATGGATCTGGGGTTTGTGTTCTCGGATGATCAGGATAAAGATCCAACCCTGGTTTCGATTATTCCTGGATTGCAGAGACGGGGAATTAGAGAAGGTGGTGATAAGGATGCGATGGTGTCGAGGCCTTACCTTTCTGAAGCTTGGAGTGTTATGGAAGAGCAGAGGAAGCCATTGATGAAGACTTGGAGATTCCCAGCAGCATCTGGATGTACTGAAATGGAAATCAAAGATCAGCTCAGGTGTTGGGCACACACGGTTGCTTCCACGGTCGTTATATAACCACCAACAAATGGTTGGTTTGGTAGTTGTATATGTGAATTAGGTTATGGTTGTGTTTAAGAGAGTGATGAAATTGAAGCAATTACAACGGTAATAACGAGACCTTACTCTTCCGAGGCGTTTGGTTCAAGGTATCTCAGATTACCTAGGTAACCTTGATAATCTGAGAAAGGTAATATTAGATTACCATGTTTGGTTTAGGTAATTTGAGAGGATAAGTAATGCAAGATTACTACCACGTACGAAATGTGATTATCAATTTTTGGTTAGGAAATGTGAGATTACTTTTCAATATTTCAAAATTATCTTCATTTATTTCTCTTCTATTCATTACATGGATCTCATAATTCAATAATAATAATAATAATAATAATAATAATTATTATTATTATTATTATTATTATTATTATTAGTAGTAGAAGCATATTGTTAAATTTTGAATTATGAAAAAAAAAACTTGCAATTTACAACTTTCAATTTTTATGAGGGCATTTAAGTAATTGATGTAATATAACCTAAAATATAACCTTCAACCAAACAAGTTAATGTTACATTCCTACAACTTTAACCAAACACGTCAGGTAATCTTACAATTTCAAAATCTCACATTACTTATCCCAGGTAATCCTATTACCTGGGATAATCAAAGTTTCCGTGAACCAAACGCCCAATAAAAACTCTACAATGATGATTAAATGTTGTGGTTGTTAAATTATATGTTTAACTAATTTGATTGGAATTCTTTTCAATATATTTTATTTTCTAAGTGATATAAATGAGTGTACAACTTGTGACGAAAAGGTAGAATCGTTCACCCAGACGTTATCATATTCTGGTTTGACAATTTGTGTAGGGATAAATTATAATGACTTAATTGATTAATAGAGACTAAATTCTTAAATTATGGCCACTTAAAGTCATACTTTTACTCACTGCGCATAAAGAGTCATCTCATTTTGACAAGTTACATTATCACGGATGAAATTTAATCATTAGTTTCTTGTGATAAATTTCACATCTGTGATTATAGATGCGGATAATTAGAGTTTAAATAGTTAACAATTATTCATAAGGAGGTTGTTGGCTACCTATCTCCTCTAAAAAGTTTGAATGTGATCATCTTTGTTAACATGACTAAATTGTTTGAACCCATTTGATGTAATTCATGTTTTGTAATTTTACTCTTTTTGCTTTTATATACATATTTTTTAAGCCCCAAACATTTTTACAAACAAAGCTACTACTCAATTAATAGGTAAATACCTTGCTAGGTAACTCAAATGATTGACCAATCAATGTTTAATCTTATTTTTAGCGATTTGAGTGTCGGAGGTCCCAACACCACTAGAAACCTAAGGAGTTATTAGGGGACTTTAACTAATCAGAAATGTATACAAGACAAAATCTAAAATTATTTGAGCAACTCAAAATTTACCTCCTTCATAAATTTTGAATGGATTCATAAAATCCAAAATATAGTTTGGCGAATCGAGAAAACATTAGTTATCAAAAAAACAAAAAAAGTAGACTCAATTTCATTTACATGGACTGAATTTAGAAGAATTTATAAGTTTTGGGTTAAAATTAGAAATACCAAAACGTTCTGGCACATAACTTTTCCGGCTAAAACCCATTTCTGCGGGCATACCACTCATCAGTCATCACCGCCTAAAACCTCCCAAAAACCGCTCATTTTCCGATCCAGAAACGCCAGCGGACCGTTGGATCGATGTGGAACAAGCGAGGACCAGCTGATGATTCCGCCGGCGACGGCGACGATAGGGAGAAAGCTATCGCTAAAACAGCTGGATTCGTGGTCTTCTCAGGAATCGCGATGAGCATTATCAAAGCCCTCAACCCTTTCAACAATAATCCCAGCCTAAAAAACGCCGACACTGAGTCGACTCAACCTCAAGTTCTTAAGCAATGGCAGCCTCAGGAGCTTCCGCCGCCTCCACCTCCACCTCAGCCTCCTTCTGAACCCATTGTAACGGTTCGTAATTCCTCACAAATCGATCTTCAATTTCTAACATTTATTTATTTGTAAATTGTTGTTTATTCTTACTGGTTTTTGTAGAAATCAACTTGTTGTTCGGAGCAAAACGCGGTGGAACCATCACCGAAGGTAATCGAGATTGTAAGAGGAGATACACTTTGGGGGCTGTCGAGAGAGTATGGGGTATGAGTACCATTCATTTTTCTTTTCTTTCAATTATTTTGTTCAAACTATGCATTTCTCAGCTGGGCAGTAACACTCATATTATAGTGATTTTGTTTGACTGCCATTTGGTTGTGACTAGGTTTCAATTGAGGCTATTAAGGAGGCTAATGATCTTAAAGGGGACACAATTTATGCAGGCAAGAAGCTTGTAATACCATAAATCCATAATGTGGTTACCCTTTGTCTGTTGTTGTTAAGTTTTATCAGTTAGAGACTTAAAGGTTAGGGAATTCAGAAATTTGTTTGCTTGATGACATTGTAGAATTAAACAACTATGATGATTCTGGAAAATGGTGGTTGTTTATTTGGCAATGCTTGGTGTCCATACTATGCAATATTTATGCTACCTTATCACATCTGATATTCCTGTGAATCTGTTACTCGTTTTGGTAATGTGTCTTTACTTGGATTGTATTTCTGAGGCCAATCTTGTATCTGTTGGGATCCGAGTAGGCGAGTACTATTATGTTGCATAGGCCCTTCTAATAACAAAGGTTTATATGTGATACTGTTTCTTGTTTATGGAGTTTTAGCCTTCATGTCAAAGTTTGACAGCAATATCGCCCATTTGCCCCCTACATACTAGAAGTTAAGCGGCCATTAGATAACTCTATTGTTTCCAGATTTTATGAATTATTTTTTGTATTGCTTTCTTTGTTTTGTTTTTGTTTTTAAAGAAATTTAAGAAGCAAAAGCAAAAGTATTTTTATTGCAAAAAAATGTTGCTTCATTTGTATTGGAAACAGATTTAAACAAATGGGTGAACACTACTTTTATAGATGAAGTTCTACCAAAAACAAATGGAGCATTATTGATTGTAATAAAGTCAAAAGCCGTAGTTCTCTTTCATTCTTTCCAATCACTTGGCTTGTACTTCTTTTTCTTTTCTTGTGTGATATTATCCCTGCCACTTTGGCTGCTTCTCCATATGTCCTGCCTCCTCAGCATCATCACAACTTATCCCTCTTTTTGAAATTGTAATCTAACCTATTTACCCCTCTGGGTGAAGCTTGTTGCTAGACCACAATGAGATAAACCAACTTGGTTTAGGCTAAGGACAACTCCCACGAAGAGTCCATCTTGAAACCTACACTGACCAACTTGACTGAGGGTTGGCCGTGTCCTCTAACCAACCATTTATATATATATATATATATATATATTGCCGTCCACTTGTAAGTTGTGTAAAACAAGATTCTCCATTTATCCCTTGGAGCCTCTATATTGCATATGGATAAGCCATTAGGTGTTTACATGCTGATGTGGATTGCTGCTGTAATGACTAATGAGTAATGCCACCTCCATTTCCTAGCAAATATCTCATGTGTTGAGATAATTGAATTCCACCCAGATAAAACATATTGGTCTAAGATCATTATAGATTTGAAGTGGTCAGAGCTCAATGTGACCAAAGGGGTATGCTGTATGCCTAGAGGTCATGATAATGCCACAGAAAGAGGCAGATAATTGGAATGTAATTCTAAAGAATCAATTCCAATCATCCTATTAATTAATACTGGAACATGAAGATAAAATTGAACTTCAAAGAATAGAATTTGAGTTAGATAGGCACAAGGAAAAGGTAGTGTGGAAAGGATTCCAAAGCACATATTCCCAATACATATAAGAACCATGTAAACGAAATTTTAGGTGAAAAAATGATCAGAATGTCAAAACTTCATGATTCAAATAAAAAGGATGATAGTCCTTAGTCTACAACTGCAAAAACATAAAATTTCTAGGAAACATGTTGGTTCAACACATTCAACCTAGGATTGAAATCATGAAATATTTGAGGCCTTGTTGAGGATAACACCTTCATATTTGACTTGGAACCACTTCATTGCATCATCCTTAGTGACCCTGTGCTGGATTCCAACCCTAGCCTTGCACCTACGGCGGCGAGCAACTCTGTAACCGGGGCGTTCCAAGACAACATAGAAGTCCATACCATAAATACCAGTTGAAGGGTCATACCTGTAAGTGGACAAACAAACAAAAACGTCAAGGCCATTGTATTCCTATTTCTTATGATGCATTGGACATGGTATTCCTATTTATTCTAACCGAACAACTATGATGAAAAGCACTCACAAAACATTCTGGCAAATACCAGATTCAGACTATGTTCCCTCCACGACAAAAAATGCTAGGCAACATGACAGAATCGCACAATATTCTAAAAGAATTCATGTACTTACTTAATCCCAAGATCAATGTGTTCCTGGATACCAAAACCAAAGCACCCAGTGTCACTGAAGTTCCTCCTTAGCAATTCATATTCCTTAACTTTCAACCCACTCTCGAGAAGCTGCATCGCCTTATCTCCCCTGACCGTGACATAGCACGCAATCTTTTCATTACGCCTGATACCAAAGGACCTCACAGTGTACCTTGCTGTCAATGAAGAACGACCACATAAGAAACATCATTCACAACTCACAAGTACAAAATGGGGATTAAAACACGTGCATCTCTTCTCAGTCAAATAGTCAAGTAACTGCAGTACACTAACCTATAAGCAATTTAAGACAAAATACCCTACATTCTAAACGCCAAATATCCCAATTTCCCAACAATTTAAACTACCACCCCAAAAGAATAATTTGTAAGTACTTGATGAAAGATAACATAATACAGTAAAACAAACATAAACCCATATAATCATAGCAATTTCATAATTAGTTCAGTATAACAAAGGACAGGCTTTTCCTCTCAATGCCATACAATTAAGAATAATCTAGCTCCTTTTCTTCTTTTCTTCTTTTTTTTCAATAAAGAGGAACACCCACTGTTAATTCATTCAAAATAACCCAAGTATCACAAATCCAGGCAACAAAATATCCTACTAATCCATGAATAGAAACTAAATCATTGATAGCAATCAAATCCCATACTCTCAGAGAAACTGCAGAAACAATGTTCCAATAAAACAAAGTTAAATCATAAAACAACAATCCTATCATGTTCCAGTAAGATTAAAGCATCTCAATCTTATAAGATCAGAGACAACAGTAACTAAAACCTAAGAGAACGCATACCTTTGGAGAAAACGGGGGTTTGTCCACTCAGTTGCTCCAAAACCTTCAAATACAGTCCAAAAGTTAGAACCAATTAATGGCAATGCAATGAAGAACAGCGGAGTCGTATCGTACCTTAGCGGCTCTGGTGAGACGATCGCCGCTCTCACCGACGGAGATGTTGAGGACCAGCTTCTGGACCTTGATCTCCCTCATTGGGTTGTTCAACTTCTTCTCTGATGCCTGCATTCATACACAAAGTTACATGAGAACGAATGAACTGAGATATACACATTTGAACGTGAAATCGAGAGAGAGAGATGAGACCATGGCTTCCCGGTGAGGTTGCAGATTTGCAGATTTGGGAGACTGGGAGGCAGCAGTGAGAAGCGGAAGAAGAACCCTGATATGTAAAGGACGAAGGTGAGTAGGGTTTTGCTGCTAACTGTAAAATGTCACTTTTACCCCTTTCTCTAATAATATAAATAATATAAATAAATAAATAATTGTTTAAATGTTATTTGCGAGCTATCGAAACGGACCGGTAGGGCTGATCGTCATATGGCAAGCTAAAAAGCCCGCCAAAATGCCAGCCTAAAATAGGCCAGCTTGCCTCGCCCCGCCTTAGGCTCGCGAGCCTGGGTGGGGCCCGCCAAATTTAAGAAATTTTTAATTTAAATAAAAAATTAATAAATGTATATTATAAATAATTTGAATAGTTTAAACATATATTAATGCATTTGTAATTTATTGAACACAATAATAATTAATATAGTACTCCGTACTTCGTAATAAGTCTCAATAAATAATTAAATACATAATATGTGAATGTATAAGACAATAACAAATAATTTATACAATGTACAACTTACTAATACATTTTTAAATATAAATAAATAAATTAACATATATTTATATATATAATTATATAAAATGATGTGTGTGTGTGTGTATATATATATATACACACACATTAATATTAATAATGTATACCTACTAGGCAGACTTTGTGGGCTCCCGTCGCCCCGCCAAAGCCCACCAATATACGGGCCATAAAATTTAAGCCCGCCCTGTCTTTTATACAGGACGGGCTAACTCGGTGGGCTAAGCCCGTTTTGACAGCTCCTATTTCTAATTGATTGTTTTGATCTCTCACCATCCAAAGTTGTAAAAGATATTCTCAAAAATTGTATGAGTGTGGCCATTTTAGTCACTTGATAATGAAATGTGAGATAGCATTTTCTTATTTTAGATCAAGAGGAGGAGGGGGGGGCGGGGGGAGATTCGAACGTCCTGCATTACTGGCTTCTATGACAATGAAATGTGAGATTCGGTAGTGGCTACAGGCTTTCCCGTAAATTAAAGTGGTAGTCCAGTTAACTAAAATTACAACAAAATAAAACACCATTCCTACAAGGTTCTCAGCATCATCTACACTACAAACTTGAGAATATAGCCAGTTGGCTCCAATGTTTCATTGGATAAAAACCAAACAAGATTATAGGGCTCTGCCATTCAAAAACCTTCTGCTACAAAACCCTAATTTCTTTTTCCCCGGCAATGGTGGGACATACCTCGTCCACTTGCACCCGTATGGCGTTACATCTTGGGAGACTGTGAAGCGTGGAAGCTAGAGCAGCCGCCCGCCTTAGAACCCGGTCGGTTCTGTTTCACTAGCGGAACCAATGACTGCACCACGTCGGCCATGAGAGGCCTATAGTCGGCTTCCGGCTGTACGCACATTGCAGCGATAGCAGCAACCTGAATGACCTCTTTCATCGAGTACTGCCCCTCCAGCGCGGGATCCATAATCTCTACAACCTTTTCTCTGTCAGTTAGGCGGGGCAAAGCCTGATGCACAAATACGAACGTCGTTGAGGTGGAAAAAGATGGAGAATTTTTTTTATTTATTTTTTTTGAATGCTACTGACTCTATTACATTGTAGTATCTGTTCAAACATACTTTCTCAACCTATTGAAGCACAAAGAGTCAACAACGCCTCCACTGAGGCTCGATCTAATGGGAGAGGTCACTACATGCCATCTGAGCACAAGGTGCTTGGCAGATTGAGAATTTAATATTGGGTTTCTCAAGAAAATATGAAACATCATAGTAAAAACGAAATGAGTCATGAGTGACCTACCCAGGATACAAGAACACCTTCCCCTGGAGGCCGCTTCATATCAACCGGAACCCTGCCAGTCAATAACTCCAGCAGGACAACTCCGTAGCTATACACATCTGATTTCGTGGTCAGGTGCCCGGTTAACGCATATCTACATAACACAGAAATAATATACACATACAAATACAATATCGTTTTAGTCAAAGACACAATATAATGATGCAAATGAAGATACTTTTACATAAGACTTACTCGGGTGCAACGTATCCTTGGGTGCCCAACACTCGAGTGGAAACATGTCCACCCGCTTTATCAGATCCAAGTTTGGCCAATCCAAAGTCGGAAACTTTGGCGTGGAAATTTTTGTCCAAAAGAATGTTGCTGCTTTTAAAATCTCTATGTATAACAGGCGGATTGACATGTTCATGGAGATATTCCAATCCTTTTGCTGCCTCCAAAGCTATCTTCAACCGGGTCTCCCAGTCCAACTTCAGACATACACTCGTGGAACCTATAGAACCAAAATAAAAGTTCCAAAAAAAACAAAAAAATCTATAGGTTATACAAAAATCTAAAGCAGATATGTTTTGTTTCTAACCCCGCCTTGTGACCCTAACCGGCAAGGCAAACTTGACTAGGTTGCTTATAACTGATCAGCTCAAACCAAGAAGGCCAATAGGCCACTGCCACTGGGAGTCGAGGCAAAAAAGTGCCAACAACGACAGAGTGCAACGAAGGGCGGCAAACACACTCGGGTGGGAGTTTGAAAACATGCAAGCCCGTGGAACGACCATCATTACATGAGGGGTTTCATTACAGTGAATCATAAAGAAGTTATAGTATTACCACTGATTGGATACAACTGTTCCTGTAAGCCACCGTTCGCCATGAACTCGTAAACAAGCAACTTATGGTGGCTGTCTGAGCAGTAGCCAATCAGTGACAGCAAATAGGGTGAACGCAACCGGCTCAGCAACTCCACCTGATAATCAATTGCACCACGTAATCACCGGAAAAGGGTCTTTACAAAAAAATAAAAATAAAAAGGAACACAAAAGTAAACAGATACTACAGCTAACACTAAAAAAATTTCATCGATATCTTACCTCCATTTCAAATTCCTCCTCCCCCTGCTTTCCAGCCTGATCCATCAGCTTAACCGCAACCTTCTTCCCATCTTGGAGCACTCCCCTGTACACCGACCCAAAAGCGCCATGTCCAATCACGTTCGACTTCCCAAAACCGCCAGTTGCTGAATGCAGCTGCTTGAAGGTGAAAATCTGAGGCCCCTTTTCAGCAGTAACTTTAAGACTCGAAATCCCGCTTCCTTTATCTTCACAATCACCCTCCTTAACTAAACATGAAGAAGAAGAAGAGAAATGTGGAAAAGATAGCAACTTATGAAACAAATAATCTTTTTGCCTCCAAGCCAAATAAACTTCAATTAACAGATGTATCATAGGGCATGACTCCAGGACCTTAAATAAACAGACTATACAAATCCTGATAATTTAGCAAAAGGAAAGTTTCAGCCTTCTAAAGAAATTTTACCTTGACTATTACCCTTATTTTATCATCTCATTAGAAGCTTGGGGTCAGGGTTTTGTTCCTTTTCAACAAATCAACAATTACTACCCTTTTGTATCCAAGAATTGCAGGTAATTCCAAATAAATATACACACCAGCCACCACCCATTTTATTATAGTTATTGCTCAGTGACAATGACCCTAGATCTTCATAAAAATCCAAACTTTATAAATTCTAGCTCCAACATAATAAACCCCAAACAGGACAAAAAACCACTCATTAAACCATCAAGATCCAAAGTTTCATATTTCCCCTACATCTCAGCAAACATTCAAAAAACAAAACAAAAAAGAGAGTAAAATATATAGCAAAAATAGAACCCATAGTCAGATTCTTGAAGAAGGCTTACTTTTCCGGTTGTTGAGGCGCTGGGCAGAGACTTTGCTGCGGAGGTAGCAGTAGTAGCTGAAGGCCAGAAGCAAAGAGGCAATGGCAAGGGAAGCAAAAACTAAGATTGTGACTAGAGCCACCCTCTCTCTGTTCTTGTAATCATCACTCTGGGCTTCTTCCATTGCTGATCCCAAAGAGCTCTGAAAGGTGAGACCTTTGGAGTGGTTTCAGGCCCAAGAAGCTGGTAGTGGTGGGAGGGGAAACGCAAGAGCCATTTTTAGTGGAGAGAGAGAGAGAGAGAGAGAGAGAGAAAGGGAAAGAGGGGGTGGGGTGTCTGAGCTATAGTTGACAAAAAGGTTCAGTGAGAGTACCACAGGGTTTGGGTTGTCTCTCACGTACTCTCTCCCCCCTCCTCACTCACTCCCTTTCAGGTTTGTGTTTGTCTCGTTTTGAGCGCGGGAGAATGGATTTACACTTTCTCTCGTTTTGACCCCTTCAACTCTTTTTCACTTTCTGTCTCCGACTTCCAATAAGAATGAATGTTTTTCTTGTTCCCCCACGTTTTTTCATCTGTTTCTTTCCAGATCCAACATATATTCATATCTCTTTCAAAATTCAAACAAAGTTAGCTAGTTTGATACAAGATTCATTGTTACTAATAGTTTTTTTTTTTTAACAAACAAAACTAACAATTATATTCGTAATATTAACCATCCAATAAAATTTTTCATAATAGTTAGAGAAAGGTGTCGAAATAGGTCTTTAAAACACACACAATTTTTCATCCTGTTATATTAAAGTTTATTTTCCTTAATATTTTTTCACTTTTTCCATCATTTTTTTAAAAATTGTGTTTAATAGTTCTTTTAATGTAATTTTTAAATATATAATTTGTATATACTCCGTAAATAAATTGTAAAGAATTTAAATTAAGTCACACTAACTGTACGGCTGAATCGACACAAAATGGATGAAGAAAATATATAATTAATTTAGGTAGCTATATAATCTTAACTTATGCAAGAGAGGTAAACCGTCCTAAAAAGATCCTATGCGACGAAATTCTAATATGAGAATCATGCTTCATTAACTTGATCACCCTTTTAGGAATTTTTGTATGAATTTTGATGATGAATTGGATTAATAAGCAATTCATCATCAAACATGCCATGCTTGATTTGGATTGTTTTACACTTTTACTACTTACTCCATTCGGGAATGTAAATATACTGGAAATTTGAGGACTTGATTGAAAAATCCAAAATCAATCAGTAGAGGGCCCAGCACAGGGAGGCATTACACGAAATGCCATGCTAATTTTGACACATGATTACACAAACCAACAAAAATAATTGAACAAAATAAAGAACATGTTAATACGGAAATATTCTTCTCCCAAAAGGTTGAATCGCACCCAGCTCAACAGAGCATTTGGAATGATGTAAATCACAGTGATTCAATGATTCAACAGACATGACCAAATGCTGGTGCGCACAAAGGATCTGCCCACTTTAGGTATAATCCCCACACTGTTACTGCCAAAATTCGAACCTTGATCTCTTCTCCCAAATACCCAAATACTGCTTACTGAACCAGTGAGTTAAACCCGTACGGACAATACAGGAATGTCCTCAGCCATTGGATGAATGCAAAGACAATTCCAGTTTTGGGATCTAAGAATTCCCACCATAGTTTGTTTGAGTAATACTATACATACTTCTAGCTGTTCATTCAAGTAATACTACATACAATTCCACAACAAATTACATTAGAGTATCTCAGACATTTTGAGTGTGTTTACTAGTTATAGAAATTCTTCGTTCCTATGGAGAAATAAAATCAGAAAATAAATTTACTTGTACATTCCTCTAATTTCAATCCTATGGAGAAACAAAATCAGAAAATAAATTTACTTGTACATTCCTCTAATTTCAAAACAGAGTGGAGAATTGAAATAAACACAACCTTTTCGTTTAATAATTACTTTGGACTGTAAAAATTTTCACTGGTATTGATTCTATTAAAAACTACTAGTACATGGGCTCCACCCTGCCAAATCCCTAAAAGAGTTGCAGGGTGAGATACTGGGCAACTTTGCAGTTCCAAGTGCCTGTGTGTTAAGGATACTGAAAAGTCTAAGCTGTCACAAAATTGTCTATGAAGAATGCTGCATACCTACATTGAGAAGGTCGCGTTCTGCAGAACACTTGTGCAGAATTTGCAGACTTCATTCTTTCGAAAAACAGACAGGATTAAATGTAGCCAGACTCGCCCAGGAGTAGTTCAAACATGTCGTTGGGTGTAAGAAGAGTTGTTCCTCCAAGAATCAAATCTATATCAGGTCGGGTGCTTTCGGATAATGCTTCCTGGGCTTCCCGTACCTACAAAATACAATGGGTTAGTGCAGGCTGCTGCACTTTCAAAGAATGGTGAGTGTTCTTTGCCATGTTTGTCTTTTACTCTTTCCTTCTACTTTTTTATATTAATGTCTTTCCGCTTTTATTGTCTTGTTCGTAGACTGGTTTTATTATAGAGCAATGCAATATTGACAAACAAGATGGTACGAGGACTGCAAACCTCAACGCCATTGATGCCCCCGATCACAAAAACCAAGATAATGTTGTGATCTGCAAGACTTGGTTTTGCCTGTCAATAATAAAATGCAGAATTTAATATGCATGGCTTATGAAAAATATAGTCTGATATACAAAGTACAAACTAAACCATACCTGTCCAAGGCCAAATCTGCCAAACCCACTTTTAAAAAGTCGGCCAACAGTAGATGAATGGTACTCTAAGCCAGGTACATCCTGCTTGTCTAGTACCCTGCTTAGCACTTTATAAAGCATTCCTTTGTTTGAGTAAGGATCATCACTGAATTTACTTTCCAAGGCCAGCGACCACTCCCTAAATGACACATTTGGCTTCAATTTACACAGTTTGTGCAGGAATTTGAAAAGGTTATCTACCCTATCGCGCAACTCTAACTTTAGCTGCATGTCGTCATACACTTGCTCTTTGCTTTTATCTTTATCTACATCTTCATCCCCCCAACTGCCCCACTCATCATCAAAATCAATGGTTTCCGCTTGATCGGGAACTTCTTCCTTTTCCTCTTGTTTTCTCTTGTTTAAGTTGGCTTCAAGCTCTTCTGTCAGACCTTGGAGAAACTTTAGTTTAGCAACTGCTGGGTTCTCAACAATTGCATCAACAATAGATTCTTTGATGAAATGTTCTTCTTGCCAAGAGAAAGGACCGCTGGTGCCAGATGTTGGGAAATTCTCACCAGCTAATATATATCCATTGACTGCAAGAAGAAGGGCATCTTGAAGAGTGAGTAGTCCCCTTGTAGTCTCTTGCACACCCACCAAAGCACTTTTATTTATAAGATCACTGATTTGTGCAGCTAGACTTTGGCTTGTATCTCTAGCATTTACAGCCAATATCTTCTCAGCACTATTAAATGCATTCCATCTGGCACTATGCAATTCATCCAGAACATATAAAGCTGCTATTGCTAACTGAATAATTCCTTTGTTTTTCATCAATGATGACTGGCTTTTAGCCAATGCTCTAATCATGGCCTGTATCTCTGATTTTGAAGCATAACCAGGACTTATTTTCATATTTAAAGAAATTTTTTCCCGGCGTAAAGCTTCTTGAAGCCATTTCTTAATTAGTACAGTTCCATCTTTTGTTCTCCTGTCTAGAATGGCCTCCAGATACGGGGTTCCCTGATAATTGTCAGTGGAGACAAAGGACCCAGAAAGAAGGTCACTCTCAACACTTTTAAAAGACTTTCCTTCATTAAGTTTAGCACTGAGGTCCATCGATTCAGTCATTTCAGAAGTTGAGTTCCAACCACTCAAAAAAGCTTCTATGCTTTCCACCAGCCTGGAATTATTTCCTGTTGAACTTTCTTCCTTAATAAAGGTTTCAAGTGGTATCAGAACATTAAGGGGAGCTCGTTGTAAATAAGTAGGGCCAAATTTGAGTTGGTTTGGTGTGCCTAAGGACGCTGTTCGTTCCCTACGAGGGAGAGATGAAAAAAATTGATCCACAAGGGAATCCCCATGACAGCAAGGAGTAAGAAGATCAAGTGTGCGATCAATAAGTAATAACCCTGCTGATCTTTTACGGCGGCCAACGTCATAAAGGCTTGACATGTCTGTTAGAAGCTTACCAACAGTTTTCGAGAAATCACCAAGAGAAAATATCTCAAGTTTCAAATCCATCTGGAAGTTATAGAACAGGAAGTTAGCATTCACATACAGATAGAAGCAAGTAAAATGAAGATAGTAGCAACTATTCGAAGGAAAGGAGTTGTGCTGGCATAAAGGAGATATTATAGCAGGCTTCTGATTTTACCAATTTATAATATCTTGGGGCTTCATATGTACTGTTACTTAAGAAGATGCCAATATCTTTTTCAACCACTGAAGCTATGAGAGCCAAGTTACGTCATGAAAATCAATGATTTCCTTAGAAAGTATGAAACCTGATACATGCTAGGCCATGATTTTTAGGAAATCTTATTTTATTATATTACATAGTTTAGATATTAATAAGTTAATAAATAGTTATTTAGAAACTAATAAATAATTATTTAGAAATTACTAAATACAGAATAGTTATTTAACTTATCACTCTTAGTCTTCGAATTAATTTAGGTAGTTTAATTATTTAGAAGTAAATTGGAAGATTTCAGCAGATTAATTAGCTTATTTAGCCATTCTGAGTTGTATTTTACCCTATAAAGAGGGGAACCAATTTCAATGAAAGGGGGGGCAGAAATTCAATCCCAAAAAGGGTCTAAGGGAGTTTTGGGTCTCAAGCAAACCCAATATTTTCTTCTTTTCCTTTTTCCAACTATTATTCTTTGTTCATTTTTCCTTATGTTTTCTTGCCCGTGACGGGAGAACATAACAAAACCCGAAACCCAAAAGACAAAGAAATCCAATCTCTTGAAAAACTCCATCAGTCAATTCATATGATTACCTTTGTTGCCAGATGGTACAGAAATTGAGATGTAAGAGTTGCCCCAGGAGGAATATCTTCACCATCAGGAGGTATTCCAGTGCTTATTGGAGGCAATCCACGGCTTACAGAATTCTCTTGTTCAGTTGACAAGTATGCTTCTGCAATGGATCCTTCTGAAGGTAAGACAAAGAATCTAGGTGATAAGGGACACAAGACCAAAGGGAAGTGGTGCACAGAAACAACCAACTTGCTCCCTAGAGCTGCTGCTTTGCCCATAACAGTGTCCTTTTCTGAACCCTTTAAACTTGAAGTGGGATCAAATTCAGACATATGCTCTGCACTGATAGCAAGTGGTGACCACCCTTCTTCATCTTCAGGGGCCACACTTTCCTTTGATAGGTTTTCTCCAGAAGGTTCACATTTTATCTGAGATCTTCTAAGGAGCTCCTCGTAATCTTGGACGAGTAGAGATTCATATTCAGGGAAAGCATCTGGACCTAAAGGTGAATCAGGATATGCTGAGTGAGCCATCTGCAAAATAAAATATTTGAATACAGGGTCAGAAATGGAATAACTAGTCAATAAAAACAAGTGGAATCAGGAATGTCATGAGTCATGACTATAACAAAAAATGCTCAGTTCTCAGCAGAACTGCAGAAGTGCCCTTGACTTTTACCAATAGATATAAAATCACCTCCTGGTTAACTAGTAGCGGAATGCTATTATCTTAAGCTTCTTCCATAAAATCAAGAAACTCAAGGAGATGCTGAAGCATAATAAAGACATTTTGATGATAAGAATTTTAAAATGTATTCTAACTCTAATATCCTTGTTCAACAAATATGGAACTCATTAGTAATTAAGTGACCTAGAAGAAATAAATAAATAAATATATATATATATATATATATATATATATATATATATATATATAGGGAGGGAGAGAGAGAGAAGCAATTTGTTATTGTGGAGATTACACACACCTGGATATATAGACCTTTAAGAATCCATATTATTTTGATTTATAAAACCAAGTTTGTAATATTTTGATCCTTAAAATTTTGAATCAAACTAACTCTGGATCACTATTCACTGGACTCCTTTTAGAATTTATCTACTAGAAGATAGTAGAGAATGGAAATCAGAATGTGTTGCTTCTTAATTTGGTATTTACACCATAATGTTTAGAAAATAATACTACTCCACATTACATATTAATGTCAGCTCCTTCTGAGGCATATAGTTCAGAGCAGAGAAATGACATTTTGAACTCTATAACAGGAAGTGAAATAACATTCATTAGTTCAGAGAAAAGAAAGCACCTCCGATATGGATGTAAATATGGCACAGCGATGTACATTTTGAAGAGTGCTAAGACAACGTAAAATATATCTATGAGCATCACTTAGAAGACGTGATGTGATAATGACTATTTTCTTGTTAGTGCCAGAACTTGAACTCCAATCAGCCACCTTGAAAGAAAGCACAGGCAATCAGAAAAGTTAGAAGTGCTAGCTTGTGCTACGTATTCAAAACTGAAAAACTTTAAAATGCAACATACTCTTACATTTTATGCATGTTACAAAAGCAATTTATATTTTCACAGTCATGCATCTCTATCTCAGTTCACATTTATATTTTGTAATTGAGAAAAAAAAAAAAAAAAAAAAAAAAAACATTAAAAGAAAAGGATGATAACCCAGTTTACTCACAATTAAAAATAATAATAATAATGATCAGAAAAGAATGAGCACAAACACACACAAACCAGTATCTAGCTCGTTACAAAAGAATGATCAGAAAAGAGACCGAATCATATACAGAAGTTGTTCCTGGATAGTAACATGACTTTCTCATATCACTAATAAATGATTTGTTTCACCACAAAAATGGCTCAACTGTCTGGTTAACCAAACCATATTTTGTTGCATTACTGTTCATACAAAACAGATAAGATCCTTGAAGATAAAAATCATGGTCAGATAAGCATATCTAATAACACATACTTTATCAAGAGGAGACACCTTCTCCAAACTGCAGATGGCATACGCTCCAAGCTCAAATAACAAAGAAAATGCTCCCAGAAACTCAAAGCACTCTGTAGATCCAGCATCCAGGTACACTATGGCATCTTTAATGTCATCTGATATCTGAACCAATGAAGCAAAAATTCGTTTAAAAACAAAAAGAAAAAAGAGGCAACTCATAGAAACAACCAAATGTTGCTTCAGAACCATACTGGCATGAAGCAAGTTGTAGTCTTTACATCGCTATAGAGAACACTGCACGATTTGAGAAGCCATATAAAATAAATAAGTTCAATTAAATTCTGAATTTAGTCTCAGGTAACAAGTTCCTAGACACCTAGTTCAAATGGAAGCTTCTCAGTTCTCAAATGCACAATTCAAACAATAAAACACTAAATTACATATGCAGAATGAATTCCTACATAGAATTATATAAATAAAATTAAAATTAAAATTAAAATTAAAATTAAAATTAAAATCGAGATTAAAAGAGAGTTATCGAAATGAAGCTTACATGTCTGATAGAGTCGAGGCAACACTTGATCACATCAACCATGACCGGAGTTGACAGAATGAAGAAACTCCGAATAAGATCGGTAGTTTACAAGGAACTCCGGGATCTTCGTCGCCGGAGAAAATGAAATTAACCGTAACGGTGTACCGGATTTTGTTAATACGGATTCCAACAGCTCACATGCTGATGCGCCAGAGTTGTCTTTTGGGAGAGCAATCTTTGCTCCTAAAAAATTAGGACGAGCCCAACTATAGCTTAGTGGGCTTATTTGCATGTCCATTTATTACAAAAAATACTATAATTATCAGCCCATTGGGCCATGCCTGCATCCTCACACTGGGCTTGAAGACCCAACAACTCATTCCACAAATTGCGCTCCGATACCCAGCAAGATGACTATCAATAGTTATGCTGTGCAACCGAATGTACCATGCGCATGGTGCATACGGTTCAAAACGACGTCGTTTTGATTAAAAACGCGCGTCCCACTTTAAAAAAAAAATCAGGTTCGACTCTCAGCAATAGCATTATTGTGGATATATAGTTATGAAATTGTGGTTATATAGTTATGAATTTATGGATATTTAGTTCATTCATTGTGGATATTTAGTTCAATCATATATTGTGGATATTTAGTTCATTCATTGTGGATTTTTACTTCATTCATTCATTCATTGTGGATTTTTGCTTCATTCATTCATTCATTGTGGATTTTTACTTCATTCATTCACTGTGGATATATAGTTATGAAATTGTGGTTATATAGTTCTGAATTTCTGGATATATAAAAATGCTATTGCCAGGAATCGAACCTGATTTCTTCTTTAAGTGGGACGCGCGTTTTTTTAACCAAAACGGCGCCGTTTTGCAACCGTATGCACCTTGCAAGGTGCATTCGGTTGCACGGCATAATTTGCGGATGACTATATTCCCGGACAAATTATACTACGTAAGTAGTATTTTTTTGGGAAAGAAAATGGTCAAATAGGCCCCTAATCATAGATGGCGATCGGCAACGACTCCACCGGTCGCTGAATTTTTGCCTTAAGTCATCGGAGTGATGCTTGAACTGAAATGACCTACAATAATAAGTCATTTATCGGTTCTTGGGCTTCATTGCCTCAATTTGACATGTCTGAGGATTTAATTGTGATTTTTAAAAGTTTAGGTGCTTAATTGACTATTGGTGTAAAGTGTAGGAGCCTATTTGATTCTTTTTCATTTTTTTTTATCAAGAGATGAGGGCGACACCTGAAAAACAAAGAAAGGTTAGCTACGATTAATTCCTTCTCCCCTATTAATGGAAATACGGCTGGGAATTTGGCTCATAACTGGTCATCCCATACAATGTCCCAAATTTCAACCGGAGCTTCATCATAGACTTTAAGACCGAGTTGGTGTGAGTGGGTCTTCGTAGCTAAGGTGTCAGCAACTTTGTTCTGTTCCATGCACACGTGACAAAATTCGACGTCCATGAAGCCACCAACTGCTTAAAGACACTTGCGAATGATATTGTTCTGCTACTCCCTTCTGTTAATATCCCCTCTTAAGCACTCAGCCGTCATCTTGGAGTCGCATTCAATAACTAGTCTTTCCATCCCAAAATCCTTGGTCAGTTGCATTCCTTGAAACTATTGAGGGGCTACACCATGATTTATAGTTGGAAATTTTTCAGAATATTTGTATTATCTAACTAAAAAACTTGACGTACTATTTGAAGAGTGTTAATTGTTTGTTTTCTTTCTTTTTCTTTCTTAATGTTAAACGGAGAAGATATTTTGGTCATATCAAGTGATTCAAAATATGTAAAAAAAATTTTGAATGTGTCTCCCTTTGAGACATGTTGGGTTCAAACCAACTAACCAAGATACCAAAGTCTTGTCTTATATATTTAGTGTTAGAATACCTAAAAAAAAAAGTATTTATTAAACATATTATTGTGAAAATGTGAAATATATGATTTCATTTGATTTATGTTGCAGGCGTGACGGTTCAAACTTTAATCCCCACACAAGAAATAGACCATAAAGCTCCGACCCGTGACGGAGACCCGACAACCTCCAAAAAACTGCAGAGAAAAACAATCTTTACGCTAACGCAATCAGTCTTCGTCCCCCTTTCCTCGCGCGATCTCTCTCTCTATTCGATGACGTGTACTAGGTACGACTCTCTAAAACCTTAACTTTCCTCACTAAGGTTGCAGTCGCCTCCCGGCTACCCAGCAGTGTTTAATGTTTTGTAGACGTATATCCGTAGCTATATATGTATGTATAATTCTGGTGTGTTTGTTGCCATAGCTCCCAGTCGAATTTATTTATTTCGTAAGTTGCATTTTCATGTCCTCTGCTCATTTCCAGCTCCCGATCAAAAAATCAGGGATTTTCCGTGTTCACATGATTCTGTGCAATTTGTTAGGAGTTTTTATTGGGATTTGAACCTGGAATGCTGTATAGATTGTAGAAGGATAATGTAATGGTTTGTGAAAAAAAATTGAGCTGTTTGGAGGTGGAAACAGGAAACTGTAATATAACATTTAGAAAATTCCAGGTTTGGATTCTGATCCCTGAATTCCATGTTGTTTGAAATGCTGACTTCAAAAGTTTTGTTTGTTCAGAATGTGGTGCTGAAGATAGAATGTGAAAGAGGATCAGATAAGCATAGCACGGATGTATAATCATTGTACGATACAAGTTCCAGCGAATTTCCTCCCCCATTGTGTTCTTGAAGGGTCTTCTGTCAAATAGAGGGCCCTTCAGACCAGGATTTTAACGTTATCATCTAGCTTTTATAGCCAGCAAGATAAGTCTCCTTGTGTAGATAGTTGGTGTTAAAGTTCTGTGTTCGACAAAAATGCCTGCTGTTCAAAAGCTTTATAACTCGTGCAAGGCATCTCTCTCAACAAATGGACCCGTTTCTGAAGAAGCTCTTGAAAAAGTGCGTGCTTTATTAGGTAGGAGACGTGATGTTTTCTTAACAAGTTCCATTTAAACACCCAGTCTTTCTCTGGGATATTCACCTTTCATCCACATGCTCATTTGCACATATTTGTTTATTGAGTTTTCAGTTAAGTTTCTAGTTTACACCATATTTTTTGCACCTGCTCAACAATTAAATCAGTCACACAACTCTGTTTCTTATAGTATTTAGTTTTGTCTGCTATGAATGTTCAGAATTTACATGCAGAGCATAAACTAAGTTATTTTTGAATAATGATAAAATTTAACGTGTTACTGAACTTATCAAATGTGTATTACTCTGTATTATTGTAACTATATGGAATTGGAATATTAAATGATCTTTGCCCCTAAACATCCTTTGAATGTTATTTTCTTGTCTTTTTCATTTGGATATTCTGATTGTATTTCATGCTTTGTGAACGCATAGTTATTAGGAAATTTTCCTTATTCCAGAAACTATAATATGACTCTTTTTCGTAGAGTAATTGTTTAAGGTTGATATTTATTCATTTTTGTGTCAAGCTCTATGATTCTTTGCACATGGGTATATATTTCTTACGCAAATGAATAAAATGGATATTACGTTAGCTTCATTAAAAGACTGTATATATATATATATATATATTGAATTTATCACTTTGTAGCTGATTTCCTAAAACATTCCCTCTATCCCAAATTCCCAATGAATACATTCCTAAACAAGGTACTTAGGTTGACTTGCTTTTTTTCTTGTGAAAGGCATAAGTGAGTACTTTATTTAATACGGAGTACTAAATAATAAATGGTCTACAAGAAAATTTATGCAATGTATTAAATAGGCAGGTTTAAATTTTAAATGGTAACTGAAAGTCTGCACCGAAGCTGTTCAAAATAGCTGCGGAATCTTGACATAATAGTTAGGAAGGTTAGGGTTTGGCTTGAAATGTCAACTTTAGCTGCCTAAATTTTACTGTTTCTTTGCCTTTTATTGCAATAAGATATTTGATGCTGTATTACCACGTACTTAGAATAGCTCATGCAATATCACAAGTAACATAGTGTCCTTTGTCATCTATCTCTCTTTTTGATAAGTTTGGCACTATCCTTTTTTGTTTCAGATAAAATCAAGCCTTCGGATGTAGGCCTTGAGCAGGAGGCACAAGTCGTACGAAGTTGGAATGGTAGTTCACAGGAGCGTAATGGGAGCCTTCAGTCACCACCTCCTATCAAATACTTGCATATTCATGAATGTGATAGCTTCTCTGTGAGTTGCATATTTGTTTAACTGGCTTTTTATTTTGTGATTGGATGAAATTTAAGGCTGACAATGAGTTACAATGTTGTATGTTCCAATTATTTTAACTTGAGGAATCTAATAAATCAAGTGATTGAAAGATGCAAGTGTATTGAATAATGTTACAGATTGGAATATTCTGCATGCCACCTTCTTCTATCATTCCTCTTCATAACCATCCTGGGATGACAGTGTTAAGTAAGCTTCTGTATGGTTCTATGTACGTGAAGTCCTATGATTGGATAGATGTACCGGGGTATCCTGACGCATCTCAAGGTGTGTTATTTGAAGTTAATATTTTTTTTTTGAACACGAAATTAATATTTTTTTTCATCTGAAAGTTATCAATTGAACTGTTATTGCTGATATTCAATTTTATCCTCTTTCTAGGCTCAAGTATCTCATGATATGCGACTTAGTTTATAATTTTATTTGGGGATACTGTTGTTGATTTCTCCTTACTAAGTTGTGGCTATGTGGCTATTGCTGTCTTTAGCTTCTGGTTATGTTCCTCATTGTTTCTTTTCTTGAATATCTGGAGTGTTGTTAATTATATCTTGTTCACCTCAGCTCCATTTCACCCAATCATGATTTTCTAGCACAGAACTTTGGGGGAACAGGAAAAAAAAATCTTCAGAAGGGCTTGAGTAGTTTAAGGGTGTGTTTGGAAACCAAGAAAATGTTTTTTGGAAAATGAGTCATTTTCCAGAAAATAATTTCATTTTCAGTGTTTGGTTGCATTATTGAAAACTGTCTTGGTATGTTTGGTTCATTTTCTGGAAAATGAGTAGAATTGTAATTAAACATTTTAATTGTTTTATTTAGAATATAAAAATATTAAAAACAATGTTATTTATTATTATTATTATTATTTAAAAAAAAACCTCTTGTTTCTGGCGGAAACTAGTAAATACTAAATTCTGGTTTCCGCCGGAAACCAAGGTTGTGATTGTTGTCGGAAACGATTGTGGTCGGAAATAATTTTTTGGCCTGTGGAAAATGACTTCCGCTAAATTTTGGCGGAAGTCATTTTCCTCCAAAACATCCATATTTTCCCAAGTCAATGGAAAATGATTTCCGTTGACTTGATTTTCTAGGCACATCCAAACACTGGAAACCCGAAAATTGATTTTTGCCCTAAACTGACCAACTATTGAAATATGAAACTTGCTCATTTGTCCATATGGAATAGAAATTGATAGTGTAGCATGATTGTAGATTATAACCATTGTAATGCGATAGTTTTGTGGCGTGACAAGTGTATATAGTTTCCTTTTCCTCACCTAAGTCGGGAAAGAGGATTCTCGCTAATATCAAATAGTAATTTCTAAGATTTTGTTTACCTTTGTTATAATCTAAGATTGGGCTATAATGCACATGGGCCCAACCTAAAAGATTGAATCCAATCAATTAGCTAGTCTAACTTATAGCCTTATAAACCCATATGTTCTCTCTTATTTTTATCAATGTGGGACTCTTAACAACCTTATTCAACTATTGCTTTGACTGAAAGTTTATTGCAGCATTTAAAAACTATTTACAGTGAAGATTATGCAATTTCTCATTACTTAATACTTACTAACCACAAGTTTCCTTGTTTGATTCTTTCCAATTTAATATGAGAACATGACATAAATGATACTGTCGAATATGTTTTGGATTGTTTGTGATAATGTCTGGTTGGATAATATTTTGTTAGTATTGTCATATGTATTGTTGTGAAGCATTCTCTAATTCTCTTGGATCTTTGTCATGATAGCTCTATCATTAAGCTTCAGTTCTTTGGGTTTTAGGTGCAAGACCAGCAAGGCTTGTTAAAAATTGTCAGATGACTGCTCCATGTGGAACTACAATTCTCTATCCAGCCAGCGGAGGCAATATCCATTGCTTCAAAGCTATTACTCCTTGTGCAATTCTCGACATCCTTTCTCCACCATACTCATCCGAGGATGGACGACATTGCACCTACTTTCGGAGGTCTCCTAAAGGCGATCTTCCTGGTAAGGGCACTCAATTCCAACTTTTGTCAATTACTATGATGCGACGTGTCTTAGTATAATAATATTATTGCTGCAATTTCTTTCTTTCACTTAAGGTGAGCTCGAGGTGGATGGTGTAACAATCTCAGGAGTGACCTGGTTGGAAGAGTTTCAACCTCCTGATGACTTTGTAATTAGGAGAGGACAGTACAAAGGCCGTGTTATAAAAACTTAAACTAGTAATTTTCTTATTATTATTTTTTATTTTTACCCAATTACAAATCAGGCATGTTGAGCACATCTTTTGGGTGTTATTGAGGTGAATTAGTTATATGCTTAGCCAATTTGAGAATAATTTCTGTTGGTCAGAGAATAGGCATTGTAATGTACATAATATAGTGTACATTAATTTTACTGACCTCACCTTAAATTAGTCGACAGTTAGACTCGTTTTCAAAGATATAATTTATGAAACATTAATACATTATGGGCTTTAGATTTGAGATGATTGAATGAGTGATGGAATACTCTGCATCTGCAAGGTGTAGCTAGTATAACAGACTAAATAATCTTTACCAAAAAAAAAGTATTTGTACTCTGCTATATTATTACAGGGCAAGGAATGGTAATAAATATTTACAGTGTCTGGCTGTCAGCTCTGTAACTAGTATTAACAGAGACTGAGGATTGTATATTCATGATCACTGTTGGATGAATCCATTAAAGCACAGGGAAGAGAAAGACGAGTTCAGAGGACTTCTACAGAGCTTCTGGTATAGGTCTGAATGGCATTAGCTCCTGGTTACATAAGAAAGTTAATTATGTCAAGCACTTCAGAAAACTATTAGCTGAAGAAATTGAAATTGTAGACTTAGCTCTTGTCTACCTGAGAATTCCGCAAGTGTTGGCCTTGCCACTTTGTTGTTTTAACAATTGTTTCCCACTTAGGAGCCTGGTTTCTGGGGTTTCCAGTTCCTTGTTTGGGGTGGAAAGCGGAATTCTTTGTGGATAATGAAGGTAAAGTGCGAAAAAGCCATGAATCTGATGGGGACTTTGGCAATGGCGGGGGTACTGGAAATTCTTTGAACTCTCCCTCTTCATGTGGATTTTCTGGCTTTGCAGTTCTGTCTTGCTTAAGCAAACCTTCATCAACATCGTTATTTGCAGCCTTAACTGAGGTGATTGTTTCCTCGTAATATTGTTCTTGTCCATCATCATTCCCTGGCTTCCCTCCTGGTTTGGAATTCAATTCATCGGCTGCAGATAGGGAATTGAAGTTTGAAGTTTCTTGAACAATAGGCATGGTTTTAGCTTCTTCATCCACAGAGGTTAGCTTTTCAGCATCATCTTGGAAATGATCTACCATGTGTTTCTTTACTGTTGTTACAAGAATCTCAATTGTTCCCTTAGCCTCAGGAGAAGAAGATTTGGGAACTGGAGACTCTAACTTATGTACAGTATCTACATACACAGTTTTCTCTGCCACGCAATTGTCTGAATCTTGCTGAACTAAGCTATCCTCGGCAGCTATTAACTCCTGAAAGCTTTTGCAGGCTTTTTTGGGTAGCCCCAAGGCATCAATACTCACATTGGTTTCAGGTGGTTTGTTATGGTTGTCTGAAACATCGCTATTCTGCAGCTTGTAAAGGGATGATTCTTCAGGTCTCTGATTATTATTACTCTTAAAAGTAAGCTTCTTTTCAGACTCATCAGTCTCAACTCCACTGCATAAACCAGCATATGAAGATCTAGCCTGCATTCTACTTCCAGGAGGCTTAGGTACGCGAGTCCTTACACTCATCCCGGGTACTGGATTCAGAAAGCCAAACGAGCCTCTGAAACAAAAACTTGGTAATAATCCGCATGCTTTTACAGGTATATCTTCATGACTATAATCATCATCATCACTTTCTTCTTCATAATCACGAGGTTGGTAATAATGCCTTGCAGAACTGTGTGCATACAGCTTTTGAGGCTGCCTGTCTGGCTTTACTACCTTGTTCAGCTGTCTTGGTTGCTCTTGAAAAGCTTGCATCTTCTTGGGAGCATATTGAGGTATTTCTGAAACCGTCTCTGAAGCCATTGCCTTTGCTGCTGGTAGAAACCGGTTAATCATGAACTCCCGAGTTTGTGGATCTGTTGATGGTCTTCCCTCCGGTTCATCCAACCCACTTACGCTGCAATTCAAGAAGACCGATGATTGGGTTCTAGAGAGCGTATCAAGGGCATCCAAAAACACGTCCTCTTCATCTGCAGATTCATAATTATCATCATTATCCTCCACCACAGCTTTCGAGCTGTTGAAACTTCCCGGGCCATTATCAGAGCTCCGTTGATTGGCTACTGAGGTTCTCCCAGGGGGAAGCTTTGGCACAGGCCTTTCTCTGGTATGATCAGCTTCTGGTTTTACTTCATCCTTTGGTTTTCCTGGAATCTGCTCCCAGAAGAATGGCACAACTCCCGGGTTGCTCACCGGGCCAGATTTCAGTTCCGATTTATAACAAGGAGGTTGAGGAACACTCCGTTTCCTCCCAAACAAGTCATTCTGAGATCGTGTCATGTCATCTTTACCTACTATCGATGAGTTTCGTCTTACAGACAGAAGAGGTTGGTTAAGGTTTAGCCGTTTGTCCTCCATCAGATTCCTCAGCGACATGAGGCTATTGCTATTCCTGTACAGAACATCATCAAAAACCAACAAAGAACATGAAAAGCAGCAAACAACTGAGAATTCATGCACAATCAGACAGCAAAGAAAACTGCCATCCCTCTCTCTCTCTCTCTCTACTATACAATGGTGAACTGCAATTCTGCAAACAAGAACACCTCTCTCTCTCTCTCTCTCTCTCTCTCTCTCTCTCTCAGAGCCTCTTATCACAATCAAAAACCGACTTTAAACTCTGGGTAAAAATGGGCAGTTGCAGCAACCCAGTGTCGGTAGTTTGGTCGTTCAAACAGACATATCAACAAAGAGTATGAAGACAACCTTGGGAACCTTCACTGCCTTTACCATTTTTGTCGGCAGTTGGTGCTGGCATAGGGAAAACGACATTTCCTACTGATTGTCCCCCATGGACTCTTGGAAATTGCCAGACAAAAAACCAAATCACAGAACACCAAGAAACAAAACACTACAGCTGATCACCAGGAAATTAAAGAGCAGAAAGAACTGACCTTTGATCAAATGCCGAATCCTGCGGGCTCAGAACTGTGTTCTTGGATGAATGATCAAAGGATACGTCTACGTCTTTCATATATCCATCCACCAGCTGGAAAACACTGCAGATCAGAGCAGCCAGAAGACGACTTTGAATGGAGGACAAAAGATGAGTTGAGAGAGAGAGACAGAGAGAAGACAAGTTGAACAAGGAATAAACCAGTAGCTACGCTTGTGTCAGCATAAAGACCCACATTTTTTTAAGACTTAAAAATCACTTTCTTCACGAAAGCATCCGTGCCCTGTTCCTTTCTGGTACTGTAAAAAGGGCTTACAGTAATTGAATGCATCTTTTGATTTTGCAAGCTTTGTGTACAGTGACAACCTTAAAAGCATCAATCCATTTCTTGGTTGATACCTTTGACATTTTTTTCCTTACGTAGCGTTTGGTTGGAAGGAAGAAATTAAGTAGAAAAGAAATTGTAATTCGGTGGGAATAAAGTAGGAATTACTTAGGTTTTTGTTTTAGTACATAAAAAATAATAATACAGAGTACTATATTAAGAGTTTTTCTTCCCATAGATTATGCATGCTCTCGCAACATCTAAAACTTATGCTCTATTACAATGTAGTAGATATTCATAACTATTTTCTCAACCTACTTAGTATATAGAGTTAATACCGTCTTGACCGAGGCTCAAACCTACAACCTCTCATATAAGAATCCAACCTTGGTGCCATTAGACCACAAGGTGTTGGCTTGTGTTCCCTTTATATGTTACCTCATCTTTTATTATTTTTGTAAAGATATGACTTATGAATTAATCAAGCAATACTATTACACTGATAGAACATATGACTTTACATATAGCGTGAGATTCGAGACATTTGCTCAACTAATAGACCTTAGACTATTTGATTTCAAACCGTCAACTTAAGATTCAAATAAGTGACCACTGCAAGACAACTCCAATTAGATTGGTTGGACAGTTAGCTTAGTAAGTTTTAAGTTTAACTTCTCGTCAGAGTTGTGTATTAGTCTTTTTGATTTGAGCAAGTCAACTATAAACAACCTAGGCTAGGCTAGTTTACCCCCTTATGATCTTTTACGGACTGTGGTCACAACGCGGCAGACTTCACCTTAGACCTTCAGGTAGTGGTTGTGAGTTTTCTCATAAATTTAAAAAAAAAAAAAAAAACACACACACACACACACACACACACACATACACACATAAACGACAACCATGCTGAATTGTAAGGTAAATTGTCCTTATGTGTTTGGGATATTGTAAATTATTGCAGTTGACATATATCGATTGTACTATATATAACTCATTGAAAGAAAGCATAGATGGGCAATTGAGTGTAAATATATTAACATTATAAATTTATCATAATGAATTAATTAAAAGTATAAACTATTTATTAACGAGATGTTTAGATTCTCATTATTTTATAAATGGTTAAATTCTATTTTCTAATATATGCAGATATTTGTAGGTTTGGACCATGTGAAGATATTGATGTATAGAGGGGACCTCATAAATAAGTGTCATAGTCACAGCACAAGGATCATTTGATCATCCAAGTTTGAAATATGGGGAAAGAAAACACTTTCTGGTGGTCCTGTGCCACTCAATAATTGCTTATTTGGTCATCATATATCATCTGTTTAATTATTATGGAGGTCCCTTTTCTTAGGTAAAATCATCTTTTTTGTCCATTACTTAATACTTAGCATCATAGCATGACTAAGATTATTGGTCCATTTGTTTGTCTCACCCTCACAATAAATTATTGAAATGCTCTATCCACTATAATGATTTTGCTATTTTAGTTACCCTCTTCTAATTATATTTGATCATAGCCTTAATTATTAACTTTGTATTAATTTTAATCAATTCATGATATTATTTTGAGGAGTATCAATATGTACTAGTCGGCTAGGCTATCCTACTGCAAGTCAACAAAAAATTCACGGACATCGCAAGCTAGCTCTCGAAGGTTTGCCGATTGGAACACTCTAGCCCTAACCACTAACCAGTAACCACCTCATGTGGGCAGTGGGCTGGCGTGCGTTGCGGGCTTACTCATATGTTAGATTTTAAAAAATTATTAAAAAAATAGTTATATTTTATTGCCTATTATATTTTAATATATAATTTTTAAAAAAGATAAATTTTAATTTTTTTTTTAAACAAAGACTTAATGCATCAAATCATTATACATACTATATTTTAATATCTTCACCGGCTCTATTTTTTTGCCCTAACCGATGAACTTTAGCTCTCTTTTGAGATCCTTAATTATTTCATCTATTTTTTTATTGCCTATTTTAGTTATTCAAATGATTAAAAGAAGTACAAATTTGATAATTAATAACATTACTAAATAAATTAAAGTTAAAAAAAGCAAAGCAATAAAATTACTATAGGTAACAAACTATTTCAGTAATTTACTCTCACCTTAATTAATTTCAAACTTGATCATACTGTCTTTGCCTTTTTGACCACTCCCACTTTTTATATCATTAGTGTTTCTTCTGCTTTAATTTTATTCCCATTATGAGCTTTGGAATTGTGACCAATTTCTCTGCACTCAAATGATGTTTCAAACATGCAAGATAATATAATGGCATAATGTGTGTGTGTTTTTTTTTTAATGAGAAAAATTTACAACTATTACTTAAGAGTGTGTACTCATTAACTTTTAAATGTTCTGTATGACAGGTTTAACAGAAAAGGTGTTAGCAAGAAATTCTGAATACTTTATACGATAGGTTCGGTTGAGATGGCATTGACAATAATCAAACTTGTAATCATTATGTACGAAAATTATGTTTCACGCACTTAACCATCATTTTCGGGCCGGCATAATGTGTTCTTGACTATGGAGGAAACCATTAATAAGTATGATGCTCTTAATGATTATAATATCTCGTTTGCTTGAAATAATTGGAATTGGATCCATCAAATCTTAGTTATGTTTATAATCAAATTATTATATTGGCCAACATACTTTAGGGTCCATCTAAAAGTTTATACCTTACAATAATTATTAAAAAAATATAAAAGTTACATAGTATACACTCTCAAGTAATAGTCGTAGGTTTCCTCGTTACTTGAAAAATAATGTAAATAAATATAAATTTCATGTTAATTTTTTTTTTTTTTTGGTGATAATTTTATAAAATTACTTTAAACATTACAAATTTTACAATGTTATGTAAAAATGTCATTTTTTAAAAAAGTGATATATTTGTAATTTTAACAAGTTATATAAGATTTCAAATTTTATTTATTTAAATACAATATTTTTATGAAATTCCGGTGTAATATTTCTCTAATTAAGAATGCATTCTTTTAAGGTAATACTATTGGGGCACTATAAACACAAAATATTCTGTGACCATTATTCTGTGGATCATATTTTTAAATAATGTGCATTTAATACATAAATAATATATTTTTAATATATTAAAAATGTATATTGTATTAAGAAAAAATAAATTATTTGAATACTGAAAGTATATTATTTTTCATACATGAATAATGTACATTTAATACATAATAATATACTTTTAATATAATAAAAATGTATATTTTGTTATTGTCCATACAATATTGTGGATCATGATAGATTCAATAATTTGCGAGTACTCTCTGCCCTATTACTTGTAATTATTATTTTTTTAGTCCACAAGAAAACCCACCTACTGTTATAATGCGCACAAAATAAATATCGCCTTTATATGTTTTTTTTTTTTTTCCTTCCCAAGAAATATATTGTCGGTTTCTAAGTGGCCTACAAACTGGTAAGCATAAATAAATGGGCCTGTACTAATCAAGTACATATTGGACTTCCCCCGCTCCACTATAAAAGCCCACAAAATTTGAAAGAGGACTTTGGCATTAGGCCATTAGTGCATTTATGGCAATTATTATCATGGATCATCGTTTACTTACCATTATGAATTTTGGATCGAGATGACGAGGTACATAATTCATATAAAATTTTATAATACAAGACATAACAAATCGCAATACAAGATAAATACACATGTTATATATTTACTTATTTTTCAAATTTAATTTAAGTATATAATTTGTGTTCATAGGCACATTATCTACAACACAAGATACATAAATTCATAATGAGTTAATACCCAAAATCGTCCTCGACTATAGTGATTTTTCTCAATTTCGTCCTAAACGACTTTGGTGACCTAATATCGTCCCAGACTTTTGTGTTTCGCTCAATTTAGTCCTCCATTTGTTATTCCGTCAAATTGGTGTTAAATAAAGGGACAATTCAGTAATGTCAATATTGATCTCTCTTTACTTTTAACTTGTGAAGTGCAAAATTCTTCTTTCTTGTACGAATTACACCCAAAATTATTCTCGAACCTGCAAATCAAATTTTATATTCGCAGTTTTAGGAGTAATTCTGGGGGTAATTCGTAAAAAAAAAAAGGGATTTCGCAGTTCACATGTATATGAGTAAAGAGATGCCAATATTAAAATTACTGAATTGTCTATTTATTTAACACCAAATAGACAGAATAACAAATGAGGGACTAAATTGAGCAAAAACACAAAAGTCTAGGACTAAATTGAGCGAAACACAAAAGTCTGGGACGATATTAGGTCACCAAAGTCGTTTAGGACGAAATTGAAAAAAACCACTATAGTCGAGGACGATTTTTTGTATTAACTCGTTTCATAATATAAGACACAATTACTAATTTATTTCAGGTACATAATTAATACTTTTAAGGTACAAAATTTTATAATACAAAACAGAAAAATTCTCAACATAAGACACATACACATGCACTAGAGTCCATAGAGCACTGTGAACCCTGATCCATGCAAAGATGTCAATGAGGCGGGACGGGAGCGGGAGCGGGAGCATACCCCGTCCCCGCTCCTGACTTTCTACTTTATTCCCTATCACCGTCACCGTCTCCCCACCGAAAAAAGGAAATATCTCATCATTTCCATCCCATAAGGATTATTCGGGGATGAGAAATCCCCTATCTTATTTATAATTTATAAAAATATAAAAAGTTTAATTACATTTAAATAAGTAATTAATATATATTCAACTTGAATATTTATATCTCAAGAAAATAGACCCTAAAGTAAGTAGATCCAATATTTATAATATTTCTAAAATTATTTATATATTATATACATAGTATCACATATATGTATGCGTTGTGGAGCTTAAATGTATATAGAGTAATATACTTATATATACATACTAGTTTTTTACGCGCATTGCGCGATTGGGATAATGCCCAATATTTTTTTTAAATAAGTACTTTAAAGTATATTAAGGCAGGATTATATTGAAATTGTTCATGCATAGATAATTGAAGGTTGAATTTGCGTATTTAAATAGGTAATTCTTCTCCCAAAGGTTGAGTCCCCAACCCCAAGGTAATTCTTCTCCCAAAGGTTGAGTCCCCAACCCCAAGGGCCCCCTACACTCCGACCCGACAGAGAATTGTGGGAAGTTGTAAATCACGGTGACTCAATGGTTCAGCAGACAGAGCCAAATGCTGATACGCACAAGGAATCTGCCAACTTTGAACATAATTCCCGCACTGCCGTCGCCGAGGTTCAAACCTTGGTCTCTTCTCTAAAATACTACCCACTAAACCATTGAGCTAAGCCCGTGCGGGTTAAATAGGTAATTCTAAGTTTACAAATGCAAGATAATATAGTCAAGATTGATTATAATTATCAATAAAATAATTGTATAGGTATGGTTGAAACCAAATACGGGACATAAGCGAGAACAAATAAAAATTAGGGCATAAAATATTAAATATATACTAATATTGTTTGAGGAGATTCCGACATTAGGATTTGTGGTTAAGTTCTATTAAGACTTTAATATTAGAATTAGATTAATGGTGTAGTTATAATTATATTCTATATTAGACTTTAATATTAGAATTAGACTAACGGTGAATTAACGGAAAAAAATAAATGGATAATCATATAATTAAGGATAAATTAGAAAATCTTAAAAGAAAAAAATTAAAACCTGAACAATATGAACCATTCATTTGATTTAATAATTTGGCGGTCATTTTTTCAATGTTAATAATTAAATAAATTCGCTGGTCAAATCCGCTAGTATAATCCGCTAACGCTAACCGCTAACTGCTGATTGTCAAACAAGGACATTGCGATGTAGTTCTCACTACAATTTGTTGTGTAATTTGAATACTCTCTTTGTCACAAAATCTCTCAAGTAGTTAATATGGTTGGCTTTATTAATTATATTTTTTTAATTTTTTCATGGTATTAATAAAATACTTGGTAAATAAATATATAGCATTATTTTGTATTATAACTTTGATATTTAATTAGAAAAATAGTGCACAAAAAAGATAATAGATAATGTAGTGAATATAATCAATTGATGAATTTGAATGTAAAAATATTTACATTTGAGAAAAATAAAGACAATATAACTAATGAAAATATTTCTTTTAATTAATTTATTGATAATTAATAATTTTTTTTTCACTGAATAAAGACATTTTAAGGATAATGTAGCGAATATAATCAATTAATAAATTTGAATATAAAAAAATTTTATATTGAAGAAAAATAAAGACAATATAACTAATAAAATTATTTCTCTTATTTAATTTATTGATAAAGAATGAATATTTTTTTTTTTAAATAAAGGCATTGTGGATACATAATTATAAATTAAAGAAATACATATGTATTATTTTTTGTTGTAACTACTAAAATATTATTTATATAATTTAATAAGAGTAAAATAGAGTACTAATTATGTCAACTTTGATTGGGATGAGATTCGAACCTAAGACCTTTTTCTATTGAAATCAATGAGTAAGTTAACGGTGAACTAACGGCAATTCTTAAAATTTTAACGGAATTAGTAACGGTGTGTGGGTATTTTAGGAAATATAACTAATAAAATTATTTCTCTTATTTAATTTATTGATAAAGAATGAATAATTTTTTTTTTTAAATAAAGGCATTGTGGATACATAATTATAAATTAAAGAAATACATATGTATTATTTTTTGTTGTAACTACTAAAATATTATTTATATAATTTAATAAGAGTAAAATAGAGTACTAATTATGTCAACTTTGATTGGGATGAGATTCGAACCTAAGACCTTTTTCTATTGAAATCAATGAGTAAGTTAACGGTGAACTAACGGCAATTCTTAAAATTTTAACGGAATTAGTAACGATGTGTGGGTATTTTAGGAAATTTTAGTGTAAAATTTAAATTTGATCAATCTTTCAATCAATCTGAGCCATTCATTTGATTAAAATCTGTGACCGCCATTTTTTCTACCCATTATAGGCCTAACTCTCTTGGGCTCTTATTAGTATATATATATATAGTAGATAGATACTAGATATACTTGAAGCCATCTTCATACTAGTCTTTACGACTTTATGTGTTGACTTAATTAGTCATCGGATCCTTAATTAGCCAATAGTAATGTTGGAAGGGTCTTTAAGAAAAAAAAAAAAAAAAAACAAAAAACTCCATGAACAATACGGAGTACCTTCCTAAAATTATGATATCATGATGATGGACCGAGTACGCAATATAAATGTGTAATCGAATCAAAGCCCCGCCTATGACGTCTCTCCTCTTTCCTCGTTTTCATCTCTCCCCCGAATGTATTGACTCCATTTCAAATCGCGTGAAGCTGTCTCGGCTGCATTTCTCGATCAGACATGAAGCTCACTCTTCCCAACTCGTAAGGTTCCAATGCTATCAGCTAACTGCCTTCGGATTCATGTTCGGAGATCTGCCGCCGGTACTAACGCCTTTGATCACACTCATCTCGTTCCATATATTTACTGTTTACATATGTGTTTATGAAGTCGAATTGTTATATATGCGTATTCAGTTCTTATGTTAGTAGTTTAAAGCATTGCCGGCGTTTGAATTTCTGTCTCTGGAGTTCAAATGCGAGTTTGGATTGAATCGCGTTCTCTGTGCTAGAGAGAAGTGAGAGATTGGATTTGGTAATACGTGGAGCTGGATTGGGACTGAATTTGACTGAATTCAGCTCACGAAATGATTATGCACTCGCTTTGAGACTAGAGGATACTGAAAGTTAGTGCTGGATTTTTTTTGTTAGCGAGTGGTAGGAGGAGTTAGAAGATATAAAAGGTTGGTCATGGTGGTTTGAATCTGGAATTTAGACTCAGTAGTGTATTGGTGGAAAATCATGGGGCTGTTGGATGGATTTTTATGTGATTAGGTATGTTAATATTGTTTTGTTTAGTTCATTCCAATTTCCAAGGTAATGTGTTTGTAACTGAAGGTAACTGCTATACCATGTAAGGACGAATGGCATATGACTTGTACTTTTGAAGGTCCACTGCAAGCTGCCGATGCTTATAGATGTGAGCAAGGACTGGAAGGTTTTGAAGGGGATTGATTTGAATTTAATGGGATTATGGGACTGTAGTTTGCACTATAAGTTGAGGCCTTAAATAGTTTGTTTGTATCTCATACATGGAAATTATTTCTCCAAAGCACTTTAAATTATCACCAATTCTCAAGTCAAAGATATTATCTATATGAACATATTCTTTAATAGCTAAGCTTTTTCTTAAAGTCTCAGCTCTTGCAAACAAAAACTGAAAACATTTTAAAACTTATTGCGTGCTCGTCAAATTGATGCAAATATAATGGATAGCTATCTTCAAATTACATGCTCAGGCTATTATTGCGTGCACGTCAAATTGTTAGTTGTCTGTTGGATGTGCTATGATGTTTAAGCCAGTGAAATTTCTTTAGTTTTCTGGATAATCCCCTCCCCTAGGTGTCTTCTACAACCTATAAGGGCGTGTTTGAGAGAGCGGTGAGATTAGAGTTATAGTGGTTGGAGCGGTCTACTACCACCAAACCCTCACTCCAGTTGAAAATGTTAGTAGTTGGGGCGGTGGACCACTCCAACTGCAGCATTCTCAAATGAATGCTTGGAGAGCGATGAGGTTACAATGGTGGACCACTCCCATAGGGCACTTATCGCTCCATTTTTTTAAAAATGAATTTTGGGATTTTACAGGTTTTATGGCCTTGGAAGTAGTGCAGTCTCCAAATCATGGCTCTTTCGTTATTATTAATTTATTATTTTTGCTTAAATTGATTTTGTGATTTGCAAACTTTTCATGGGGTAAAAGTGGCAATGAGATGGTATTGCAATTCCATTACCTATGGAAATGGATTATATGCGAGAAGAAGCGGGGCCAGAACAAGATCAAAGACCTCCTACTGGTTCATGGTGGCCTTCCAATTGTGTTGACACATTTGGATCTGTTTCCTTGGATGCTAACGATGAAACTCAGAGGAACGAAGAATTGACTGATAGTGAAGTATATGATAGTGTTTTGTGTCAGTCAGCATCCCAGATCCTCTGGAAAACTGGAATGCTCTCTGAACCAATTCCAAATGGGTTCTACTCAGTTATTCCTGTAAGTACTGAAGGTCTGAAGCACAACTTCTATGCTTGTTTTACTCTTTGTAGCATGCACTCCCAGCTGCTAAACTTTTTCTGTGAAATGCTTAACACCTAAAATCGTTGGCTTTATTTATCAATAAGTTTTCCGTGCTTTTAATTCCATAGGTATTCTTACATGCCTTACAAAATATGTGAGGGAAATAACTTAGCATTGGAATATTCATTTCATGGATTATCTTTTATGGTTTTGTCTGACAAGAAATGGGGTTGCAATTTTGAAATGTTTTAATTTTTGTAAATGATGTTGGATGCTATAATTGCTCAATTTTGGTGATTAAATAAACACGAGGCTAGAAGAGGGAACAGAAGAGATCACTGCATATTTATTAAGGACAACATAATATCTAGAAAGTACAGAGAACAAGTTCTTGTTCCTTCTCAAGAAACTATAAATTTTATATGTGTGCAAAAGTTGGTTTTTATAAATGATATTAGGTGTTGGGGTTGCACCATTTTTTGTGCTTAATAAAATTTAACCTACAAGAAGGAATGAAGGAGATCATTAATATTCATTAAGCACAACAATTAGTTAGTAATTATAGAGGACCTCTTATTTTTTTGCATGAAACTATAACTGCTTACATATGAAAAAAAGTTAAGAGGTCCTCACTATCTATACATGGGATTTGTAAATTATTACAATTATATGGTTTTCACTTTATTTTGTCAACTTTTCCCGAATTATATAGCTGCATATGGAGAGTGATTCATATTTATTGTGATTGTTGCTAGATATGTTGACATTCTTATTCTGCATAGACACTGTTAATTTTTATTTGTTTATCCAATATGATGTAGCATGATAATCACAGCGTTGATATGAAAATCAATTACTTTTGATTGAAAATGATAATATAATGATGCCGAGCTCCAAAGTCTGGTGGTGATTTGTTTTGTTTCCCTTTTCTGTGTTTATTATTTCAAATGTGTACAGGAGAGAAGGCTCAAGGAACATTTTGATGATATTCCTACTTTTGATGAGCTTCGTTCATTGGAGCTTGAGGGTATAAGAGCAGATGTTATACTTGTAGATGGAAAGAAAGATAAGAGGCTTTCTATGATAAAGCAGCTAACTGTTGCACTGGTCAAAGGCTTGAACTCAAATCCTGCAGCAAAGATAAAAAAGATTGCTCGATTGGTGGGTTTGGTATTTGTAATACTTTATTGTTTTTGGGATATATATCTTGCACAATTACTTTTGTTAAAATTTCCATTCTCTCTCGCTCGCTCTCTCTCTCTCTCTCTCTCTCTCTCTCTCTCTCTCTTGCAGTTTTATTTGGCTATCTTATGAAAAATGAACTTGTCTTGGACACGGGTAAAAAGTGGCAAGTTATGAGGAGAGCTTGCTTGTTTTATTATGGAAGAGTAAAAGATGAATAATAGAAGTTTAAAGCTTCAAATACCCTGTGTCATATTCAACCCCTCCAACATTGAATAGAGAAGTAGCAAATCTCCTTTAATTCCATCCCCACCACATGTCAGACCAAACACCTTTGATGGTGGATGATTCACTAGGGATAGGAATATGTACAGCTGCACACTCTCTGCCCTTGTGCTTCTCCTTCTGGACCCTAAGATAGTTCTCTCATACGATAAGTAGGTGCTTCACTTATAGTTTGAAGCTTAGTGCAGTCTGAAAACATTTTTTGATATTTGATTTTTATTTCCTGCCAGGGAAGTGCATGGGTTGAATCTTCAATGCTATTACTTGTAAAATTTCACCATAGAATGATTTAAAACCTTACTTGATCTCTTGTAAAGTTTCCCTCAAGAAGGATTCAACAAAGTTTGTTAACCACTTATATGAATCTTACTGTAGGATTAGCAAGTTGGTCACCTTAATTAGACTTCACTAAAATTTGATCCGTTTTTGGCTGCTTGTTTGAATTTTCACAATCTTTCTTATTCTCTTGTGACTTTTTATTTAGGTGTCTGACTTTTACAAACGACCTAATTCAGAACTCAGCCCTGCTAAAGCTCCAGTTGAGGAAACCTCTCATGTTTCTGACAGCCAAGGTATCCAGATGCTGGGACAAATAAAGCATGGCTCATGCCGTCCGCGAGCAATATTATTCAAATTTCTTGCAGATGCTGTAGGTCTTGAGAGTAGGCTAGTTGTGGTAATTTATTCTATTTCTTCAAATTACTCATTTATACCATTTCACTTTCTTGCTACTCTCTCTTTCTCTCTTTTATTTTTTCAGTTTTCTACTTCTTCATACTATTTTGTTCTATTTGCAATTTATTCCCAACTAGGGTTTGTCAACCGAAGGAGATTCTGAGTGCATAGACTCCTATAAACATATGTCAGTACTTGTTGTGTTGAACTCGGTTGAACTACTTGTTGATCTTCTGCGTTGTCCTGGACAACTAATCCCTCAATCAGCCAAGGCTATTTTTATGACCCATTTATCAGCTGCTGGGGAGAGTGATTCTGCAGAAAATGATTCCTGTGATTCACCGCTGGAGCCCAACAGTCCTCTTTATGGGGTTTCAGAGAAAGTGGAACTTGAGAGGTTAGTCAAAGATGGTACCTTTTTGTTTATAAAAAAATTATATTTTCAGCGGTTATATTTTAGCCTTTATCCATCATTTTAAAATGGTTGGGTTGGGTTGATTGAGGTACCATTTCTGCTTTGAAATAAGCCGATAGCTTTGCCTTTTTTTATGGCATTAATCATTTTGTTCTCATTTTTACTACAGTGTTTATAAAGATGATGCCCTCCAATATAAACAGCAACTAGAAGCAGCTTCAAATGCTGCAGGACCTTCACTGAGGAATATGATTTTGCGGTCTTCTACTTCGATTGACAGAAAAATGAGGTATTATGTTGTTCATGCTTAATATTCTTTCATTTAAACTTGAATGGTATTTAAAACCCATTTCATATGAGGATATCTTGAAGGTTTATATTCTCCATATTCTCTATAGTGCTTTGCAGAAATGGTTCTTATGTGATATATTTCTCTTTACCAGTTTATCGCATAGCGAACCCAATATTCCTACAACATTTTGGAGGAGAAGTCGGAGAAAGATTATCACTGAACAAAGGACTGCAAGTTCAAGGTTCTTTTTCATGCCCATCATTTTCATATTTGATATGCCATAGTTTTTGTCAACATCGTCATATGAGCTTTTCTATTTCAAAATCATCCATTCCTATGTTCTGTGGTATGAATATGCTTGTTCAGACTTCAGCTGTGGTTCAAGGGTTCCATTGATGTCACTCTTGTATTAACACATTTATGACCAAACAAGGATTCCAATCCTTGAGTGGCTGGAATAAATGATAATACAAAATATCATTTGTGGGCTGAGTGGGTGGGAGGTGGACAGTGAGAGTCATTCCTATGGCAAAGCAAGTCTTGCTGAAGATGTTCAAGGCTTGCATCTTATGGAAAATATATTTAGTTAAGAAATTCAATGAGGTTGAATAAGTGGCCAAAAAGAGCCAATTATTATATTGTGGTTTACTTAATATCAAGTTGATTGAAATATGCCAATGATGCTTTTATAACTGTTGAAGTTGAGGGATTGAAAGGCCCGGCGGGTGGAGAATAACAACCACCCGCTAGTTAGGCGGAAGCAAAATATGTGAGAAACCAAAGAAAAAAGAAAATAGAAAGAATATACTCCGTATTATAATGAACGATTACAATAGATTGTCTCTCTGTGTACTCTATACTTCTATCTATATAAGGAGCCTATATTTATAGGAACATGGGGACTAAATCAAGATTAATAGAAATAGGAAACTAAGCCCACTCCTACTAGGAGTTCCCTAATATTCAACACTCCCCCGCAAGCTGGAACATCTAGAAGTTTCCAACTTGGATTAAAAAAAAGCACTCTACCTCACTCAAAATTACAAATGAAAATTAAATGCAGCTAGAGGATGGTTGGCTTCAAAAGAGATGGCGCTATGCCTGACCCTTCCTTGGGAATGAAGACGAACGCACCAAGGATAGAGTTGAACATGAACAACCTCAAGATAACACAACATAAAGTCATAAACACTCTAGGACATGCCAAAAAAGCCTTCATCAAGAGTGGTAGAGGCGAAAGGGGGCAAAGAATAGCAAAGAATGTAGTAGAGCCCATAGTAATGAAGATAAACCCAAAGCAACATGATGAAGATAGCACACCAATTGGCATCGACGAGAATAAGAGTAAAGTAGAACACCAGGAAAACAAAGTAAAATAGAACACCGATTGATTGTAGATAGTCAAACTCCCCCTTACTTGAAACATGGGAAATAATCAAAGGCCTTTAGAAATAAAATATAGTATTGCTGAAATTGAACATCCTTGGGATAAATATGGCATACCGGAGATAAAGAAACAAACACGGTTATACCAAAACACACTGGAAAGAAGTTTGGTAACAAACCCAAAAAGCTTTCAAACTTCACCGAAAGGTCAAAAGAAGGGCAAAACAACAATCTTGAAAAATATATTCAACAAAGGTTTCCTAATATTCAACAATAACCATTTACTTGTACATTATTATGAAAGCCTCTAGTTCATCATTCAATATGTATGAATTTTTTCTTGTGCATGATGTTACACAGTTTTGAATTTTTATTTTTTCTTTTAAAATTTCAGTCCTGAACATCCTTCCTTTAGAGGACGTTCACAATCAATGCTCAGTGGAGGTCAAAATACATACCAAGATTATTCAAAAACCGTTGATATGCCAAGGTATCTGCATGTATTTAATTCTGTTCCTTATGTTTGAATGTTAGATGCATTAGGAGATATATGTTTATATCTTGAAATTTGCCTTCTTTGCCTTCATTTTTTTCCCTTTTAGTTTTAGCTTATTCTATGACATGGCCACATGGGTACTAGTATCTGCCTTTCTTTGTTACTAATCAAGATGTCTTGGATGTTGCATCGGTTTATCTCTTGAGTATAAAGGTTGATGTTTATCTGGAAACCTTCCCTGAGCTTAGGATTTGTAAACACAGTTTTAGTCAAGTTTGAGGACCATGCAAATGGATTATGATGTGAAGTACTATTATGGATTATCTAAACTTGCATTTTAGTGACATGTTGGTTTCTGTTACTGCAGATATTGTGAAAGTTTGAGACCAAAATTTATTAACTGTTGGGTTCAGGCTTTTATTTCTCAACTGGTATCAAGTATAGACTCTATAGCTCAACCTATGAAACACCATCTCTCCTATGTGCTTGTTTGGACTATCGAAAGGCTTTTTGAAAAAGTCTTTTTTGAAAAGCCTTAATCTGAAGCTTCTCCAAAAAAGAGTCTCTTTTCTTCATATAGCCTGGAAAGCTTTTATATAGATACCTACCTACAGGTGTATGTATGTGTATATTATTTATTGATTTATTTATATCTTTGCTGTTTAGCGTAGCTTCTGCTTTTTGAAGCCAAACAAGCTCCATATCTCAAAGGGTTTTCCTGACTGCACATTAACTCATAATATTGTAAAGTCTGTAATTTAGATTTAAGCTTAGTACAGGTGCAATTTTTGTGCCAAATCTTGTCTCATCAACCAGTATTATCAATTCCAACGAGTTTCTAGATACACCCAGTTTGCCTCGTTTTGTTTATCTTTTGTTGTCTGCCTGCTAAATATTTTGTAATTATACTTTAGAACAATTGTTACTATTACACTTTTCATTGCTGAGTTTTATCATTTTTCTGATTTACACAGGTCAGAAGGTGCATCAATGTCAGAAGTACGGAGATTTAGAAGAAGAAGCATTAGTATTACTCCGGAAATTGGAGATGATATCGTAAGGTCAATATTACTGTTCTTATATTGTAACCATTATTGTTATAGTCATTTTGGTCATTACTGTCTTCATTTTTCTAGTTTTACTAAAGTCATCATACTCCCACTTCACTCTGCAATTCATTCTGAAGGTCTGTGAGGTAATGATTGAATAATTGTAGTCTGTAAGTTTGAAATATAGCTGTTTCAAGTCCTTAGAGAGTTCTTTAGATTATTTTCTCAAACTTTCTAAGGAGATACAGTGAAAGCCACTTTGCAATACATATAACACAACAGGTATTTAATTGAGAAATTTGGAGTGCAGAAGAGAACACATTACTACTAGACAAAGACAAAAGGGATTTAAGGATACATAGGGAAATATTTGCAGTCAGGACTAGTAATCAATGCCATTCCGATTTATTGTTGTTGTTATTATTATGAAGTATTGTGGAGTATTTATTTTGTGATTGTTTGGTGATAGTATTTCTGTATTAAATGGATTGAATTCTTACTTAAAAGATGGATTTTGTTTAAGATACTACTTGGTGGATTTTCAAACATTCACATCTCCATATTTATGCCATTTCAATTATATTAGGGCTGTTCGAGCAATGAATGAAACACTGAAACAGAATTGTATCTTGAAAGAACAACAAGAAAGTAGGCCACTCCCAGGTGCTTCAATTGACAAAGATGGTGCTTCTGCTCTTCACAATGGTGTATGCTTTCAGTTTTCTTTTTTTCCCTGCCCCTCTTTCCTTCCACTTTGCACAGGATCCTCCTAACACTAATTTTAGTTTTCGTGTTACTAACAAACTATTCTACCTTGTAGACATCTGATTTTCACCCTGATGACCGTGGTGTGATATTGGGTGGGCATGCTTCCTTATTTCCTTTTAAAAGGGAGTTCATGAGTTCCCAGAAGTCTTTATCATTGCCCTCTTCTCCTCATGAATTTGGGAGCCAGACTCCTGAAGGAAGCAAGGCCTCAGATCTCAGAGTATATGAAGAAATGGTGTCAACTTGGAATAGAATTCTAGAATCATCAGTGTTCCAGAATAAGTCTCTCCTACCTTTTGAAGAATGGAATATAAACTTCTCAGAGTTGACTGTTGGATCTCGTGTTGGGCTTGGTAAGCCTTACCCTTTTTCCAGTGTTGCTCCAACCTCCTTTACAATTAAATTGTCTGGCTAGCATTAATAATTGTACTTGTTTTTGCTGGTTGATGACCTGAATGTTTGTGCGACCTCATTAGCTCTGGCAATGTTTGTGCGACCTCATTAGCCACAAGTTCAAGTACAATTATGATATCTTTAATTGTTTGGTCTTGCTTTATGTTAGCTCTGGCAATGATTCATAGTGTATATCTGTGGGGGGATGTGCTAACTGAAACAGTTAGTATTGTGAGTTATGATATCTTACAGTAGGTATGAAGATTGAAGAATACAAGGGGCACGGATATCATTAACTTTTGAACATATTTAAAGGTTAACAGAGCAGGAAGAAGGACCAGAAGACCACTAAGAAGAGTGGCTTGTTTACCATAATTTATATTTCACGAATGCGAATCTGCTTTCAACCTTTATCACAGCAAAACCATACGGCTAGGTGCTTAATATGGGGTTCTAAAGAGTAAAGACAGCAAATATGAGACCTTAAAATATATATATATATATATATATATTGCTGGTTGCAGAAAATATGTGTGTAAAGTGTTCTTTCAGTGGTGTAAACTTAACCACTGTGAACTATGATTTTTTAGTAATCTTTTCAAATTCTTTCTCAAATCACTAAGAAACATTATCTATAGATATGCATAGAAAGCCAAAATAGATTCACCTGCATGTCTGGATAAAAACATTCAGGCTATTTATTTATTTTTGTCATTTTACTGTAACTGTTTAATTCCTGTCCATTTCTAGGATTCTTCGGAGAAGTTTTTCGTGGCATTTGGAATGAAACAGAAGTTGCAATCAAAGTTTTCTTGGAGCAAGATTTGACTGCTGAAAACATGGAGGATTTCTGCAATGAAATTTCCATCCTAAGGTATCTTGTTCTCTCTCTCTCTCTTGTTTTGTTTTTTTTTTTTTGAAATGGTCATATTGTCTAAGTAATCAGCTCTATTTCTTTCAATATGTATTTACACTAACTTGTCATTTTTCCTGTCTCTTTTGAGTTTTGCAGCCGTCTCCGGCACCCAAATGGTATGCCTTTCTCCAGCTGCTGTTGATTTATTTATTTGATATTGAAACATTGCTGATTTAGCGGATGTCTTTTCCTTACAGTTATATTGTTTCTCGGTGCTTGCACAAAGCCTCCACATCTGTCCATGGTTACTGAGTACATGGAGATGGGATCACTCTACTATTTGATTCATTTAAGTGGTCAAAAGAAGCTGCTCAGCTGGCGGAGGAGACTTAAGATGCTGTGTGACATATGCAGGTGGGTTATTTTTATGTTTAAAAACAACCGTGAAATTATGATGATAGGTTTTGTGTTGCAGGCTATTGTTTATTAACTGACTGTTATTTTCTATCTGGGTACTAAGAGGGTTGATGTGCATTCATCGCATGAAGATAGTTCATCGAGATCTAAAAAGTGCAAATTGTCTTGTGAATAAGCATTGGACAGTAAAGATATGTGATTTCGGTCTCTCAAGGCTAATGACAGATGCACCTGTGAGAGACATCACATCTGCAGGAACTCCAGAATGGATGGCTCCAGAACTCATTCGTAATGAACCCTTCACAGAGAAATGCGATATCTTTAGCCTAGGTGTTCTCATTTGGGAGCTCTACACCTTAAACAGACCATGGGAAGGTGTACCCCCACAGCGGGTAAGCTTACCTTTTCTATTGGTTCTATTTCTATAGCTATTCTTCTCTTATTTCCTTTATTTTTTAAAAAAAATTTCCTTATGGTAATCTTAAGGTTTTCTTTATTTCTCAGGTGGTGTATGCTGTAGCTAATGAAGGAGCACGGCCTGAGATACCGGAACCCGAAGGACCCCTGGGAAGACTAATTGCAGGTAATATAACTAATGAATGCATGGCTTAGTGAAAAATTTCATTTTTCTGGTCTTTAATTAGGCGAATACTTTGATTGCAGATTGCTGGTCAGAGCCCCATGTTCGACCTGGTTGTGAAGAAATTCTGAAGCGCTTGCATTCACTCAGCTAATGCAATCCATTCCTTTGTATATATACACATTGGTGAGACGCTAGCGCCTAAAGGCGTTACAATGTGACGGCTTGAGCTGTAAAGTTTTTTTTTATCTTTTGTAGTTCTAGCAAATGATATTTCTGCTTCATCGCGCTGTTCGTTACTGTAATGTTCAAACGATGAAGCGAAGGCCACTTATCCTCGTGTCTCGTAATTCCCCTCCAGAGTTTTCAATCTTGATGAATCCAAATGCTAATGTATGCGTATGGATAATCGATTCATGCACTATAACCCTGCATGCTAAATGACAAGCAACTCTAGTCAAGTAAGTTAGATAATTTATAAGTTTGACTTCTAGTAGAAGCACTTTATTTAAATTGGTTAGTGCAACTCTTGAGTAGTAGTTGCAGGTTTAAAAAAAATAACAAACTCGATACAAAACAAGAAACAACAGTACAACACCATTGTACTCCACCTTCACAACTCTATTCTTTTTTGTCAAATCATGAGGTGTCCTAAGCAGTAGACCCTTATTGTAGGAGACATTTTTAAACTCGTACAGTTGTACTAATTATATCATGCATCAGGGCGCATAATGTATTGTGCGCTGGAATGGTTTTCTCGTTTTTACCGTTAATTTCTAAAAAAAATTCTCATTTCGTATATACAGAATTGTATAATAGAATACATATAAACTCTTAACATAATACACATAATCTAATATAATACACATAAACACAGTGTTAAAAAACCTGTAATGGGATTGGACGGACGAAACGGTGTCCGTTGCATTGTGCGCCTTGATACATGATATAACGATTGATTTTTTCATATGAGAGCGAGTTCGAATTTCCGACCTCTCTTAAGGGATGAAAGTGCACGACCATCCCAATCAAGCTGGTTTGACCTCTTATTATAGGGAACCATTTCCGCAGCCCAATTGTAAAATGGGCAGCCCGTCCTTAAAACACCTCCACCCGATTCGCTTTCACGGAACCCGTTTATTTTATCCCCATTTTATCTTTGATAAATTGAATTCCAAACGGCTACTTTTCTCCATCGCTCCATCTTCCCCCCTCCTTTCGAATTGCGCCATTGTCTTCTTCAACTGACTCTCTCTCTCTCTCTCTCTCTACGCAGGTATGTATGTATGTATGTATATATTATGTTTTTGGTATCTTTAGATTTCTAGGGTTAGCCCTTTACTGATGTTTTGATTTCAAATTTGCAGAGAACAGATTCTATACCGATCATCAAATCAAAATACAGACAAGTATGGCAAGCAATCTCATCCAGAGGCCACTGATCTTTCAAGACGAGAACTTGGATGTCTACTGCAAAAGTATGTGCTCCAACTTTACATTGCATCTTTGCTTATATAATGTTGCGTTTCAACTTAATAATTTCATTTCGTTTTCAATTTTTGTTTTGATAGAAGCCGTGACGGGTGACAAATCGAAGAGTTCTAAACAATCGATTGTGAAGAAAGGCGCGGCAGGGCTAAAGGAAGCTGTGGCGGGCGAAAATTCAAAGTCGGTTGCCAAGAAAGGGCTAAAGAGTCGCAGCGCACTGAATGACATTACAAACAAGTCATCTGTTCCCCCAAAAGCATCGCAGAAGAAGAGTGTCTCCCAGAAGAAGAAGGTTGTGGTTAAGGAGGATGCAGTTAACATTGCGGAGGAGACCTTCTTGCATGACCACCAGAAGTGCATTGAGGCACAACAGGCCGCACGGACACTGGATCTCTGGCACTTAGTTTTTCCTGAACGTGGTAATTTCATTTTCTGCATTCTATTTAATTGATTTGGTTCCGTGGATTTAATTTTTGTTATGTCTCTCATCTGCCTTGATTATTAAACAATGTACTGTTTTTCATCATTGGTTATGGTTATCCAAGAGCCCACCAAATCAATAGTATTTCAGAATTTCTGTAAATTGGCATGCTTTACATATTGTGGCTGTAATAGATAATTTAAAAGAGGTTCATTAGGCTTGACTGGAAATACTATTCAATCTGACTTGAGCTCAGTGATGGGTGTTTTGAGTTGAAAATTGAGCCCAAGTTGCTCGGGAGTTGGGTTTTATCATCTGCATCATCACTCGATAGGGAGTCTAGTCGTCTAGCTATATGAGATCAGATAAGTATTTATGGTCTAGTCTGCATGTTCATGTATCACCTTAATTACCAAAAGAAATGCAGGGTGCATAGGTGAAGAATGGAGATTTGTGTATTTGTGAACATGGGCAGTTTGATATGCTTTTATTTCTTGTGATGTTCCATTATTGGTGGATAAGGCTGTAGTGTTCTTATCTGAAAAATCCTTACTTCATGTACTAGACGTTTTGTTTGAGCTTCTGAACCCCTTTAGACTTGTCGCTTTTGATCCAACATTCTTGCAAAAAAGAAATGTTGTTGGAAATAAGAGTTAATTGTACTCACACCAACACTTTCTATTATGATTCTGTGGATTTAATTTTCTACATTCTGAAATAAGTGCCAGGAGACTAGAAATTAATAACCAGTATCGTCTTTGATCTGCCTTGATTAACTGATGTAGGTGTTTTTCATCATTGGTTATGGTTATCCAAGAGTCCACCAAATCTGTGCTTTTATTTGTTGTGATGTTCTTATCTCAAAAATCCTTACTTCATGTGGACTTACACTAGAATTCTTTTTGTTTGAGCTTCTGAACCCTTTAGGACTTTTCACTTCCAATCCAACATTCTTGCAAAACGAAATGCTGTGGGAAATCAAAGTTAGTCGTATGTCGTGCCAACACTTTCTATTTTGATCGTCGCTTATGTTCCACTTCCCACATAAATGAAATCATTCATTCACAAATCTAAGTCCAGTTTCCCTGTACAAAAAGGTTACTTCAGTCTAAGCACTAATTTTATTTTTCCTTTTGCTTTCAGATTCCTTGCCTCCCATTGAAATTTCAGACTTCATACCAGACAAGGCGAGTCTTATGCATTGTTATCTATCCATTTTACAGAGCTCTTAAACTGTTGCATTTCAGGCTGATAGGCAATTATCTACTCATTAATTAATCTGTTTATGTATTTCAGAGCAACCATCACTGTATTGATAGTCCCTGCAGCTTCCCAGAGCCAGAAGAATCACTCATGGCAGAGTTCTCTGCATGGTTTCAATCTCCAACCAAGAGATCTCCTCAATCCTCTCCAGCACGCAGTGATTCTCCGCTTTCTTTGTGGGAATTTGAGCCAGTTGAATTCAAAATGAAAGAAGAAATCGATATCGTGTTTTGATTGCTCTGCTTGATCCTATGAATTCGAGACATCTATATTCATTGCTTATCCAACAATGTTTGAAGCTCAGGGAACTATCTGGTTTCCTTGCAATGTGTATGGCAGATTCAATTTGAAAGACCATGATTGTATTGCCCCCATCCCTAAACTTTCATCTATTTGTAGATTTTTGCAGATGGTTGAACAACCAGCACTAGCAATATTTCCTTTATATACAGTTGATTCATTTACCAAGCTAAGTGAAAATGGAAGAAATAATCATAGCATTGAAAGAGGCAGACAGATCAGAGAGAATGCAACAATTTCTTCAAGAGAGTTGTTTTTGAATGTAACTGGCTAAGGTAAGTAACTAAGTACGTTGTCTTTGAATAGGACTGACTAAGACTCGATTAGATTATTATGTAAAAGAAAAAAAAAACTGTGACTAAGTACGTTGTTACTTTGAAAGTCTTGCTCTAGTGGTAGAGTGGAGGTTTGGTTTGACTCCCATTGATTGTGTGTGCAATGGGGTTATGGTGATGAAGGCTCATTGTGGACAGATTGTACAAACATGAGTGAAAATTGAGGACTAATTTGGTGACTCGCAATTTACATCGAGACCCAAAGTTTAAAAAATTGATCAGAGACGATGAAGACTCCTTGTGTGCGGAATGTACTAGTAGAAATTAAGAACTGATTGTGTACCGAATGTATTGATAGAAATTGAGAACTGATTATGTGCGAATATACTAGTAAAAACTAAGAATTGATTGGGCGACTCACAGTTTACTTCATCCAGTACTCTTGGGCATAGAATATATTATACTCTAAATGCTGAAGCACCATGGTGCTCGATATTGATGCACGTAGAGGACGATAACCGACATTAGTACGCCAATGCATGTGTACTAAACGTACTTTTTATCTAATTATTTTGATTAATTCACGTTGAGAACCAATTAATGAATGATGAATAATGAATAAAATAATCAGTACCGAAAATCAAGAAAACAAAAGAAAAGAGAGAATATGTAAAGTAGGGACATCGCCTCTCATTTACTTTATCAGAATTCAGAATATTATTCCCTCCTTAGAGCAACATTTTTCATTCTTCTGGATTTCTTTAAATATCTGATCACAATTTTTTTCTTGATCAATCAATTATAATCACGCACAAAGACTAATTCTATTTGTACTGAACAGGACTTTAAACCATTCCATAAAAGGTTTTAAGATAACTACATACTTAAGGCTTGAATTTTGAAAGAAACCCACCCGCATCATCTCATTTAATTTATATCCTCATCATAGGTATTAGATGAACATTTAGTTGAAAGGAAAATAATATTTTTAGCCTCTCAATTATAATCATACTGCATACACAGTCTCTTAATTATTGACGGTGTGAAATTATTAAAATTATTCCTTAATTCTTAAGGGATCAGAGTAGCAGATTTGGTTCTTAGGGTTTGTAATGGAAGCCGAAACCCTAACATCAAGAACCAAATTTATCATTTTGTTAAAAGTTAAGAACTAAATTTATGCCACGAATAGTTAAGAATACAAACATGCGATTTGCCTCAGTAACATTTGTGTCGTGCTACATGATATACAAGAATAGATATATAGGGGTGTTTGGTAAATAAGTAACTGTTAGCTGATAGCCGTTAGCTGACTGGGTTAGTGGATTTAAATAGTTGATAGCATTAGCTGATTGTAAAAAGATATTTGGTAAATTAGCTGTTAGCTGATGCCTAATAGCTGATTACATACGAAATAACTTTCTCAAAAAGCTTATCGGAAAATATGCTTTGAACATCTTTTTTGAATTTTTAGTGTTTTGGAGCAATAAGCTGTTACAAAAAGCTAATTAATCAAACACTCATATTAGTTGTTTAATCAAGTCAAACAGTTAATAATAGTCAAACAAGATAAAATTAGCTGATATGCTAACTATTTTACCGAACAGTATCATAGTTTATCACTTTATTGCTTAAAATTTTTAAATCCTATATTTCATCACATTTAAAAGCATACCGTGTCAGTAGAAATATGCATTAATTAATTTTACATTTATTCCCAACACGTACTATAAAAACAATATTAAAACAAAACTCAATTTATACATGATCGAGTTTGATTGCGATCTTACAAAATCTTAGGAATTCACAAACAACATAAGATGATGGGGGCTAAAGTAGCCAGCTTGCAATATTATATATATATATTTTTATATTATATATATAGTACTTATTATTCCAAGACAACAATTAATATTATTGATATTAATAGATCTAATTGAAGGAAAAAAGAAAAGAAAAAGAAAAAAAATAAGATTTACTAACCAAATGATAACGGCAATAATAATGGCGAAAGAGTTTTGCCAGCTCCGATCGACGACAGCCATGCATGTACCTTAACACACCGCAGGTTCCTGTCCGGGAAGATTGATAAAACGATATATATATGTTTGATCAGAATAAGAATATATAGATCCTTCCAAGTTACATAGAAGAATGAATATGCATTACCTTATATAATGTTATACAAGCAAATGAGTAATCAATATTAAACACCGAATTAGGGAAACCCTAGTTGAATTGGCCGAACAATTGGCTTAGTAATCACAAGATTTCAAGTTGACTTCCGGTGAGAACTGCATATTGGCTGGCCTTCTCGATCGGTTTGAACGGACTAGCTATAACAACCTAGGTTAATTATATTGGTCCTGGTGTCCTTTGTCGGGCCATAAACAGACTTTACTAAGAGGGCAATTTCGAGTTACGATTGCAGCGGGTTAACATTTCCTTGAATCTAAGTAACATACTAACATGATTTCAATTCTAGGGTTTTCAATTCTTTTAATTCTCTCTTCCAATTTCAATGGACATAATAAAAAGATTTATTCATAAATAAAAGTTTAGATTAAGTTATAATATTTGAAACACCGTAATCACGATTAGAAACCCTTTAATTTTTGATCATCTAAAAATGAGGTATTTCGTACATTCCAAACTACTTAATAAGATATTTGAGTTGATTATCATCAATCATGGTTAACTAAACTGAACAAGCAAAATGAGACCGGTTATAATTAAAGTAATTTTATTTTTTTTTAGATTTTTTTTTGGGTGAAAATATATGTGAATTGAATATCTGACAAAAATGAATAAGTGTTGTGTCCCACCAAATCTAATAGAGACTGTAAGCAATCTAGTAAAGAAGCAAAGGACAATTAAACATATACGTGTAAATGTGGATCGGATCTCCAAAATGCCCCTGTGAAAAGGGATATGTTTTGCAACAAAGATGATTAATCAGTGCGCATTAATTAATATATATAATGCAACAACTTAAGGTGTTTTAGTCTTTGCATTAAAAAAAAAAAAGAAGGTGTTTTAGTCTTTAATAATTATAATAAAGTCTTGAAAGCGGTGACGGGATGAAACATGATTTTCATACAAAAAAGTCATGAGTCTGATTTTATTTTTCTAGTGTAATTGACTTGTAAGTTATTATATTACACAAAAGTATAGTTTACCTGGTGCACTTCCGCAAGTAAAATTAAAATTTTTATACGGTACCAGCCAACACCATAGGCAAAAATCTGTGTAAGACCGTCTCTTTGATCATTGTCCGTGAGATGTGTGTCGGGGTCAAGATGAAAATAAAATATTAATTAGGAATAAAATGTTTGTTACTTATAAGGGAAAATGTAATATTTTTGAGAAAAAATGTAGTAATACTTTTGATTTAAAAGTATTACATTTTTCTTATAAGAGTAACAAACACTTTATTCCTAATTATTATTATTATTATTATTACATTTTCTAGTATAAGTATTATATTTTCATCTTGACCCGATACTATTCGTGAGCCGGTTTCATAGGAGAGTCACTCATACTGATAATATCCCATACATTTATGCTTGGTAGGTCTAATGTATATGATATTATTAACATCAGCGCTGATTGTATATGATATAACAAAAAAATAATATATACAAAATACAATTATACTTGATACTATTGGATCATATCATATCTCAAGTTATTAATTATTTAATAATCCATGTACTATAGTAAATGAAATAGATTTTCAATAATGATATTTCTTTGTTTAAATTACTATTAAATGTTAGGAAAAAATCCAAATTCTGGAACTAAGAGATCGAATTAATTTTATATGATGGCCGGAGTCAATTATTTATTGAAAATTACTATTTATAGAATATAAACATACATTTCTCTTTTTATTTCTTTCTCACAAGTGTATTTAAAAAAGTGTTATTTTTCACTCAGAAATTTATTTCCTAGTGTTCACACAATACATTTTTTATTCATTGGTTATCATGAATTGACCAACCACACCAAACATTAAAAATAATATTAATCAAATATAAAACAAATCAATCAAATATTATCACCTAAGAAGATGAAATCGGGAGAGAAATCTAGCATTACTATCAAAAAATTACAAGCTATACTAAAACTTTATTTCCGTATGATGTGATTTCTAATACGTGTTATAATTTGCTATATTGGAATGATGAAAGCTTTTGTGGATAGTTTTAATTCTATGTTATTCATCATTACTCGATTCTTTTATCCTTATTTTCTATATCATGATTTTTGACATGATATTAGTAAACTCATTAATCAATTCGGTGTAGAGTTATTATAGAACCCTATTTGAGAGTTTTCAACATTTATATAATTCACAAAGTTTAAACTTACAACCTTTTTTGTGAAAGATAAACTCCAATTATCCCCTCCACTCTAAAATGATATAGTTTTTGATTTTATATATGATTGAAGAATTGGTTGGTTGATTGATTTGAATATATATATATATATATATATATATATATATATATATATAATAGTTAGTCTCTATTGTAAGATTCGATGTTCTCCAATATACAAACATGCAAAAGTGTCTGCAACCTCAAATGAGTGTGTGGGGGCACAATATCTGCAGAATCCCAAAAGAATATTTACCTTATTCTATTATTAATTCAGGGTTTCTACACAACAGGAATCTTATATTACTTCGATTTGAGCTGATGATTTATAATTAATCAACTTTAGTAGATTTTTCGTAAATCAAAGAATCTTACATTACTGATAATAATGACCAATTTTTTTATTTTTTTTACTTAATTTCTTCCACCCTAATTATGATATCTCTAGCTAAAACTAGGGTTTTCAGTTCCAATTAAGTTGAAATCAATTCAATCAGATTAAACTGGGGAGGGTTAGTTCCTACAATTTTAATTGATTTCTTGAAGTTGAGATGTTGGATTGATCTGAAACCCTATCTCCACCGACATTAATTACATGCTTATTCAAGATTTGGGGTTTCTGGGAAAGTGGGAATTGAAACCTACGTATTTTGATTCAAGATTTGAGGTTTGGTTTAATTTCTGTTCTTGAATGAATGATCAATCAAGAACATCGGATAGTAACAATGAAAATTAATATATGGGTGATGGTTTCGGGGGAAATAAGGATAGAAAGAATGATAATAAAATATAATGTTATGAGAGAATCTATGAGCTGATCGAGCTACCTTAGCTTAGGTTGCAGTGGTGGCCGGAAATAGCGTGTTTTTTTTTTTGGATCAAGAAAACGGCGAGGAAGAGGTACTGGAATCATCGTCGGCGGCGGCCATGCCAGCAGGGCCGGCGGGCTTCTTCTTCTTCTTCTTGTACGGAATGCCACGGGCCTTAGCCTGACATTCCTTGACTTCCCGAAGGTAGACGCGAATGGCGCCGCTGGCGAAGGGGTTGGTCTCCGGGGAGCCGCCGTTCTCCTCGTAGGCGGCGCGGAGGCGTCCGATGAGGGCATCCAGGCTCCCCCACGCCTGCTTAAGCGGGCACGTGCACGGCGCCGGCGGCTCTGGCTGTCCGTAAAAGATGCAACCTTGTAAGTGAACCTTAGTCTTTCCGAACTGATCCAGGTACCGGAGAAACTCCAGAACATGGTTGCTGTTACACTGGGACAGCGCCACCGGTGGCCGCTGATTCCGCAGGTACTGCCCGAAGGTGTTCCAGTCCCGCCGCTTCTGGGACTCGTAGCGGCTCGGAGTCGCCGGCGAGGTATCTCCCGGCGACCCCTCCGCCAAGTCTTTCCCTCTATCAAACGACATGATGGCTAAGACCAAGAGGAAGACAAAGACAAAGATGAAGATATGATCAAAAAAATTTGATGAAAATGACGAAAATGAAGAAATAATATTAATAATATTGAGGAAGCTAAGGTAGAAGGTTAAAGGAACAGAAGTATGGAGATGAAAAAAAATCATTGAGTTGACACATGCAATGGCCCATATTTATTTTATTTTATTTTCTAGGGATTTAATTACTTCTTTATTAATAATAAGAAAATTATTTTGAATTGTCTACACGTAGTAGAGAAAGTATGTATATATATACTAATTAATTAAATGAATGACAATAATTGTAGTTAGATTTGTCTATATAAATTATTCCCACCATTTATAGGGTTTATCAACCTCATCGTAATTTGGATTAGCAAAGGGTCTTTGATATGATAATGACTCGCCAATATCTTCCATTTTCTTGCGCACTCACAATGTTTTAGCATTGATTGGTGATAGGAAATGTTACATACAATATTATTATTATGTGGAAGTCAGTAGAAGGTTAAGTCTATAATCTCTTCTTGTTAATACCTTTTTGGTTGAGCTTGTCACACAGAGTCTTCATAGTGAAGTTTATTTTTAGCTCATGTGTGGTTTGTGGATCATTACACATGAGTGACGTCTACTCAGTCCACGCTCTTTGGTAGTAACTACGTGTTTCTCTCATCACAAAAAACAAGAAAGTCTAGCATCGCACGCGTGGACAGCTCAGTTGGTTTCGAGGGTAAAGTTTAGAAACAATGATCTAAACTTAAGTCTCATTAGGGCCTTAATTGAGTGGTGCAAATTGATTAGGCTTATTAAGTGGTTTGATTAGACTAAACAACTAGGATTTGTTAGCTAGTCAACCAGACTCCGTGCCTAATATAAATCTGGATTGATGAGATACATGACATTCATTATATAGCACATACAGATACGGTACTGCTCAGTAGACACCAATACACCATCTAGGATTCTGAGTCAGGTATGTGGCAGATGACCATTGATGTCATTAGAGTAATTGTGTGGTCGAGATTCATGTGATGAGTTAGCTATTTCTTTTATGTTTGAATAGTTTAGAGTAACTAATTAACGAATTGAATCTCTACCAAAAAAAAATTAACGAATTGAATATGAAAACGAATTGTAATATATACTTGTTACAACCAGCATCATTGATATACATTTTTCCAAGTGTGATTGAGTACAAATTTGAAATACGGTAAACACTTATAATTATATATAGTAATTTTCTTTGTGAATAAGTCTAGTGTAACATTATTTTAACTTGACGCTTGGTAAAAATGATAATAACTGTAAATAGTCATTAACAATGAACTCGATCAGTGGGTACATTATGATTGGTTTGGACTAGCTCCCTTATTGAATTTTGATGAAATTTATTTACCAAAAAAAAAATTGTAAAAAAATTCAAATGCATAATTATTCAGACTTAAATGATTTTGTATATAAAATATTGATATTGAATTGGATGGAAGTTTAGATAGCCAAGTCCAACATTTTATTATAAATATATGACATTAACTATTATGTACGGAATTATAAAGAAATAAAGTTGCACTTTTAGTATTACTAGTTATAATTTTTTACATCATGTTAAGTGTTTCAATACAAAATTAGTATCAGAATAAGTCACACATTCGAGTTGAGATTAACAATTACTAGGAGAAATAAAGTTTTTTCACATTTATTGATGGTAAACATTTGATTTTGATAGTTAAATTTTTATAACGAGCTGAGTTTCTTATGGATCCACATCAATTTTTAAAATGAATTCAAATAATTTTATTGGCGACGTTATAAGATTGCTAACTAATTCAACAATTGCTGCTATCAAAATTCTCTCTGATCTGTCGTGGAGCGAGTGATTGGTGAAAGAAATCATTTGTGGTCTGTTACCCAGGCATGGGAATGAAGTAACGATCCATCGCTATTTTCTTTTTATAATAATAATAATAATAATAATAATAATAATAAAATAATAATAATAATAATAATAATAATAATAATAATAATAATAATAATATTATTATTATTATTATTATTATTATTATTATTATTATTATTATTGTTATTATTATTATTATTATTATTTTGGACTTTTACTACTTATTCCCTTTCAATTTTCATGCATGTATATCAAACATTGAATTTGAAATTCTCAATAATTATATTCTTGCAAATCAAACACTGGAATTTACTTGCAGCATCGGCTCTTGCTCAGCAGCATCAACGGAGGCCTGGGCGTTATTGAAAGGAATCCAGCTAGCAAAATTTCTATTAGCAACAAGAACTTTTGTTTTGAAAGCGACTCCATAGACATAGTGGAAGCCATCAACCATAATACGGCTTCTGGTGACATATCGGATAATATTCTCTCAGCTTGTAGAAGGGAGCTCGCGAGCGTAGATGCTTGGAACCTTACAATAATTCCCATGGAGCAAAATTCGGCTCCCAATTTCTTGGCAAAGTGCTCCGATGATCATAAGGGAATCTCTATCCTTAGCCATCCTCCTGATGGAATATCAAATATCCTGTTAGATGATAAGCTCGGCGTCCCAATGTGGCGCCAATTTGTTTCAACTTCATTGTAATTCTGGGTGTTCCCTTTCCATTTGATCTAAAAAAAAACACTGAAATTTAAATTACAATTTTATTTTCACATTATTTATCTCCTATGGAATTACAATTGCTTTCCTACTTAATTATATTCTCTCCCTGCAATCAAATGCCTATAAGTATTCAATATCGATCTGATTGTCTTAGTATAAATTGTACTTTTCCACAGTATAAATAATATTAATTAACATACACTATTACTTGATTATTTTTCTTGATATAATTTTAGGAAAATAATTAATTACCAAAAAAAAATATTTCACCCTCGAGCATCAACATCACACGTCAAACAAAAAAAAAAGATAAAAAATAAAGAGGAGGCTAGCATAATTCATAATTTTATTCTTTACATCTTAATTTATTTATACATATCGCGGATTGATTAAACTAGTTGTTATTATTATTATTATTAGGGGGAGAAATTGGCAGTGGCATGGACCTAGCAAACGCAACAAAAATGACAGCACATAATTCTTGTAGTTCTTAGTGCGACAATTTTCTTTTCGATATGATACTCCGTACAAACAATTTAATAGTAGTTTATTATTATAAAAAAAGAAAAGAATTAAAAGTGAGTTGAATAGTAGCTTTGTGACAATTATTAATTTGTCCTATAAGGGAATGAGTACGTACCCAACTAATTAAATGGGCTTATATGAAACAAATCTAAACCATTGATCTAGTAAATCTAACGATTGAAATAAATAAAATTATGTAATATTTATGAAAATGACTTTACTTATATTTTAAAAGTTTAATTTTTATAAAAATGACTCCGCTCATTTTTTATTTGATTTCTCATTCATTAGATCTTGCAGATTAATGGTTTTGATTTTGTCCTCACGTTCTCACCTGGGACATGATTCTCATATGATTAGGATTATATATATATATATATATATATATATATATATATATATATATATATATATATATATATACATACAAGATCTGGTATGGCTATTGCATTCCATACGGTCGTGCACTTTTAAACCACTATGTATGCATAAATGTACTACCACATGTTCAGAAATGCGTCAGGATGTGCATTTACAAATGCACCACTTCGTTTGTAAAATGCACCACACCCTAGATCATTCTGAACACGTGGGAGTGCATTTGTATATACATAATGGTACAAAATCGCACGTTGGTGGAAAAAGGGTATATATATTTCTATTATAGTTGCATAAAGGTTTAATTTCAAAATTACAAGTTACAATTCGGTTCATAAATTGTTTGAGTTTAGATATGTTTGTAAAATATTGTGCATTCGATCATCGAGTGCATGGATTCACTATTTATATATTTAGATAATTTGTCTCTTAGCTTTGACCAATAAAAAAAATATCAAGTAACTTGATATGATCATAATGTATTATCTCCTCCTATGTGGGAGTTTAACTTGGTGTCATTAAACCACAAGGTCCTTCTACTACCTTGTATTAAACCTTTGATATTCACTACGCTGAACTCTTTATGGTTGGACATGTGTTTCAAGCCGAGACATTATCTATGTTCGGTTAGGAAAATGATATATGTACTCCTATGGAGTATAAACTTCCGTCATGTGTACCAATAAATTCAAGTGAATGAAGAAAAATAGTAGTCCACTTTGTTATTTAAACTAATCAAATAATGACACTTCAGTAGGGAGTACAAAATGAAGTAGAAAGTAAGAGTACACGTAGTATTACTGATCTGGTTATGGTTAGGTGGAGTTGCACAAATATCAGACATCCATTACATTAACTATTACTCCGTAATATTTGGGTTGTTGTGCTTAACTATTAATATTTGGGTTGTTGTGCTTGCACAAATATTATACTCTACATAATCTTAATATATAGTTAGTAATTGTCGAGAATTTCTATTATGTCGTACTACACGTTATTATTTATCTAATTAATCTCTTTTTGATAAGTTAAATTTTCAAGGTTTTTTTTTTTTTTTTTTTTTTTTTTTTTTTTTTTTTTTTTTGGGAGTACAAACAACTAGCAATAATATATAAGAAATGAAAATGTGTAACATGAAAAGGACCAAAAGGCAAAAGCTGGCGGAACAGTACAGCGACTGAAACACTGATTTAAGGAGAGAAATATATTCCAATCTTTTCCAGACAAAACCGCAAGTATGTCTTTTAACATGGCCACTGGGTTGTGCTCTTCTGAATCACCATTACATTACAATGAATTTACAAATGTTTTTTTTTTTTTTGAAAATATAATTTTTTTGGTTGTTAGTACCAACTTTTTTCATGCCCTATTGCACCACCAATTTCCACTTCCCATTCCTAAATATTCTCGTTCACCAACACATTTTCTAAGGCTGTGGTATCACCCATGCACATTCACTTTTTCTGATGTATACTGAAAAAAAAAAAAAAATCACGCTTTTAATCTAATAATCTCTAAATTATAGGAAAATAATATC